TACACTGAAAAATGAGCAGAGCCCCGTTATCCCCCATGCTTTTTAATATCTATATGAAGCTGCTGGGATAGATCCTCAGGGGGTTTGGGCTGGGTGTTCATCAGTATGCAGATGATACCCAGCTCTACCTCTCTTTTAAATCGGAACCAGTGAAGGCAGTGAAGGTCCTGTGTGAGTGTCTGGAGGCAGTTGGAGGATGGATGGCTGCTAACAGATTGAAGTTGAACCCTGACAAGACAGAAGGACTGTTCTTGGGGGACAGGGGGTGGGCAGGGGTGGGGGAACTCCCTGGTCCTGAATGGGGTAACTGTGCCCCTAAAGGACCAGGTGTGCAGCCTGGGAGTCATTTTGGACTCACAGCTGTCCATGGAGGCGCAGATCAATTCCGTGTCCAAAGCATCTGTCTACCAGCTCGATCTGGTACACAGGCTGAGACCCTATCTGCCCACAGATTGTCTCGCCAGAGTGGTGCATGCTCTAGTTATCTCCTGTTTGGACTACTGCAACATGCTCTACGTGGGGCTACCTTTGAAGGTGACCCAGAAACTACAACTAAACCAGAATGCAGATGCTACGTTTCCGAGCACAGTTTGAAGTGTTGGTGCTGACCTTTAAATACATAAACAGCCTCAGCCCAAGATACCTGAAGGAGCATCTCCACCCCCATCGGTCCAGTGCTGAGAAACTTCTGGCGGTTCCCTCCCTGTGAAAAGTGAAGTTACAGGGAACCAGGCAGAGGGCCTTCTCAGTAGTGGCGCCTGCCCGCGGAATGCCCTCCCAGCAGATGTCAAAGAGAAAAACAACTACCAGACTTTTAGGATGTTGGGAATCAAGCCTTTATCAGGAGAAACTGGCCACTCTCCAGGCACCCGGCTTGATCTCCTGTTGACCTCCCTGTCTGCATTCCCCAGCAGGATCCAGGCTAGGTCGCGATAGGCGATCCTTCTCAGAGTGAGAAGAACACACCCCCTCTTTCCTGCCCCCCCAGGCAGGGGAAAGAGATAAACAGAAACGTATTTACATTCCTTTATTTCTGTCTTTGCAGCGTTACAAAAATCATGACTGCTCTCTTCAAACTCCTGCAGTCGAGAGACAAACTCCTCCTGTACTTCCTGTACAGCTCATATTACACTCTGAGCTAATTCCGGTGCCCTCTGCACTGTGAATTGACTGTCCCTCTGTTTCCCACGGAACAGTCCCAACATTCCCATTATGTTTTGTTTTCAAGCTACCAGCAGCTCGCAGCTGCATTGATTCAATATCGTAACACAGAAGACATCTGAAGACAGCCCTGTTTAGGGAAGTCTTTAATGTTTGATGTTTTATTGTGTTTTTAATATTCTGTTGGGAGTCATCCGGAGTGGCTGGGGAAACCCCAGTAATAAATATATTACTACTACTACTACTATATACCCAAACCAAAATCAAATCAATGTATGATGTTAAAAATACTGTTTGGCATTAACTTAACAGCAGTAGAATTGTAAGCATTTGAAAATAAGCCTTTAATGCAGATATTGCTAGTTGTTGTCAGTTTGGTGTCAGTATCTTATGTGTCTATTGTTTTTGAAAAATCATTAAACACATCGTTAAGAAAAAGAAAGTAAAATTAATTCTAAAGCTGTTTGAACGTTTAATCATAAGAGTAAAATGAATCCATAGGAAAAAGGAATCCAACTAAATCTACTCTGTATTGGATAAAGGTAAAATGGTAAAGGACCCCTGGACGGTTAAGTCCAGTCAAAGGGGACTATGGGGTTGCGGCACTCATCTCGCTTTCAGGCCGAGGGAGCCAGCGTTTGTCCACAGGCAGCTTTCTGGGTCATGTGGACAGCATGAATAAACCGCTTCTGGCACAAGGGAACACCATGACAGAAACCAGAGCGCACAGAAACACCGTTTACCTTCCCACCGCAGTGGTACCTATTTATCTTCTTGTACTGGCATGCTTTCAAACTGATGGGTTGGCAGGAGCTGGGACAGAGCAATGGGAGCTCACCTTGTTGCGGGGATTCGAACCACCGACCTCCCAATCAGCAAGCCCAAGAGGCTCAGTAGTTCAGACCACAGCGCCACCCACGTCCCATTTACCTCTATATTAGTTCCCTAATGAAGCACTTAGCAATCTTCATTTCTCTCAGCATAAAGCATCTCCTGTTTTTGGAGTGTGGCTCCAGGATAGCCTTCCAGCTTCTTTCTCCAGATTTCAACTGTCTTTCTTTAGCAAACCCATTACTAGCTTTTGTTTTTGCTTGGCACAGGAAGCTGGGATATGCTCTGCAGCAGATCAAGATGATGAGCTTGTTTTTTGAGAAAAATCTCTTTCGCTCATCTCTAAATACCTTGGCGCCAGGTGAAGGTTTTTGTTTTTCAAGGCTTTTAAACTCTTAGTTGCCTGTAGAATTGTTGTAACTGTTTTTTTTATTCTATTAATTGTTGTATTTACTTCTTATGCGGTTTAATTTCTGGAAATGTATTTTGAATTGAAAGACTGGATATAAGCTCAGAGTAAAGCAAAGCTACTATGACAATCATACAGCTTCTTTGGATTAGTCATACTGGTAAAGGTAAAGGACCCCTAGACAGTTAAATCCAGTCAAATGGGACTATGGGGTTGCGGTGCTCATCTCGATTTCAGCCGAGGGAGCCAGCGTTTGTCCACAGACAGCTTTCCGGGTCATGTGGCCAGCATGACTAAACTGCTTCTGGCACAACAGAACAACGTGACAAGTGCCAGAGCACATGGAAACACCGATTACCTTCCCATCTCAGCGGTACCTATTTATCTACTCATACTGGTGTGCTTTTGAACTGCTAAGTTGGCAGGAGCTGGGACAGAGCAACAGGAGCTCACCCCGTCGCAAGGATTCGAACCGCCGACCTTCTGATCAGCAAACCCAAGAGGCTCAGTGGTTCAGACCACAGCGCCACCCTCGTCTCTAATCATGCTGTAATTTTATTGAATGCTCTCACTCCAGCCTCAAAGCACTTTACTATACCTTATGTAGAGGAGGCACTTCTCCAAAAGGCACTGTTATTCAGATGCAAAGCTTAGAGCAAGTTTTCATCTTGCAACTGTAGGCTGTCTTGTGTGCCCTGTACCGCCTGTCAAAGTGACCTCAAAGGCGAGCTCCAGTCGTGCGGCCGAGGGAAGCCCCGCTGTGGGTCATCCAAAGTCAGCCCGAGCACGCCACTCACCTAAAAGGCATGGAGAGACGAAGGGAGCGCGCGAGGATCCCGGTGCAGAGGAGGCTCCTGCACAAAATAAAGGCAGCCGGCAGCCGGAGGGCTTCAGAACACGGAGCTGCGGCGGGGCCGTCGATGGCGTTGCCGGAGACTCCTCCCTCTGGGCCTCGCTCTCTCCGCTTTCACCGCTGCTTGCCCTGCCTGCGATCGGCCGGGCTCATCGCTCCGCTCTGCAGAGCGCTGCACAAAGGCACAGCGGGACAGGTGTCCGGGGACGCTTTGGCTGAGCGCGCCCCGGGATCGGAGGTGCGGGGTGCTTGCTGCAGATCTTATCTTCCGGGGTCACTGGGATGGCTCGCTCCGCTCTGCAGAGCGCTGCGCAAAGGCGCGGCGGGACAGGTGTCCGGGGACACTTTGGCTGAGCGCGCCCCGGGATCGGAGGTGCGGGGTGCTTGCTGCAGATCTTATCTTCCGGGGTCACTGGGATGGCGGGGGTCGGGGCTTGTGTTATGTAAGCGCGTCAGGAGGGACTGCTTAAGAGGCCGGACGAGGCTTATGCAATGGCCAGATGCTCCCTAGGGGTCGAGGCTTGCAGTTGCGGGAACGAGTTTATACCTGTAGCCGCTAAGCCGCTAATAGCCGTGCTTCGCAAGACGAAAAAAACCGCAAGACGAAGAGACTTGCGGAACGGATTAATTTCGTCTTGCGAGGCACCACTGTATCAGGGAAACACAGTATCTGGGTCTAAGGCAGGGGTTGGCAAGGTTTACCGGCCATGGGCCGGATCACTCCCCCAGAGATTATCTGTGGGCTGGGCTGGTGCAGAATGACGCAGGAAATCGCTTTTGCCATGTCCGCAGCGCCGGAAATCGCTTTTGCGGATGCCCAGACGCCGGAAATTGCACCTGTGCAGAAGCGATTTCCGGCGTCTGTACATGAGCTGACGTGATTTCCTGTATCTGTGCATGCGCAATTTCTGGCGCTACTCGGCGAGTCCCCACACTGCGCTGGTTTAGCGCAGCATGCGGGGGACTCGCCAAGCTGGCAGCTTGATTCGTGGCAGCTTGCGGGCCGCTAAAACGGTCTTTGTGGGCTGCATCTGGCCCATGGGCCCCACATTGCCAACCCCTGGTCTAAGGCATCAACAGTGAAAATAATGGACACAGGCATTTCTGGCCTCATACATATTGAGAATTGCCAACTGAGATTTCTGAGCTGTAGACATGGAGAATCATCAGCGCTGGGATGCATATCACCAAATGAACTCTGAGCTAGTTTAGCCACAAGATAACCAAAGTGAGAGGAAGAATGCTTGTGAAATGCAGAAGCACGGTAACTTGTCTTCTCTACTTCTTCACTTTGCAATTAGGGCCAGTGAGCCGTTCCAGGCACACGGGGATTACTTCTTCTTAGACCTCACTTATGCTGAGAGACCTACACAATCTTGTTTTCATCTTGGGAAAGCTCACTGACAGCTCTGAGATCCCCTGTTTACCTGATACTAGTTATGCTGAACAAAAGTGTGAAGGGAAGGGAACAATTGTTACTAGCAAAGCAGTTGTGACTGGCTCATCCTTACAGATGTATCAGTACCATCATAGGGGTGTAGGGAGAAAAGAAGTTCAGGGGGGTTAAGATGATAAATTACTGTTATTGTTATTATTATTATTAATTACTTATACCCCACCCATCTGGCTGGGTTTCCCCAGACTGATATGCAGTAACGCATTAGCCAAGAATGTGCTACAAATAATTCAAACTCGGCTTCAGTATTGGAAGAAAATATATGGAATAAAAATAAAACCACGCTTGTAGTAGGTATATAGCATAGGTTGCAAATTTATTATGCATTAGGAAGCTTTTTAACTTAAAAACCAAACTGCATAGTACAAAAGGTTTGTTATCTTTGCTTAAGGCGGAACAAGTTTCAAAATATATATATATATTTATTTTGTTCAGTCATTACACAATCCTTTATAAAAGCTGTATATCCATCACCATCATTACATTTATAAATACAAGATTTACACAGTACCTTATCTGGAAAAAGTAAAACTTCTTACAAATATCTACATATATTCAATACATATAAAACATTCTTAAGAGTACTTGGTTAGTTTTTGTGTGTGTAATGGTCCATTTCCACTGCCGCAAAATACATAGAAATCTGTGCAATTTAATAAAATGTCTCTAAAAATTATAACATGATACTCTGTACAAACTAAACCATCTTTAGGGCCTCTTTGGGAGAGGCGTTTCATAATTATAACCCATGAAATTCTTCCGAAGTTTGATATGAAGGCTAAATAAGAGTTGGTAACAAATGCACACTAAGTAGCAGTTAAGGCAGGAGTGAAATTAACAGGAAGGGGAGTGCTTCATACGGCAGATAAAAAGTGATAGATGATGCAATAAATACACACAAGTAAATGTAAATTGCCTCAGCATCCAGTTAATTAGCCTCTATGTCAAAACTGGCTACATTGGTAGTGCTACCTAGTTCAGTGATTATTACTAACCATCAATGAAAGTACATGTGCCCTTTTAAGGTTTCCAAAGGAGCTCCTGACATACGGGTTAAGAGTCCTTGGGAATGAGGGTTGAAGACTTCCAAAAAAAAACAAACACCTGAATCTATATTCAACGGCTGAAATTCTCTTAACACTTCTAACACAATATTCAATTTACCAGGCAGCCTATTAATTAGAAATGTAGGAACATAATGGCGAAGGGTTTCTGTTATCTTTATCCGTCAGTAGAAGTAACTTTTCTCTAATTGGTGGGGGCTGTGGTCTGCTCACAGTGAATCTGTGTACTCAGTAAGTTCCACTTTGTTTGAAGGTTTTCCAAGATACTGTGTGTATTCCATATTCCGTCCGGTGTGGGGCTTGATAGCATTTCCAAATCAGATACAGAAAAATAACTGCGTTGAATTCTTATTTTGTTTTTTTTAAAAAAAGAAAAGTGGTTAAATCCATCCCGATGGGACATCCATGGACACCAACATAGCAAACCTTAGGTGAGTGAAATGTGCAAAGCTTCTGACAAATCAAAAGCTCACTCCAGTCCTGCTCTGGATTCAGAGCTCAGTGCGTGGGTTTCGCTTGCTTGCAGACTGCATGAACGTTAGGAAAATCTAGCTCTCACACGCTGCTGTCCTGCAGCAATGGCTCAATGTCCTCGTCGCTGCCTCGGTCGGGGTTGGTGCTCTGTATGCTGCTGATGCTGTTGGTGTGCTTTCTTGTACTGCTGGCTTTACTGTGCTCGGGGATGAATAAGGCAACCAGAAAAGCGAGGAGGACTGCACATGCTCCAAACAGGAATGGCGGGCCAGGAATAATCGAACTCTGCAGAGAGAAAGAAAGGAGCCACAATGAACAGGCTTACGGGGAATAACTCAGGCTGTGCAAAGCTGGGTCCAAGCATTCCTATTTGCCTACAGATACCAGTTTTTAGTCAGATTGCTGAACTGATTTACCAAGGAGAGCAGAGTAATGTAGGGCTCATAGCTGCAGACAATGCAGAGGAAATCCAACCTCAAGGACACAAGGACACAAGGGTTGGGAAAGGAATAAAGCTTGGGTGACACCTGTTTGTAGTACACCTTGGTAAGGCTAGGAAGACCATTCCTACTATTGCGGAATTGGAGGCGAAAATGATGGATTACGCAATGGATGGAGTTAGTCAAACTGACCGGCAGGATTCGGGATCAGGACGCCCAGAAATTCCAGGATAATTGGAGTAAATTTATTATATACTTAAAGGATAACTGTAAAAACTTAAAAGACAATAGCAGGATTGAAGTAATTCCTACAATGTAGATAAGATGTAAAAAGTTAAAATACGCGATTGGATTTGATAAGGGCGCTGAAGGGAAGGAGGGAAGTCGCAAGCTCGGCAGAGCAAAAAGGTTTATATGTTGAATAACGTATTGTAAGAATGACTGTGTAAAGAAAATAATAAAAAATTATTGAGGGGGGAAAAAGAGTGCTAAATAAATATATTGGAATATATACTGGAATGTATACAGTGGTACCTCGGGTTACATACGCTTCAGGTTACACACTCCACTAACCCAGAAATAGTGCTTCAGGTTAAGCACTTTGCTTCAGGATAAGAACAGAAATAGGGCTCCGGCGGTGCAGCGGCAGCAGGAGGCCCCATTAGCTAAAGTGGTGCTTCAGGTTAAGAACAGTTTCAGGTTAAGAACGGACCTCCGGAACGAATTAAGTACTTAACCCGAGGTACCACTGTATTGGAATATATATTGGCAAAAAAAGGGGGGGGGAGTAAAGCTAGGAGACCAGAGATTTCGGCTGGCCTCGGCATCTACTCAAGTATTTGCGGCTTCCACTGCCCCGCATCCTCCCTGACTCAGAAGAGGGCTGAGATCTCTTGTCTGATGTCATGTACAGTGGAGGCACCACTTAGAAGTGGGGTTTCAAATACCATCCAAGTTAATCAGAAAACAACCCACGTTTGTGTCTCACCTTGGCTTGCAGGAGGCTGAGAAGAGCCTGCTCAAGGAGGCAGCTGAAACATGCAAGATTGCCTGTCCAGAACCTGCAAGGGAGAAGCTGGTCCACAATTGAGAGTGGCTGTCTGAACCACGGGATTAAACTCAAGCATGCCAGCCTACCCTGCTGCTCAACTTGATCGGACTTACTTTTGAGTAGACATGCCCAGTGCTGCAGTGTAAAAGGATTACACCCGTATCAGCCCTGATGAAGAATACTGTGGTGCCTCGCAAGACGAAATTAATTCGTTCTGTGAGTTTTTTCGTCTTGCGAATTTTTTGTCTTGCGAAGCACGGTTTCCCAAAGTCTTCAAAATCACCAAAGTCTTCAAAAACCTCAAAAAAGGCTACCACACCGCGTGCTATGAGTTGCTCCTCGGAGTCACCCTGGATATTAACGGTTTTAAGAAAAAGGAAACAAACTTGCAAGACGTTTTCGTTTTTTGTCTTGTGAAGCAAGCCCATAGGGAAATTCGTCTTGCGAAGCAACTCAAAAAACGAAAAACTCTTTCATCTTGCGAGTTTTTCATCTTGCGAGGCAATCGTCTTGCGAGGTACCACTGTATGAAACTCAGGCACTTGTAAAATGTTTCGCTCGAGAGCCTTTGTCGCAGGCTTCAGCAGTGCACACAGCACAAAACGCAAATTATCGAAAATAAAGGACTATCAACGGAGGTGCTGAATCGGCCATAACCTTGTGGAAATTCTGACAACCCTGTCACAAAGCACCCCAAGGACACAAGCAAAGAGTAAACTACATAAATATAGATTAACCATGGTGATGAGGTTGGGTGGGCGGGTACAATGAAATGACCATTAAACACAGTTGACAAACAGAAATGGCAAAATAAATGTTCAGTCTCGATATTCTATTTCTCAAAAGCTTTCAGCCTTAGTTCTTAAAGCATATGGGCATTATCTAAAGAAGCATTTTCTTTTTCATGGAACTGAATGCAATCTCAGAAGAGGCAGTTTTGGAGCACAGCGGTACCTCGAGTTACAAACACCTCAGGTTACAAACACTTCAGGTTACAAACTCCGCTAACCTGGAAGAGTTACCTCGAGTTGAGAACTTTGCCCCAGGATGAGAACAGAAATTGTGTGCCGGCGGCGCAGTGGCAGCAGCAAGAGACCTCATTAGCGAAAGCACACCTCTAGTTAAGAACAGTTTCAGGTTAAGAACGGACCTCCGGAACGAATTAAGTTCATAACTAGAGGTACCACTGTACTGTGAAAGCATTCCATGTACATACTTACTTCGCCAAAACTTTATTAGGCATTATAAATGGGCCATCATAAAACATCCATACATAAAATTTAAATATATATACAAAAACAGTCATGTAAAAAATGCAATAGTGAGGATTTTCATTGGAGTTTCTTCCCGCTAAATAGTGCCATTCACCACTCTAAGAGATACTATTGACAAAAACTCAGCCACCATTGCTGTTAATTCCATGTACATAAGGAAGTTCCAATGTCGCAACAGGCATTTTTTTCAAAAAGCAAGGCAACCTTCACAATAATTTCAGGAGTGACTGGAGAAAATAGAGCAATGCCAGAGCATTTTTTTGCAGGGTGGAGAGAGAAGTTCCACCACATGAACAGATGCTGTTCTGCTTATGCAATGGTTTCGCTGTGTACAATTCATGGGGAATAATCATTTAACTGGTTCCAGTAGTTTGTTCTTCAAGGAGGTGTTGTGTATTTTAAGCAGAGGGTCTCATTTACAGTTGTAAAAACCAAGCATTTACAACCTGAATGGACTTTATGCTCAACTGGCATTATTTTAAAGAGATTTCAAAAAATAGGTTTTCAAATAGGAGAGGTTGGTTCAGAACTGTTCTGTTAAGTGGTGGAAGAGGAGAAATTTGTGGTGTATAACTTGCCACGGCTGTACAACACTGCAAGGAACTCATATCCAACTACTGGCAGACCCATCTAGTGATATTCCAGTTGTAGATTTACTCCGCGTTTCACCCTCTAAGCAGCCATGAAGCCTAGAAATGGCTATCTTGTACATAGCTGGATGCCAGAAGAGTTCATTACGTGAAATGTTAGGTAGACTTTTACTCGGTACCTAAATACAGCAAGGAAAGCATATGTAACATGAGGTTCACCTGTTATGTATGTGTTTCTGTGTGGATGTATCAATGTTATAACATTATTTTAAAATGTTTAAAATATGTTCTAAGTCGCTTGACAACTTTGTTTAACAAGTGACTAACAAGTCTAATAGTAATATGAACAGCATGGGTTCTTACCAGGAAATTTAACATCATAAATAAGTGGGGTGCCTTGATCAAGCACTATTAAAAGTTACGATTTACAATAATTTACCTCATCGCTTGGATCCTGCATTGCTTTTTTATCAGGATCTGGGACAGGCGCCAACTCGGTGAGCTCCACATGGAACAGAAAGAATATGAAGCCAAAGAGAGCAGGACCAAGACCATTGCAAAGGCCTCTGATTCCAGTTATTATCCCCTGGACAACACCTGTAAAAGAGCAAGAGAACAGGAGAAATAATTTCCATGAGCTTGACTCCCGTTCTAAAATGATGCAAAAACTGGAAAGCTTACCGTTTAATTACTGCACTTACAGGCAATCATGAAGTTAACAGTCTGGCCTTATTTCAAACTGATCAGTTTCAATAAAATAGTTTAAGGAGGATAAACTGAAATTCAAAATAACAGCACAAACTAGAACTTTCCTTGTTCCAAAATGACTAAATTAGTCTACTTGTTTCAATGAAGGAAGAGGAAAGTTCTGATCCAGGGGTTCTCAAATTTTCTGGCCCCCAGGGCCCACTTAAGGTAACTGAAAATTACTGAAGCCCACCAATCACAAAATGGCAGTGCAAGAGAGGAATGAACCGCAAAATGGTGGTCGACGGAAGTGGAGTTTGGCATAATCAGCTGGCTGGCATCAGTTTCTATTGCCCACATTTAATCTTTGGAAAACATAAAATTCTTTGCCACAGCATTTTCCTTGCGGCAAGTTTTCCTCAGACTAAATACAGACACTTGCTTGGTCAGTCTTGTCACTTAGCTGCCTCATTTTAGGCAGAATTTGCTGATGCAGAGGCTTTTCCCTTTCCATCTCTACACGCTGCTCAAAAGTATTCACACCCATCTCCTGTCATTCCTTCTCCCAGTCTCCTTTAACATTCAACTTTTAGCTTTCCCACCCCCAGTTGCAGCCCAAGACCTCACCATTCCTTGCATCCCTCCTCTCTGGGTCCTTTTACGATCACTTCTTCCACCTATTACTGCTTTTGTTTCTTATCCCTTTCATTTCTATTCCCGGTTTATTTCTGAATAATTATAATAAAGATTTAGCTTTTATCTCTATCTTATTTCCTTCAACACCTCCTCCAGCCATCGCTGCTCAAGACAGACCTTCCTTCCATCACCCTTCCCTAAACTTCTGTCTCCCGACCACCTTTACTTAGCATGAAATGAGTCAGAACTGGTCTGACTAAAAGGCTGTGTGGCATAGTGAGCAGATGGGGCAGGCAAGTGTGGAGGCACTGGGCAAACTGTGGCACAGAAGCCCACCAAAAAGTGGCCTAAGGCTCTCTGGTGGGTCCTGATCCACTGTTTGAGAAACACTAACTTGTCACATGTTCAAATCACCACTAGAGGGTGTTAACATCAACTTCCTAACTGCTAAAAAATACTTCAAAGGATTCTTAATTGAAAAAAGAGGAAGAACTCTGGGATTTCTTCGGCTGTAACTTGCACTTACCCACCCAAATTACTTTTAAAAGGTCATGTTTTCTCACGTTAATGCCAACAAATTTAGCCCCATTCTGGGCAAATCAGCAAAAACTGTAGATATCCTACACAGGAAAGGGAACCAAATCTGTATGTCCTGTTCAGATAATCTCTCACACAGAGCCTGCTACTGGGCCAGGAAAGGGGCTGGGATAACCAACTGCAAGATTCTCACATTCCTGCTGGCCCTGTGAGACCAAATTTGCAAAGAGTATATTTTAATTAGTCATCACTAATACTGAACAGTTCTGGAAACAAGGCTCAGCTACGGTCAAAGTACTTTTGGAAGAGAAAAATAATCTACCACAATCAGCCTTCCATGGAAATTGTACCAAAGTCTGTGTACTATTATACTTGTTATTATTATTACCTGTCCTCAGATCAGGTCCTCAGAGCAGATTATAAAATTATAAACAGTTAAAATGAATTAGTGTTACAGGAATTAAGCCGGTCCTGTAAACATGTGTCTCAGGTGTCAAAGACCAGGGTAAAATTGTGTGTCTTCCGCATAAAAAAAGAATCATCATTTGTGAAGATCAATAATACCACCACTTACTTTGTCTAGAGTACTGTGAACATCCAAAAGCAAATTTTTTTCTGAAGCACAGGTAAATGTTTGCATGCTGGTGTTGGAAAGAAAATAGCTCTATGAAAGATGCTTCACAGAACATGGTTTCCTAGAACATAGGAGAGTGGGGCTGATAACGCCATGGTTGCTGGTTTGATCCCCTTATGGGACCGCTACATATTTGTGCATTCTAGGGGGTTGGACTAGATCTGGGGTAGGCAGCCTAAGGCCCGGGGGCCGGGTGTGGCCCAATCACCTTCTAAATCCGACCCACGGACAGTCCGGGAACCAGCGTGTTTTTACATGAGTAGAATGTGTGCTTTTCTTTAAAATGCATCTCTGGGTTATTTGTGGGGCCTGCTTGGTGTTTTTACATGAGTAGAATGTGTGCTTTTCTTTAAAATGCATCTCTGGGTTATTTGTGGGGCATAGGAATTCGTCCATTATTTTTTTCAAAATATAGTCCGGCCCACCACAAGGTCTGAGGGACACTGGACTGGCCCTCTGCTGAAAAATGTTGCTGACCCCTGGACTAGATGACCCACGGGGTCCCTTCCGACTCTACAATTCTATGAAAAACAAAATCACTGTACTCACCTTGTTGGTCTGAGTCTGCATTTCGTGACACAAGAGCGCTGATTGCTGGGAACGTAATACTTGACATGGATGCTACAGCTCCAGCTGCCCACATCATCCTGAGAGCAAGACACAAAGCAAAGCCATTACGTCACTTGTAATGAAGGAGCTATGCAGAAGCAAAAACTAACTCTCCAGCTATTGGGGTACCTTGTTGGAAGCGTTAGAATTGTAGTCAGACTACATGGTACAGTTGCCATGAGGGTTTGCAACATTCCAGGGGAAGTTTATTATCCCACTAGCTGTGATTTTTAGCAGCACTGAAATGGATCAGGACCAACAGTTAGAATGTTTCCCCACACCACCAGCGGCTGCTAGCGGAGTCCATAGTACTAAGAAGGCGGTGCTCATTTCGCACAATAACTGTGGCTAAGTACCGTATTTTTCCGTGTATAAGACTACGGGTTTTTTTTACCAAAAAATTAGGTTTGAAATTCGGGTTCGTCTTATACACAGGTAGTGCTGAGGGCTGTTTTCTTAATTTGGAGTCCCGCAAAATAAGGGGAGTCTTATACATGGGGGAGTCTTCTGCACGGAAAAATACGGTAAATAATTGCTACAGCCAGTGAGTATAACATACTCCACAGGAATGCCAATGCCTGTATAAAGAATCTTATCATCTACAAGCAAGAGCTTTCGGGTAAAAATACAGCATAGCAAGGCAAAACTGAGGCAGTAGTTTTATATTACCTGAAGTTAAAAAGCAGACATGAATCACACCAGTATGAAACACTCACAAAGAAGTGTGGCAACAAAGTGAACTTGCAAGTTAGGTGGAAATCAGTAGAATGGCTAAAGGAATGGAATTTTTTTTCCATTGGTCTTAACACAATGCTTTTCAGTGTGTGGCTTGGGACCCCACTAATTGCAGCCAAACCAAAAGAGGGCCACAAGAGCTCTGTCCTGATTAAATATTTGGGCAATCTGATGATATTGTAACCATGTGGTGCAGTATTGGGCCACGTCTTCGTATGGTCTTAATTTTAATTGGCCCTGTTCTTCCTTTAGGAGCTGCTGGTATGTCGCCAATCTTCCTGTCGGGTTTTTCTTTTTGACCGCTATCACTTCCAATGGTAAAACCCACCATGGGGTTTTCGGTTCTAACAACCTTCTGTGTCTCACCCAGACCTTATATAACGAATATCTAATTACATGACTTAGAAATTCTTTATGCACCGCCGCTTTATTGTAAATTAGATAGGCATGCCAGCCGTATCTGTTGTTCCATCCCTCCAAGTCTAGAATGTCATTATTATCTAATGTAATTTGATCCAACTAAAACTAAAGAGCTCTACCACCATACAAATATAGGGGATGGTTTCCAATGAAGTAGATCCGTTAGTATCGCTCCCTGCATATCCACTAAATCTGTTCTGGGTTTTCCTCCAACCCTCCAGAGCAGATCTGGGGAGGGAGTGGAAGGAACCTAGGGAGAGGACGGGAGAGGAAGGGGAAGTTCCACTGGACAAACAGAAGTTATTGAGCTATTGGAATTACTTTACGGGATACTGCCCTACGAAAAGATTTAAGAAGTAGGTCGACAAATGCACACGGGGACTAAGGATTTTCAGATACGAAAAGGCTGAGGAATACTGGTCTAGAAAGTTCAGATCAGCACTCGGAAAAAAAACCCATTTTTTTTTAATTAATCAAAGTATTTCTACATTGCCATTACTGATCCCACTGCCAGCCCAAACAGCCACCCAAGGTGACTTGCAGCAATTTGAAAGATAAAAGTACACCCAAGGGTAAAAGAATTAGAAAGAGCACTGAAGCAAGCAGGCAGAGACATGGCTATTCTGCCATTATTGCACTTACCAAGGCTGGGAACCAAATCCATACCAAGCCAGCTGGAACATCTGAAAGCCAAGGCCAAGGAGCACAGTATTTTTGTTTCCTATAGACCTCATTAGGATACTGAGAAAAACAGTCTACAAAAAAAGATAATAAATAATGTAGAAAAAAGCTTTAAAATTGGAAAGTTCTCTGTATATTTATAATAAAAAACATTTAATTGCCAATACAGTGGTACCTCGGGTTAAGTACTTAATTCGTTCCGGAGGTCCGTTCTTAACCTGAAACTGTTCTTAACCTGAAGCATCACTTTAGCTAATGGGGCCTCCTGCTGCTGCCGCGCCGCCGGAGCACGATTTCTGTTCTCATCCTGAAGCAAAGTTCTTAACCCGAGGTACTATTTCTGGGTTAGCGGAGTCTGTAACCTGAAGCGTATGTAACCTGGAGCATATGTAACCCGAGGTACCACTGTACATACATTTTTTAAACAAGATACTGTTAGAAGCACAAAGCTTCAAATTAATCACTTACAGTGCAGCCGTATGAGTATCTACCCAAAAGAATTAAGGGCTTTAATTCCACCCAGTGAAACCACAGCCGAGGCAAAATTTGAACTGGGGATTTCCTACTCAAAAATGCACGTTCTTAACTGTCACCATAGCTCAGGGGTGCCCTGCAGGCCAATTGTGACGTGCCAGGGGCCAGCAAACATTTTGAACAGGGAGCCGGTCCACTGTCCCTCAGACTTTGTGGGGGCTGGACTATATATATATTTTGGGGGGGGGGGTTAGAACGAATTCTATGCCCTACTAAAAACCCAGAGATGCATTTTAAATAAAAGGACACGTTCTACTCATGTAAAACCACGCTGATTCCTGGACTGTCCGCAGGCCGGATTTAGAAGGCGATTGGGCTGGATCCGGCCCCTGGGCCTTAAGTTTGCCTATCCATGAGCTAAGGGATCCAATTTGGGCTGTTTCCCCCCAAAACATGCCCACCCATTCACTCATCAACTGACATGACTGGCAACGTAAGCTGTTTGGCAGGAAGACAGGGTTAAATCCAGCACTGGCTGCATATCCTGCTCTCAGTAAAGGATAGATAGTAAGATTCTCTCATTAGCTGATGAGTAGGGGTTAAAACCTGCACAGTTCTTTGCAACAGAACGCAGGGGTTGTCTGAAAGCATCCAAAGCATCCACAGACCCAAACAGGAGATGACGGGGTGGAGGGATGGGTGGAAAACCCTTTGCCTTTAAAATTACTTGCTTATTGCGACTGTTGGGACTTCATCATAATAATATCAAGGGATGGACAGGTGGCTGGCCCTGAGCTCCTATCAAATTTGGCCCAATGGGAAGATCTGGGACCCACAGGCAGCAAAATGTTCCCCGCCCCTTCCCTAGCACTTCCTCCAATAGTTAATTGGAAAAATGATTTCATCAGTATTCATGTACATCCTTCCTTTCTGGCACTCCCAACCACTGCAATTTCATCCCCCATCCCATTTTTATGACTGCATTCTCTTCAGTTCTGGACTGCTAATCCCTAACCATGCAGGGGATCTAGGGATGGGCAGGCTCTTAAGGCAGCCTCACATCAAACAGATGTCAAATTGTGTGTGCAGCTCTCGGCCCTAAATGAGTCTTACAACCCAAGGCAGACATTTGGTAAAGCATTTATACTATACAATACAAGCAACTCATATGAAAAGGAGAAGGAGAGGACTTCTGAGTAGCAGAACTCCAGCTTAAAAATGTTCTCCAGGAAACCAGTCAGATACCTTTCCCGCACCAGGCCAAATACCATTTTATTATCCCAGGATTGTTAGCACTTTTAAACTTTTTAATACGGACCCTAAGTGTATCAATGTTATTCAGACCTGGAGTAAAAAATGTTCTCCCTGCCTGCATCAAACTTTAAACAAGCACACCATTCTATCGTAGCTAGAAGTTCTTCCATGTTGAAAAGGTGCTGGAAATGTAACAACCTTAACAGAAACCAGGCAGGGACACCTTTATGCACAAGATCCCGCTTTTCTTTTCTTTTCTTTTCTTTTTCTTAAAGGAATATAGCATTAGGCAGCAAACCATACATCTCATCTTGGTTCATTGTATATTACATATTAAAAAGTTACAGGCTTGGTTGAATGTTCAAGAACTGTACAGGTGAAACTCAAAAAATTAGAATATCGTGGAAAAGTTCATTTATTTCAGTAATTCAACTTAAAAGGTGAAACTAATATATGAGATAGACTCGTGACATTCAAAGCAAGATACGTCAAGCCTTTATTTGTTATAATTGTGATGATTATGGCGTACAGCTGATGAAAACCCCAAATTAACAATCTCAGAAAATTAGAAAATGTTTCATGGACGAAGTTTTGTTCCTCCCAAAGAATGTCAAGACTGTTTTTAATCACCTGTGGTCTGCAAGAAGGCCACAAGAATTCAGTCACAATTTGCGCACCTCTATCTCAACCTCCCCACAGAACACATTATGTACTTAATGTGCAAATCACTTATCACCCTGATCGTTAATATTTGCCTTTTATTATGAGCTGTCACCTAAGACATAGGATTGTAAATGCTTACCTGCGCAACGATAGACAGAATTCCTATCACAGCTATGAATGCTGCAATGCTGGCATACTCAAATTTTATCACCTGCAGATAACACAAAAACAATGCGTGTAAAGTTCAAAGAAACAGTAAGTGAAGAACAATTACATTTATAGGCAGCTTACAAAACTAAAGCAACCCAGTACAGTAGATTTTCATACAGTAAGGACAAATTTGGAAGACTGGAAGGTAAAGTGATTTCAGAGGTGGAAATAAGAGTTGGGGTGGGGAAAGGAAGACGGCAGTCAAGACTAGGTAAAAATACCGTATCAACATCCAGTCAAATATAGGTCATGACATTAAGGTCATATTTAGTATAAGACTATAAATTGAACTCTCTTACGGGAAATAAAAAGAACCACCAACCTATGTATTATGCTTCCATATTTACCGTATTTTTTGCTCTTTAAGACTCATTTTTTCCCTCCTGAAAAGTAAGGGGAAATGTGTGTGCGTCTTATGGAGCGAATGCAGGCTGCGCAGCTATCCCAGAAGCCAGAACAGCAAGAGGGATTGCTGCTTTCATTGCGCAGCGATCCCTCTTGCTGTTCTGGCTTCTGAGATTCAGAATTTTTTTTTCTTGTTTTCCTCCTCCAAAAACTAGGTGTGTCTTGTGGTCTGGTGCGTCTTATAGAGCAAAAAATACGGTAAGTCATGCATTTTCCTTCATACTCACTGAACTACACTTGAGGGGAGGTGTTTGCATTATCAGGAATGCCCAGGTGTATACAAGATCACAGCCTTACAGCAAACATGCAGGAAAACAAACTGCCATGGGCCAATTCTAATTTGACAAAAGGCAATCTAACTTTTCCATTGGTGTACTTTTTATTTTTTACCCAGTTACATGAGCTAATCCCCTGTATCCTGAACAAGCTACTGAATATGTCTATCAGCAGTTGCTGCTTAGGTCTACTTTTTAAGCCGCAATCGAACATTATGTCTACATATGCAACCTAAGATGCTATGTGTATCTCCCATCCTCTTGGTGTGCCTTTACATTTTCTGGTCCTTAATTTTATTATACTAATAAAGTATGCCCCCACGGATCTGCTAGTTTGGAGCAAACACATCAACATGAAGTTAAATGCATTGTTGTCACATATGCAATTCTCTGCATTTGGATCATTATTCATGCATATTAAGCTTTTTCTTCTATCTAAAAGAGGAGCAGAGAGGGTTTTTATTTAATTTTATGCAAACAACTTATATACTGCTTAATTAAAATCTTCTCTTAAGTGATGTTCAAGGAAGATTTGAGTGTTCTGCTCATTTGCTTCGCCTACCAGGAACAGAAAGCCTTGGGCCTTTATTTTTGCCTAACAATAATATTGGAGATTATTCCAAGCTTGTTTTGTTTTACAAATGCAGAAACATGCCAATTCAGAGCAGGTTCCGGGTGTTTTCAAATAGTTAAGAAAAAACCCAAACGGTTTGGATCCTAACTCTTTGCTCTGTCAACAGGAGAGCCATGCACATGGAAGGGATCCTTTCATAAGAAAAACAAAATGCTGGGATCCATCCCATATAAGTTTCAGAACAAAACCCATACAATATGGTATATGTCAATAATGCCTATGACCACATCCTGAAAACCCCTTGTTATCTCAAGGCCCAGCTTGAAACTTTCTTTTGAGTAGAAGTTCCCAATATGGAATCAGAAATTACCTTTGAACTTCTTGACCTACTTTTAAAAAGGGGTGGGTGGGGATCTACTGCGATAATACAATTATTAGTCATGCAATCCTGATTTTTGGCACTGTGCTATTTAAACAGCTTTGCATTTTTAACAATGACTGGCATTTTGAATAAACTCTAGATTACACTGTTTAATTTCATTAACTGCTGTAACTGTATGGCACAACTGATTTATAGTTTTACGAATTTGCTTTCATTGTATTTTTAGCGATTTTACTACTGTGTAAACTTCTTTGCTATTTTCTTCAGAAAAAAGTGTTATATATTTTTAATAAATGCAGCAGCTACATACTATGTACATGTTTGATACTTTCAAGGCTTCATTTGTTCCCTGCATGTATTCTTAATTTATCTATCAAGAACAACTTGTACAATATTCAAAAACTACCTTAAATTACTTACTTGTCTCAAATATAGGAAAAAGCTAGAATATTGGCCAGCCTCAGGCAGGTAAGAAAGAAAGACAGTGATGCAAGTCAGCAAAATTGTAGTATCTTTTCCAACTCTTCTCAAAGACTGTCAAAAAAGTAAAGCAAGTCAAAATGAACCATCTGAAAAGGATTATTACATTCTGAGCAGGTGATATTTTTCGCTAATGAGTGCATTTGTCAGAATATATTCCATCTGTGGTTTGCTTTAAATAAACCTTTCTCCTGTTTTTGAGTTTCCATGATAATTTCCTAATGCTGAATTTAGATGGACCTCTGTTCAAATTCATAAAAGTAATGTTGACTAAACAAATGAATAGCTTGATTGTTCCGAAAGCCTGATTCTATTCTGCTCAGTAACAAAGGCTCCTAAGTCAGTGAAGTTCGGCTATAGCAACCACTGATAATGTTGTTTCCTATTCACTTCCTCCTATATACCAGGCATGTCCAATGGGTAGGTCGTGATCTACCGGTAGATCACTGGACATCTGCGGTAGATCACTGGCAGATCATTGGCTCCTCCCAAAGAAGCTGAACAACTGTGGCTCCCCTTAAAAAAGCTCAAAATTTTACCTCCTCCCTGAAAAAACTCAACAACTTTGACCTGAACCCCCCAAAAGGGGGTAGATCACTGCCTGTTTTTAACTCTGTGAGTAGATCGCAGTCTCTTGGGAGTTGGCCACCCCTGCTATATACATAAAAATGCAATGCTGTTGACATGCTGCAGTTCAGGTGGCTGCTAACAGATAGCCACACCAACTCCAGCATGGTGACAGAGCAGAAAGCAGGGGGGCAAACAAGCAAAATTGTAAGGGGGGACGGGCAGGCAGCCTAACTGAGCTGTTTAACAGAGGGGAAAGTGCTTCAGAGAGCAGTTTGCCAACCCATTCTCAGAAGTGCCTCCTCCCTTTGCTGAACACAGCTGCAAGGTTTAACAAAGAAGGAGGTGCTTCAGATAATGGTTTGGCAAACCAAACTCTGAAGCGCTTCCCACCCCCCCTTAAAAGCTCATAGGGCAAGCTGTGCAGGGAGGATAAAGAAAGGGCAGTTTGGCAGGGTGACAACCCCTAGTCTTCCCGTAAGATAGCACTGGAACTGCTAGAATGAGTCTTAAAATTTGCGGTACTCAGGTTGGGTGCATTATACCTTCAGGGTACAAGGGTCTGAGATCTCAGGTATATTACCTGGTGAGCACCTTCTCTTCAGAAGGGGCATTGGCTTGTCTAGTTCCCACATTCCTACAGTTGCATTATTTAGGAATAGAACAAACCTGTACAAGGTTCCATCAGAGTTTTATCATCATTTAGATTGTACCACCATGATTGGTCTACCATTATAATTAGGAAAGTGTGGCAAGTCAGAGTTGTTCCTAGACGTGGGTGAGGGTTCGAAGAGCTACCATAGGCATATATAATGAAATTCTGATTTAGTAAATGAATGAAAAACTTTGCTGAAGATGCATGCGGCCATGAAGTATCTTATAGTAGTTGGACGGGACTTTGGAAATCCATGTAGTTCAACCCCTGGAATGATGCAGGTTATGCAATGTAAGATACAGCTTCCACCAGCCTCAAATACCCCTAGCAAGGGCGATCCCACCGCTTCCTGAGGCAGTCTGAACAGATCTTACCATTAGGAAGTGTCTCCTAATGTTTAGCGGCAACTTCCTTCTCTGCAATTTCTACCGCTTGGGGCTAGTCTTGGTGCCTGGTGCAACAGAGAAAAGGTCTACTATATCTTCTCCTGATGAGGCCTAACTAGAACATAATGAAGCAGAACTATTACTTCCTATAATCAGGACACAATGCTTCTGTTTCCGGAGACTGCATTAGATTTAGCACCAATATCAGACTGCTGACTAATAAAAGAGAATGAACAAAAAACCAGTAACTTACTGCAAATGGGTCTGCTTGTTCCCATGATATAAGGGAAGGTGGCCTCATTTTTTCAGGTAGAGATTCTGGTACAGCGAGTAGAATGAAACATATATCTACAACAGCCACCACCGTAGCAATTAATACAACCAAGTTATCGCCATATAAAGTAGACAGGTGTGCTCCAATGGCAGGACTAGTTACCAAACTGGCTGCGAATGTTGCAGATACCTAAAAAGAAGACATTGGATTTTACTGCTTAGTTATGACCTCATGAGCAACTTAACATTCCTCACCAACTGAAACCTGAACTATCTCAAATGCACTAACTCCCAAATCCCAATTCCTGCAACAGAGTACCAGAAGAGTGGTATTCAATGAAGCAGTTTTGTTAGCACAAAGGTTTCTGTATGCTCAATGGAACATTCCCCACTCTGCTCCAGCATGGCCTCCCAAATCTTCTCCAGAGGGCTGGAGGAACGCCCAGAAGAGATTTATGGGGAAGGAGAGGGAGGGATGTTCCTTTGTGCAGCTGAAGTCTTTGTGCTAAGAGAACTACATTTTGTGTACTGCCCACAGCCTTTTCTGCCACCATGCATTTTGACAGAAATATCTACCTACTAAGGTGAGCTGCTGAAATTATGATATTAACAATAGCTATACTGAAGACTCTTGAGCAGTGTTTCCCAAACTTGGCTCACCATCTGTTTTTTGGACTACAATTCCCATCATTCCTGACCACTGGTCCTCCAAGCTAGGGATGATGGGAGTTGCAGTCCCAAAACAGCTGGAGATCCAAGTTTGGGAAACCCTGATCTTGAGGATAGGCATGAAGCTTTGCCAGGCTTGATGCTCTACAGAAGCATTAAGAAGCACCATCACAACGTCTACATTTCAGGTGCCGAGGACCATAGCAAACATTTCTTTCCATGGGATACATGAGTGCAGCACAACTAAACTCAGCTGGAAAACCAACATTTTTTTGGGGGGGGGTGTACATATCTCTTAGATTCCACTTTGCCTTTATGACCTATTGGCAATTGGAGGAAGACAGAAAATTGTATCCCAGAAGCCTAAAGGCATTAAAACTTTTCAATTATTCTACTTACACATTGGGGGCGGGATTTTCAAGCTGCTTTATAACTATGCTCATTTTTATTTTAAACTGTTTGGGGGTAGTTGCAAATAGTGTTTTCCACTCTAACCTTTGGCTTTCTCTGAACAGTTAGGGGATTAAAGTAGAAAGGCAGGGGACCAGTTTTAAAAATACATAATAAATCTAGCAGCCCTAAGGAACTAGACTGCAACATCTCAGAGCATTTATAGAACAATTTATCCCCCTTCTGTCTCTTGGTAGTATCACTATTTCTTATTCGCAAGTGTGTTTAAGATTGTTAAGCCACTGACAAATGCTTGTATTTTATTCTTTATACCGTGCTCAGTAGAGTTTTATGCCCTTAATAATAATGATGGTAATAACTTAGGTGTCAAATCTGATCCATCTTTTTCAGATTCAACCCTCTACCCAAGAGTTGGCACTTTTCATTCTTTTATATTTTTGAAATTCTCACTATGGCTTCATCGTTCCTATATTGGATTATTGCAATGCTCATCTTTATGGCCCTTTCAGCTGTTTTAAGGTATCTTCTATTCATAATTCTGCCACCTGCCTCATTTGCTCTGCACACAGCTTCAATCACATCTTCCACTTTTCTGTTTTATATTGGATTAGTCTTTCATTTCACATTTACTATGAACTTCTTGCCTTTAAATGTCTCTACTCTTGTACTCAGCTCTATATTTTTTCCCTAGTCTCTTTCCCTCACTCCCTTTATGTATTTAACTTAAATTTTGTCAGGACTAGAATTTATCCATCCTCCTCAAGACCATCCCTTTCGCCCAGCTATATGATGCTGCTGTGAACTGTTATTTCCTACAGTGGTTTATCTGAACACAGCTATGCAGGGATGTAAACAGCATTTTCTGGGCCTAATACGCTGCATGCAGTTTGGACACCCTTCACCATACCTAGTCAGCACTTGGATTGAAGATAACTTGGAACCCAATTTTATTGAATATTGAGTTTCAGGATAATCATATACATAATAAATTAGTTTAAAATCTCTGCATGTTTTCACACAAAAAAACTCATTATACAGATCAGCCCTCCCATACCTGCTATGCTCCAAATGTTTTAGACAACTCATATGAGCCCCACTCAGCACAGTAAATGATCAGAGACGGTGGGAGTTTGAGCATATGACCTTGAAATCCTACAAGTCTACCGGTATGTTACATTAGCATCACTGAGTTCAATGGGATATATTCCCACCTAGATAAGTGTGAACAGGCTTGCAACCTAATCAAACCATTTCTATTTTATCTAATTTTTATACTAAAGAGGCTACACAATATTGCACTAGTTTCAAAAGGAAGACTTAAATAAGCAAGACTAAAAGGTAAAGGTAAAGGTACCCCTGACCATCAGGTCCAGTCATGACCGAGCCGGGGTTGCGCGCTCATCTCGCTCTATAGGCCGGGAGCCGGCGCTTGTCCGCAGACAGCTTCCGGGTCATGTGGCCAGCGTGACTAAGCCACTTCTGGCGGACCAGAGCAGCACACGGAAACGCCGTTTACCTTCCCGCCGGAGAGCGGTCCCTATTAATCTACTTGCACTGTGAGGTGCTTTCGAACTGCTAGGTTGACAGGAGCTGGGACTGAACAACGGGCGCTCACCCCGTCATGGGGATTCGAACCGCCGACCTTCCGATCGGCAAGTCCTAGGCTTGCAAGGCTAGGATTAAATTAATTTTATCTTGCGATTCATCTTGTACTTTATTCTTCCCACCCCACTTTCCTCCCATTCTTCCTTCATTATCTAACCCATTCCCCTTCCTCTCCCTTCCCCTTCCCCTCTCCCCACACTCACACACACCATCTCTGTCTGATCCACGGGCAGCAGTGTTCGAATCCAAAACAAGCTAGTACACACATTTGCACAGTGCAGCAAATGTGCTTTCTCTATGTTCGTGAAACCCCTCCTCCCTTGTATACCGTAGTTTTCGCTCCATAACACGCATTTTTTTCCTTCTAGAAAGTAAGGGGAAATGTCTGTGCGTGTTACAGAGCAAATGCTTCCCTCCTCCGTGGCTCGCTTTGAAACAGCAAAGTGGGAGAAGAGCCGCTGAGTGGGGAGGAGAGAGGGACAGAGAGCCTGCTTGCTTTAAAGGAGCAAAGCAGGAGAGGAGAGGAGCCTTCTCCCCTTATACCCCTCTTCTGCATTATTAGCAGCATCCTTCTCCACCCACCCCATGTGTGCTCCTTGTCCCTTAAGTGCTTTTCTTTCCCTCCCCACTTAAAACGTGGTTACAAAGCACAGATCCACATGGATCTTCAGGAGTTTTGCACTGGGTCACCCCAAATTCACCATCAGATCACATAGCATGTCCATGGCTACAGTTTGCACCAAAAAAATCACGCACCCACTGTTGCCTGGGGCCACAGTGGTGCAAAAACGTGGTTACAAACATGGATCCACATGGATCCTCAGGATTTTTGCATTGGGCTACCCCAAACTCACCGTCAGATCACATGTCTGTGGCCACAGCATGAACCACAAAAATCATACATCCACTGTTTCGTTTAGAATATTTTTTTCTTGTTTTCCTCCTCTAAAAACTACGTGCGTGTTATGGTCGGGTGCGTGTTATAGAGCAAAAAATACGGTACATCTTCTGTATGCACACACTGTCTTGTTCATCCCCCGCTATGCAGCTGACTGGTAGACCATGCCTAACTCCAGGTCTTCCACATCAATATCTGCCACTTGGTGGCCCTGTTTTAAATTTAGAGGGAAGTTGGCAATGAGATCAAATTGCATTTGAACTACAACTATTTCTATTTCCTTGAACTGTTGAGACAGTAGCTTTTTAACACTAGTGGAGGTGGGGGGGAAAGAGGTGTACATTTATCCCACCGTTTCCCAAACTTGGGTATCCAGCTTTCGTTGGACTACAACTCCCATAATCCCTCACTAGTAGGACCAGCTGTCAGGGATGATGGGAATTGTAGTCCAAAAACAGCTGGAGACCCAAGCTTGGGAAACCCTGGTTTAGCCAGTGTGACCCAACTTTATCTGCTAAAACGCAGAGACTCAGATAGTTAATGACTGGGAGGAAGCTGGCACCCGAGGCTAAAAGAATGGCTTGGTAAACCGAGAAACGTCAGACAACGACCTGGAGAACATACTTTAACAGTACACATCCTTATTTTAAAAGAAATCTAGAACTATTTTTATGCCACAAAACATGTCTGTTCAACAACAGTGAATCTGTCAGTCAAAGCTTACATAGTAAATAAATTAATAAGTTTAGAATATTCTATTTGTATTTGAAACCATCACTAAATGGTTCCAGGGTGGGTTTCAAACACATCCCAATTAGGCTCAGCGTATAATTAAAATCATATAATAAAACCACAAAACCCATCAATATAAGAAACTGCAAGGCAGCAGGTCTAAAAGTCACAAAAAGAAATTGTCTAACAGATGCCTTCCTCCTTCATCACCACTTCAGCTTAACACTTCAAAAATGTTTTTAGCAAGGTGCAAGATATGTAAGCACTCTATTTTTCAGGGGTTGCCATGGTACTTCTGTACTAATGAAGCAGCAGAGGAAATGACTTCATAGAAGACCGCATCCAAAGAGCATTACAGTATCTTGGCAATTCAGGGTTGTATCTAACACAATCACAAGGGGACTTCCTCTCTGTCTCCTTACAACCCCACCCCAATTTGTTCTAGGGGTTCAACCAGCACACCAGAGAGAGGATGCACATGATGAGAAGACATCCTGCTGCTCAGGTGGAAGTCCTTGCACTTTTAGGATGGCTTCACTGGATGCAACGAAGATTGTCCACTATGAAACTGCCATCCCATAGTAACTCACCTATCACTATTCATTACATACTGCAAGGGGAAAGCTGGGAAGTGGTAATACCTGCGTTGCTGTTATGAGAAACTATGGAAATTCACCTACTATTCCTTTTTTTATCATTATTCAGAGAGACACACATTCTAAAAATCACGCTTTCACTCAGTGAGTGTAAAAAGGAATACAAGCACAAGCACTGAATTAGAAGGAATAGCCCAGTTTTAACCCTTGGTAGCCCCTGCAAGTATAGCATATCAGGGAAGGAAACACCAAGTCACCTGCTGGGCTGAGACTGGAGATTCTCAGTAGAGGGAATTCTGACTTAAGTCAAGTGGCATTAATATTCCACTATTGGTTCAGATCTTTTTAAATGTTCAGATGCGCCTTTATCATTACTCAAAGCCATTCCTGCATTGTGGGGGGATGGGCAAGAGATATTCGGGATCCCTTCCAAGTCTACAATTCTGTGATTCTACGATTCTGGGATTAGATGCTTATTAGGGGTCAGTTGCTGCCTATCCCAGGTAGGAAGGAAAATAAGAAACCTCCCTTTGCTAATGAAAGCCTACACTGACAACCTTATTGGAGGCACAACCTAAGGAATAGATGACCGCCCATACTGCCTTTACATCCAGGAAGAAACCAGGACACTGAAAGGTACTTTCAAAGAAATGTTACCTAGCATATGTCAGATTAACAAGCTGTCTTAATGTCATCCTCCATGCTGAGCAACAGACTCAGCAATTAGTAATAAACTAAACTCCTGCTATGCCTTACCAAGAGAATCAGAGCTCAAACAATCCATTAAGTAACTTGGTCCAGCTACGTCTTTTGATACAGGATACCTACAATTAACACAGATGACTGCTCAACCTTCTACCTGTGCAGGATACGGTTTCTCGGCTGAGTGTCTAGGAATAAAGAAATCTAAGACTCTGTTCTCCCTCCTCCAACACATCATCTTTTCTTGACTTTGTCACCGCTGCAAGATAAGCCTATCTTCTCAACCCCCAAAATAACCGGATGTGCCTTATTCAAACATAGTGAGTGTAGTATCTATATAATGAGGGACTACCAATAAATATGACTGTCAAAGCATCAGAAATATTTTCAGAAATCGTCTTACCAGTCCGTATGCAGTGCTCCTTTCATGCTCTTGTGTTATGTCAGCTACATAAGCAAATATCACAGAGAACGTAACAGCAAAAATCCCAGAAACCGAAATCATAGCAAAATACCACCTGCAAAGGAGAAAGGTGTAATGTAACTATGCAAAGATTATTTGATAGTTGTAAAACTGTGTAAGTATCATCAATCTACAACCTTTAATTAAGCATTCCATTTTGAAGAACCCAATTAAAAGAACAGACTTGACACACTTGGACCCTGCAGCAGTAATTGAACCCTAACTTGAGATAATTGACTAGAGAAAAGTGATTTATCTCTTCTAGTTTCCTTCATACACCAAAAACACCTACTGTCATTTGTACCACTTACCATGGACTTATCTTCATTAACGGAATTGGGACACAAGTGAAGAAAACTGTAACAAGGAGGAAAGACTTTCTTCCCCAGACATCAGACAAAGCACCGATCAGTGGAGCACTCAGGAAGGATAAAAACCCCTAAGAATGAAATAGAAGTTCTTTTAGTGCATTTTTTATCCTTTTATCTTTAATCTACAATTTATTCAGAGGATCACAGTAATAAGCAAATTAGCTATACATGCTGGGATGTGCCTTCTTATATAAGCATGATTTAAAAGAGCCAAAGAGAACAATCAGGAACATAGGTAGAATGTTTTCTTTTTTGGATAAAAAAAGCACATACAGGGTAGGCATGCAAACTATATTGCACTAAACACTTGTACAATCTCACAGTACTCTGGAAGAGTAAGATAAGACTGTTTCAAAGGCAAAGGTGAAGATGCTAAGCAAGTGCTGGTGAATTGTTTAGTGAACATATACACTGATCCTCAGCAGAATGAGGAATGCAATTTCTTTCCGACTAGAAATGGCATTTTAGAGTTTCATAAAGGTCACAATAGCCACAGCATAAAGCAAAATACATGCATAAAGCAAAATTCACATTATACAAAGGACAAAAAGGCTGCCAAAAATGAGAATAAATTGTAACTGGAGATGGGAGACCTCCTTCTGATTTGCAAATAATCAATTAAAAACTCATGGGTGCCAACCACAAGGTCCAAATTTCAATGTATGTGCAGGGATTAGATTTTCACAGCCCCAACGCAGCCAAGAATATACTGTAAAATCGCTTAATATATTAATTCTACTATATTAGAACACTTAAATTTAACACTAATAATGGGTCAACTCCAAATCTACTTTTATCCCTTAATATTTTCCAAATTTCTTCTCAAACCATCCTATCAAAAATGGCAGCTACAACTGTTGGGCTGCATTTTTCTGATTGAAGACAAGAGTGAACCATTTCCCTTTAGTGCAAAACTGATGAATGTCAATATGAAAAATACATTCAGCACAGAACAACAACATAAATTATCCCGGGAGACAAAGCAGCTATTCATCTGCTTACATTCTGGAGCACAAAGTAGCATGAGAGAAATTGTCAGACTTGTAAAGCATAAAGCCTGCCAAATCCATTCCACATTGCTGCAATACCAGATTATTGTTAATTGTCTGGCAGGAAATCCACACAAGTCTTAGTTAAGTAGCATACCAGTCTCAAGGTTCCACTAAGTCAACCTTCCCCAACTGGTACCTTCTAGATGTTTTAGACTCCCAGTTCCCAATTGTTTCTGCTCTCTAACCACTTTCCTGACAGTGTCTGAACTCTGAACCATTTCCCAAAGTTTGAATTTTCTCTATGCAAAAGACCCTCACAGGAAATGCTTTTTCCATAGGCAAAGATTACTGAACTAGGTAATCACGCTGTCAACAATTAACATATACCCACAATATTTACAAATTGGCACTTCCAGTAGGCAACTTTCATCCATGCTGAAAATTTTACAATTGCACACAGCAGCCGCCATTCTACATAACTTCATCATAATTTAATTTGTATTTCGCCTTTCCATAGTTAAAACCGTGCTCAAGGCAGCTTACAGCATGAAAAGATTACAAACATTACCTAATTGCAAACATAGCAAAAGTAGTCATAAAGAATAAATAAAACACATCAAAAAGTACACAACCAAAAAATGAACAATTCCAACTATTCCCATATAAACCGCTGTAAGTTCTAAAAATAAATATACAAAACAATAATGTCAACAGCAGCAACAAAAAACCCCAACAATACCCCCTAAACAATATCTCAGCCCAAGAATCTGCTATGCTAAATGTGACAATTTGCCAAAAGAAAGTGCACGTGCCTTCTGCAAACTGCTTTCTCTGGTATTATCCCTTTTATATATTTAGAACAATATTTGAAATACAGAAAAGATACAGGTAAGTCATTCAGTTTTTAATACATTCAATTCTCCCAAAAGACATCATTGCAGAGATTTTTATGTTACATCATTGAAGCAAATGTCTCAAGACTGAAGGCTATGATTTTATCCATAATAGCTTGAGGTTGCAGGGTGCACCAGAAATTTGCACACGCAAACAGAAGTAAAGAGACGGTTTTTACATGAACAATTGCTAGGAAGGTAGCCAAAAGTTAGACTAGAAAAGAACTGCAGACACAAGCTAATGGAAACACAGTGGTGCCCCGCAAGACGAATGCCTCGAAAGAAGAAAAACTCGTTAGACGAAAGGGTTTTTCGGTTTTGTGTTGCTTCGCTAGACGAATTTCCCTATGGGCTTGCTTCGCAAGACGAAAACGTCTTGCACTTTCTTCTTAAAGCCGCTTGAAGAGGCGCAGTTGCGACGGACCGTGCTTCGCAAGACGAAAAACATTGCAAGACAAAAAGACCTGCGGAACGAATTATTTTCGTCTTGCGAGGCACCACTGTATAAAACTGTGCTTAGCAGTCACCAGCCAGGTTGAAGCTCACTTATGATGCTTTCTTATCTCTGATGAATTAGGTGTGCTTTCCACAAAAGGGTGAGGTTAGTGGAGGGCAGCCTTATTTATCTGTGTTTGTTTGTTTCAGGTGCACTGTAGACAACACTGCTTCCCCACAGAATTTGAGCATGGATTACTAAATGAATTTTACAGGTTTTATCAATATCTGGACACAAGTCAGTTGGAAAGCTGGAATCACTCAAGTCAAAGTCATTACTATTACCAGCCAGATTAAAGATAGTATTTGCATACACTTCAGACAGATCTGAGTAATCAAGGCATCAACAAGAAAAAGCGGTTTCAAATAACATCTCCTACAGGCAGGGAAGGTTTACCACAGCGCTAACCTTCTTACCTTGTCCTGACACTTATTACTACACAAAGCTTCTTTTCCTGTCCTCATATACATTTCTGCAGATCAAGCTACCAATCGTCAGTTTCTTAACTATAGTCAGAAAACCCTTTAATAAAACTTCTTTTTACAGCACACATTGATATAAGCTTACATTCAGAGTAGCCTTCCCACAAATGAAAAGGCTCTTTCCATTCAGAGGGGGCCATGACCAGCATTCAAAATTTGCCAGGTGCCAGATGCATTTTGCACCTGGCTATTGGTCACCTGAGACCAACTGAAGAAGCCCAGGAGCCAGGATGGTGCTTGATGTCTCCACCATCTGGAGGAGTATGCCTGGGATCTTGACTGTTTTCACGTCCTAGTAACACATCCTGTAGAATTCTACCCATTATATTTTATCTGCACAATCAGAGTGAAATTTCAGGAACCAAAAAGTCATATTGAAAAATGTGACTTTCGAGCCGTCTGCCCCCCAAAGGGCAACTAGACATTCCATTTTGGTGACTGCAACCCTGGTTTAAGGAGTCACTTAGTGTCAAGCTTATATATCAGAGTTTCTAACATGGGCCATGACCCAGCAGAAGAGGGAGGGCAGCAATTTTTGCAGATTCTCCCTGCAGTCTTCACCTCCCACTGTCTTCTGACCCTCTGGAGAAGGGTTTCAGAGTGTTCAGAAACCAGGCAAAGTCAATCACCTTCCACAAGCAGGAGTGTTCCATGAACATAAGTCCACTCAGGGGGGTTTCTGGAATCAGCAACTATTTGTATGGTATTATCAGATTTAGAATTTGACATGAATCCCAGATTTCACATTTTTACCCTTGTATGAAAGGTTTGTTCATTGCGGTTCTTTAGTTACAGATATTTGTGACACCTTAAGTATCCACTGGGATACAATAATAAAACAAAATATGCAGCATCCTTAATCAATGGGGGAGGGTCACATGTATTATCTTCTTAGGGCCATAAACAGCAATAGAGAAAATTATCCCCTGAACTTACAATGAAACAATAATAGAACTTATCATGATCGAGAAGATTTCATATGCACTGCTGCTGCACTGACATCCCCCAAATTCTGTCCCTTTAGTGTAATATTAATTATTCCATCTCATAACATGCCAAAAAGTCTCAACCAAAGTCTCAATGTTCAATTATGATTTTGGATGCCTGCTTCATACCCCATGTAATTACCAGTTTGAATTGATCTGGTTCCAACATTTCACAAATTTGACATTAGTCAGTTGTCCAAGACTGAATGTGTTCTTACACCTCCATTTGTTTCCACATCAGTGCAATTATATAAATGTCTACTCAGAAGGCAGCCCAAATTAAGATTAATTTGACTTAATGTCAACTAAATTGCAGCCTCATGGTGGTAATCCAATGTGTTAGTTCTGTTAGCACAACTTCTGGCTGTACAACGGAACTTCCTCTTCCTGTGCACCCCATGTTCTGGGGGATCCCCAGCTCTCCAAAGCATATATTGGCAGGAAAGGAGAGGGAGGGGAAGTTCTATTATGTAGCCCGGAAGTGCTTGTGCTAGTGGAACTACTTTGTTGGACACTACTCAACAAGCAGCTAAACAGTTTTGTGACTTTTTAAATTCTGAAAATGAGCATTTCATTCTCATAGCTGCATCAATGCTGTTTGTCTCATACAAATGATAAGTCCCACAATACCAATGTATTAGAAACACTGTGCTATTATTAGGCTTACAAAAATTAACGGTTCAAGAATGGTTATGATTAACCGACTTTTTTTTAATTACCTTAACTCCTTGAATGAGGCCATTCATTAAAAATGTATGCTGAGGAAATGTTTCACGTAAGACCTAAAGAGAAGAAATTGTTATTCAAAGTAACCTTCCATTAAAGAAAATATACTAAACTACTTTAAAACATAAATACTTAGCCACTACTGACCCATCTAGAGTACCATGACTTCCGTTTCAGAACTCATCACAGTCAAATATATTTCAGTCTTCCCCATCTTATCCAAAGCCATACAGCAGCGTAGTTTTAACAGCTGCCAAACCTGGCTTTTAGTATTTTTAACAGATCTGTCACTCCCCCAGTCAATAAGCACACAAGGGAGCTATATGGATTTTTTTCGCCCCACATTCCCCTTCTCTAGAAACAGAACTGTCATGATACCACGATGAACACAATGTTAACAAGCAGCTGGCTCTCATTAAAAAAATTAAGAATAAGTTAATCAACAGAACCTAGAAGCTGTTTAAGTGTTTTTAAAAAGTTGAGATGTGTCTGCATGTTCAAGCTTTAACACACTACCCCAGTTATACTTCCAACTATTTAAATCTACTAAAAACAATTGGGGAGGGGGCCGGCAGTATTCATATTATGGTATATGTGTTTAACTACTTTGAGCACTACACCTCTAAACATCACAGTGCAGGATCTAAAACATCAAACTGCAGGCTTACATGCACCCAGCATGCTTCTATTCTGACAATAGTTCTGCATACCATCTGATAAAATTCTAACACCCAGCTGACAGTTCAAAAGAAACCAATATCCAAATAGGAAATCTGAATGTACAGCAAGTTCTTTGAGGTTCTTAGCCTCAATTGTGAACACATCACACCTGTACTTCAAATATTACAATTTAACAGCAAACAAGCATCTGAGTCAAAGTGCCTAGAAAGCAAAAATATACTAAGCTAAAGCAATGGCAAAACGTATGTACTGTTGCCTTTTTTAAAAAAAAGTTCTATTCAATGGCACATTTAGGTTGCAATGTTCCACATGTATACCTGAGAGTAAGTACCACTGAACTCAATGAGGTCTAATTTTGAGTGGGAATTCTATTCATTTCTCCATTATATTTATATGATTGTACTATAGCAAATGTTTCTTAAGCTTAGGAGGTTGCAAGTCGCTTTCTATTGTACCAGAAGTTGCACATAACTGACATAACAACATTGCACATATATGCCCATATGGAGATGCTAAATTCAAGACTTGCAAGGTAGACTGGACCAGCAAAGATGTCTTCCAATTTAGTAAGAATTCAAGAAGTATGAAAATCAGGATTTATAGGTGAAGGTGAAGGTGTAGGGATATGTATATGTATGTATGTGTGTGTGTGTGTGTGTGTGTGTGTGTGTGTCTATATCTATATATCTGCATGAGCTCTAGGGAAGGGTAGGGAACCCCTGGCCTGCAGGCCAATTTGATCAGTGGGAGAAGGGAGGCGGGGCCATTATTATTATTATTATTTGAATTTCTATACCGCCCTATACCCGGAGGTCTCAGGGCTGCAATGGGGGACTCCCACCTGCTTACAGGAGAAGAACAAAGCACCATTTCAAACAGCCTCCCCTCCCTGTAAGTAGTGGGACGTTGCTTCAAATGGCACTTTGCAATTTTTAGACAGTCCCTGTGTTCCTATCAGAAACAAAGAGGCTGCCCTAAAAGCACCTGGCATGGTTCCTTTTTTCATGCATGGTGTGCCTGCAATACACTGCTAAAAAGGGGGGGTTTAACAACTTCTCTTCCATCAGGGTCCAGGAATTTAAGCTCAGAGGCCTTTGCAAGTCTCCCCGCTTCTGTATGATCTGACTTCAGAGGCCCTGCCCACCTGACAAATTTGGTACGTGTGACAGATCCTGATAAGGATCTGGTCCGTGAAGCCAAAAAGGTTCCCTACCCCTGCTCTAGATTAGTTAAACAAAAACAGAATATAGTGTACACTTCTGAAATATGCTTGCTAGATTCATATTTAAACCACGAGGAATGCAATTCATTTTTTCCACCAAGAGAGAGGTGCAATTGGTGTTTGAGATTAAAATGGTTGTGCCCAGTGAAGTAAAAAGGTGCAGCACTGTACTAGGGATTTGGCCTGGCAAGGGAGCCTGCCAATCTTTTAGCATTTGACCTGATTGCCATCAGCAAATTTAGCAAAATGTGCATTGGGCTCTATTTTAAAGTCAATGCTTTATTGATTTTCACTGTGAATAGCTAATTTAATCCCCTGAAAAGTGGAAGCCTGAAAAGGGTGGGTCAAAAAGAGCACTGAGCAACACTGTTCAAGCCATATATATTGTAGTTCAAGCTCATTGATGAATTTTACTCTGCTACTTGAGTGGGGAGGCAACTCAAAACGTTCCCTACATTCTTGCCAATCATATCAATTTACTACTGATTTGCTATATTTATGCAGCATGTTTCTGCACTCAAGGTGGTTCATAATTTAAAATGATGGCTTACAAATTAATCAATAAAAGGCAAAAGACAGGAAAGAGAAACTAAGCAGATTCAGATAACAGCTCTTACATAATGACTAAGTCACGGGTAGGCAAACAGCTTCTAGGCTTTTGCAGATACTGATATATACATACAGTCGTACCTCGTTTTGCAGCCCCGGCCGCTAGTCAAAAAAGACGCAGGGCAAAGTGCCACATCTGCGCACAGAGCAGTTTGTGCTTCTGCGCATAGTGTGATTTAGCGCTTCTGCGCATGCAGGAGCACCAAACCCGCAAGTAACCCGTTCCAGTATTTCTGGATTTGCCACGGATTTTTGCCGGAATGGATGCTAGACGAGGCGGACGTTCGCAGAGGTATTACTGTACAAATATGAAGTATCTCCATTTCTCTAAATAAGTTCAGCAATTCAAAACGTAACACTGAACAAGTAATTGTTAGTAATTAACTAACAGACAGACACTACCAACTGCAGACTCACAGAATGACACATTAATGACAGATATTGTCATGGCACTGGGCTGTTACCAAAGAAACTGGCTTGGTTAACCTTGCACCTGTGATTAGCTCATCCATGGGGTGATTTACACTCATGAAGGAAATGAAACCCTTATGGTGTCCAGTTACCCCAACACAGATGTTGCTGAACCTAAACTCCCAGTAGCCCCAGCCAGCATAGTCAACAGCCAGGGATGGTGGAAGTTCTAGTTCACCAACATCTGCAGGGCCACACATTAGCCACCTTTAGCCTGTGCCAACTTAATGGAGAGGGCCTGCTGGTGTAATGGCAGCTGAAGGAGGCAGCTATGGAAGAAGATGAGCCAAGTAACAGCAGGACTCTAACCTCCAAGTATAGTACCAGAAATTAGAAATAAAAACCATTGTTTAATGTAGACCATTATTATGACAGGCAAACACATATAATTCTGAAAGTACTTATTAATACTACACAGCTCTGAGCAAAAACACCCAGGTTAGGAAACTTACTGTGAGCATGGGAGTTGTAAGCAGTCCCCAAGCAAAGAATTCCAGGAAGATGACAATAACTGCATGGTACACACTTGGTCGACCAATACCTTGCTGTTAAAGGGGGGGAAATGTGATATTAATACAGCACAACTCTTAGAAACTTGCTTCTGACAACATTTTAAATGGTACAAGGCATTCTATTTTAATTTAAACATACGGCCAGTGGGGGTTTTGCCAAATCAATTGGAGTTAAGAGCTCGCATTAAACTAGAATACTGCTGTGGGGTACATGCCAATTAATGAAGCAGTAGTACATCAATTCTATGTTTCTCTTGAAATTATTTCTAATTAAGCCTATCCTGAGAGTTCAAGGCAGGTTAACAATTTTTAAACATGGGTTAGACAAATCCTTAAAAGATATAAAAGCTTACTTACTAAACTAGGGTATTAAAATCCAACTGAAAGAAAAGCTGTGTGCTGTCTGAAAACGGCCAGAATGACAAATCCACAGGGAAAGAGTAAGAACGTGAAAAGAAAGGGTTTCCGTTTTGCAGAGGGTTTTCTCCCACACATAATGATACCTTGTCTGTGTAAACTGGGAGATTATTTTAAAATATGCAGGCTGTAATACTTGACACAGTTACTGGAGTTCCACTGAACTGTTCCCTTCATCCCAGAGTATGCAGTTTAATCAAGTGAGTTATTAATTTAACTGGGAGCTAGAGTGCTGAAGCAGGTAAAAGTGGTAAACAAGGAGCTTGGAGACTCAGGTTTAAATCCCCATCTGCCATGAACATCACCAGGTGACCCCAGAGTCCCTTGACCTACCCAACCTCACAGTGTACTGCAGTAATAAAATGGAGAGGCTGGGCGGGGGGTGGGGGAGAGAGAGAGAGCCTCTTTGAAATCTTTGGAGAAAAGGTGGACTATATATGTAACAAATAACAGAAAATAAATTAATGGATACTTATACATTTACTATGTACAACTCTACTCTTCGAAATAGCACCAACTAAAGTTTTCCCCCCAATCACCTACAAAACAGGAATATAGATTTGCTTATGAACTTCAACAGTTTCCACAATGTTTCCTTTCATTCGTGACGTTTCCTGCTACTCAACAATATTAAATGGAATTGTTTTAATAATCTCCTGTGAGTGCACAGAATGCTGGAGTCAGCAAAAATGACAGAAAGCTATGCTGTGGACTTACTAACCACCTATATGGTTTCTTTTTACAAAATTAAATGGTTCAGCTTATATAACTCATTAAAACTTATGCCATTAAGAGATTTTTTTTTTGTATGTGTGCCAATGGCAGACATTTTTATGTTCAATTGTTCAATCAATTCAATTAACTAAGCTTTCAGTTTATTTAAGCTGGTACTGAAACACCAGAGTGGTGACAGAAAAAGAAATTTCTGCCAATTACAGTGGTACCTCGGGTTAAGAACTTAATTCGTTCTGGAGGTCTGTTCTTAACCTGAAACTGTTCTTAACCTGAAGCACCACTTTAGCTAATGGGGCCTCCCACTGCCGCCGTGCGATTTCTGTTCTCATCCTGAAGCAAAGTTCTTAACCCGGGGTACTATTTCTAGGTTAGCGGAGTATGTAACCTGAGGCCTATGTAACCTGAAGCGTATGTAACCTGAGGTACCACTGTATAAAGGAAACAAATTCCTTTCTACTAACACTTCCTTGTCCCTTTCACTCCCCTTTCCCCCATACATTTTGCTCAAATCCCCCCTCCTAATACTGAATGGTGAAAAAGAAACGCACCCAAGACTAGAACATGATATACTATCTCTAAATAGTCAGTCAAAAGAAGTTTCTGCCAAAAGATGACAAATCCCTTTCCTCTCTAAAATCAAGCCTTATGAGGAATGGTTGAAGGATCTGGGAACGTTTAACCTGGAAAAGAAGAGACTGAGAGGAGATATGATAGCCATCTTCAAATATCTCAAGGGCTGCCCCATGTAAGAGGGAACATGCTTGTTTTCTCCTGCTCTAGAGGGTAGGATTTGAACCAATGGCTTCAAGTTACAAGAAAGGAAATTCTGATTAAACATCTAGAAAAAATGTTGACAGTAAGAGCTGTTCAGCAGTGGAACGGTCTCCCACAAGAGGTGGTGGACTCTCCGTCCTTGGAGGTTTTAAAGCAGATGTTGGATGGCCATCTGTCTTGGATGCTATACCTGAGATTCCTCCACTGCAGGAGTTGGGACTAGCTGAACCTTGAGTACCTTCCAACTCTAAGATTCTATGAATTCTATATAGAAAGTGGATGGGAGAGAAGAAAAGGGGTCCAATTTCAGCTGGCTGACATTTGTCTTGCTGCTTTCTTTTCAATTAACCTGTCACACTCCCTATATCACTTAAAAATAGTCATTAGAGACTGTTAGCCAAGAAATAAGAACGCTATAGTTAGATTTCACATGGACATTCATTGGGGAAATGACAGGATGAGATTTTGCACTTTGTGCCTCTGATGGATATAAGATGCAAATAGAAGGTTGTGATCTAATGTCAGACATTTTTTATACCAGTGGGGATAGACTGCTCTAGAATACTTATTAGTGTAACCAAGAAAAGCTATTTCCCCCCCAGTTTGCCTGAAACATAGAAGTTGGATGTTCCTCACCTACTAGTTTATTTCCGCATGCATTACATTTTCAACTCCACACTCTCTGATTGCCTTTTTTATTACATTAAAAACAACATCAAAATATTTAAGAAAAACCACTCTGGACATTCTTTTCAATGTTAGTAAACACTCTGGAGCTGAATCCTTTGATGTCCCAAGCTTGTAGCTCATTTGTGCTTATGGATAACATTTTCTCATCAGAATTCGGGTGAATGAAACAATGTTGTAAGAACAGGTGTGCTGGATACTTTGTATCAGAACAAAATTTTCCCTGTTCCTTAATTATGCTAGCCAGTGCTCAAGAGGGCCACTGGTCCACAAAATCCTGCCCTAAAACTCCTATTGAAGAACACAAGGGAAGCATTCCCCTAGGATGTTTAAAAAATATTGCCTAGAGGTTTTCACCCTGAATTTGAGGTCAGGAAATTTGACTGCCACTGTCTAAAATACAGTGGTACCTCAGATTACATACGCTTCAGGTTACAGACTCCGCTAACCCAGAAATAGTGCTTCAGGTTAAGAACTTTGCTTCAGGATGAGAACAGAAATCGGGCTCCAGCGGTGCGGCAACAGCAGGAGGCCCCATTAGCTAAAGTGGTGCTTCAGGTTAAGAACAGTTTCAGGTTAAGTACGGACCTCCGGAACGAATTAAGTACTTAACCTGAGGTACCACTGTACATAAAACAAGGTTTGCACAACTGTTTTACTAGAAAAATCACAAGCTGGTTTAATTTATATACTTGGGAACCCTGTGTACCTAAACTACTTTGAAAGTAACCATTCCAACCAAGGAACAATTCATTCTACATGAGCAGGTTGCAAGACTCAAACAGGGAACCTGGTACAGCTTTAAAGGGCTGTGAGGTACCCTGTACGACTTATTTCACTCCAATAAACCATGTCCAAAGTACACCCACTCTAACTGAAAATATTAAACTAGTTATACTGATTTGGCTGCTGTCACAAACCTTACTTGAACATGGTGAGTGATGGGAAATATTTATGTACTGCCATACAGGATGTGGTGGAATATGGTGTGTTTATAGCTAGAGGCAGCCCCATCACACAGATGATCACCATGACTGGGTTAGCTTGCTGTCACTGAGGCAAGTCTGGTCCTGGGTTAATCAACAGCCTGTACAGCAAGTGCAACTTCCTCTTCTTCAACTTTTGAGTATCTTGTGTTTGTCTGTAGCCCATTTAATGAGTTTGGTGCAAAATGTATTCCTATTATACAATGTTAAGTCTGCATGCATAGATCTGATCAAAGTCATTTGCATGCATATTATGTGATAAAAGGGCGCCAATTGCTACAAGTTTTCCCATAAATAAGAAAGACTAACCAATGCTAATTCTATACAGTGGTACCTCTGGTTACGAACAGAATCTGTTCCGGAGGTCCATTCGTAATTGAAAACCACTCGTAAGATGAGGCGTCACTGGCAAAAGCGCGCCTCTGGCACGCAATTTCCACTCACATCCCAGGGCAAAGTTCTCAACCAGGAACGGCGACTTCCGGGTTAGTGGAGCTTGTAACCCGCAATGTGTGGAACCAGAGGTACCACTGTAATGGCTTTACCAGTAAAGATAAACTGCTTAGATACTAAGTTTGAGCAGCTGAATCAATAGTTCTGTGGGTTACTGAATGGCTTTTATTGCAACATATTGCTCTTTCTGAACTTATTATTTTTTTTAAAAGACATCTAGAGGCTTATGTAACAAATTACTAATAAATTGCAAAAAGCAACTAATAAACTGAATACATCATCATAATCACCAGAGCCTGACATGAGATATGCACAGTGCTAGAATGAAGACATGCCAAACCTTTGTGCCAAGGCTTGCAGTATATCCAAACACAAGCATCATGTCACACTGCATATAAGAGGTTAGGCACACACTATTTTTGTGCACTCTACACTACACAAGTGATACTTGAATTAGCTCCAGAAGGCACGTCATTCAATGTTTACTAGCAATGTGTGCAGGGAGACAGCTCAACTCCTACATTTCAAATGAATTTTTGCATGCCCACTCCTAGATAACGTCAATGTGTTATCTTCCGAAGATACGAACAGCATCTAGCATATAACTGAGAACACAAAATATGTTAGGCACATTTTGCATTCTCAAATTTTTTAAAAGCGCCATTGCTCAAATAAATAAATGAAAAAATTACAGATTGGACAAACTGTGAAAGAGTAGAAGACTCTAGCATAATTTGCAAGCCGTAGCAGTGGATTGTCCATGGGCTGAGACTTAAAGGGAGTAATCCAGCTGGCTCCAATGCATAGCATTTTTAAAGCAGCAAATAGTACAATGAATCATATAAGAGTTGCAAAAACTGAAAAAAGGCCTTTTCTCACGCCTGCCTGAAAGACTTCAGCAGGTAGCCAACCCCTATAGTGTAAACACAAGAACTCACTTAGCCCGTATCAAGGGTGAGGCCTGGAGAGCCCAAGCCAAGCACACATTGAAAGAAAGAAAGAAAGAAAAACACCATGCAGAGATCAACAATATTTTATAGCACAAAAAGGAGCATTAAGGAGTCTTGTGGTATGAGTTTTCAAGGGGAAATGATATATAACGAAATGAAAAAGATGTTTAAAATAATGTTGGGGGGACGGGGACCAGAAGCTTTTATTTTTGAAATTATAGGGACAGAACTAGCTAAACTGTATAGAAACTTATTCATATACAGTATGCAACTACCAGTGGCAAGAATGTTACTCGCCACCAAAGTGGAAAGAAGCAGAAGTCATAGTAAAGGAATAATGGGTACAAAAACTTGTGCAATATGCAAAAATGGGAGAAACTTACTGGATGACAATTACAAGATGACAATTGTTGTTGTTTTTTGCAAAAGAATGGAAATGATTTGTTCAATATTTACAGATAAATTGTAAACAAAGAAGAAGATTGGCAGGATTATTGTAATAACCTGCAGTTTCATAAGAGTATATATTTAAAGTATAGGAATAAATGAGCAAATTAAGTTAATTTGGATATGCAGAAGATATTAAAAATAAATTTAAGGAACTGCAGAAAGAAGGGGAAGGAAGTCAATTTTTGAAATGTTAAAATGATTGTAAAATTAGTGAAATGTATAAACCTGAAAGGTTTTTGGGGTTTTCTCGCGTGCACTTCATCCCTTGCATCCAAGCTGGGGAAACCTATACCCTTTTAAAATGTGACTCTTGGGGGGGGGGGGGTTATTGAGGTTTTTTATTTTTACTTTATATATTGTGATCTTTTCTGTGAACTGCCCTGAGACATCCGTGTATAGGGCAGCATATAAATTCAATAAATAAAAATAATAAACCATTTTCAAAGAAGTTCAGTCAAAGTGAGCCTTAAGAAAGAATATGGGAGTGCCAGGGAGAAGTCAAAGCAGGGGGTTTGAAGGAAGAAAATGAGTGAAGAAGGGAGTGGGGATGAAAGTGGGCTGAGCCTACCCCCAACATATAATGGCTTTTGAATTACAAGAAATGTGGCTCCTTTGGGGGGGAGAGGGTGTTATTGGGTTATTGATTTTATTTTGAGTTTATATATTGTGATCTTTTCTGTGAACCGCCCTGAGACCTCTGGGTATTGGGCGGTATATAAATTCAATCAATCAATCAAAACAACTCCCCCGTGTTTCCCTAATAATAATAATAATGACTCCTATTAATAATAACTCCCCCGTGTTTCCAGAATAATAATAACTCCTACTAATAATAATAACTCCCCCGTTTCCCCAATAACTCCATGTTTCCTCAATAATAAAAATAACAACTCCCCCATGTTTCCCTAATAATAATAATAACAATAACTCCTATTAATAATAACTCCCCCGTGTTTCCCGAATAATAATAACTCCTACTAATAATAATAACTCCCCCGTTTCCCCAATAACTCCCCCATGTTTCCTCAATAATAAAAATAACTCCCCCATGTTTCCCTAATAATAATAATAACAACAACAACAACTCCCCCGTGTTTTTTCTGGCCCGACCTTTACCACAGAGCCCACCGAGGCCCAACAGATCGGGGAGCAAGAAAAGACACAAATGCGGACGAGCGAGGAGGCGGCCCCCCGACCTCCACCCCGCGGACTGCGAAGGAAGATGCCTCGAGCCTCTCCCGGCGCCTGACGGGCCCGCAGCGCGTCCGCTTCCCGGGGCCGGGACCCCCGAGGAAGTCCTCCGCCTGCTCCGGGGCACTGCGCAGAGGCGCGAAGGGGAGGAGAGGGGCCCTGTTCCCCGGGCTACTCACCGCGGCGGCGCCTCCGCCCGGCTTGAGGCCGATCCTCCTCACCAGCATGATGCGGCTGCCCCACTGCTTCCCTCCGCCGGCTCCGGCCGCCGCCGCCGCTTCTCCGTCCACCACGGCCGCCACAGTCAAGGCCACCACCTCCGCTTCCCGGGCCGGAGGAGGAGGAGGAGGCGGCGGCGGCTCCGGCTCGGGGCTCATTCCGCTCCCATCTTGCCGCCCCGGAGGAGGAGGCGGCGGCGAGGCAGGGGCTCCGGGAGGCCTCCCGCCGGCTCCCTCATCTGCTGCCACCGTCGCGAGGGGCCAGGCGGGGAGGGACGGAAGCCGGGAGGGACGGAACGCGCGCCGGGAAATAGCTTCGAGCCGACGCTGCCGCTGCCGCTTTCCGTCTTCGCTCCGCCTCGCTACTCCCCTCACAGAACCCTCCCCACGTGACCCGGCCTCCCTCCCTCCCTCCTCCCAGGGACCTCCCACCGGAAACTGCGTCACACACGGAGGCGGGGGCATATGGTGGGTGGGCGGGGCATCTGCGCTACATTTCCTTTACGCACTTTCTGGTGCAGTTCCCCCCGCCGTTCGAGCGTCCGGGATCACGTGACTCGGAGCGGGCGTTAGGGCCGTTGCTATGGTTTCCTTCTTTCGAAGGGGATGCACGTGGCGGGGGATGGAAGGCCTTCAATTACCAGGGCCTTTGCTTCGGATCATTTTTATCTGTTTTTAAAATCCATTTTTATCCGGGTTTTGTTTGTTTTTTTAAGCCAAGAAAGGCCTTCCATTTCTTGCACCCTTTTTCTTTCAATAGGCCCAAGAACCCAGTGCTGGAGTTGAATAATTTGTTAAAATTGCTGGTTGTAATATTCCTATCTTCGCTAGTGGTATTTGTGAAAAAAGGAGCACCGATGTTAAGTTAGGCATTGCATTTGAAAAGGAACCCAGAGATGGAAAGAAGATAAAATCCCGGCCCAAGAGGAATGGCAGATGGAAGTTGAGGGATTATGCCGAAATGGCTAAAATGACCGGAAGAATCAGAAATTGGGAAGATTTTAATAAGGAATGGGGGGGGGATTACAGTGGTTTTTAAGATAAATTACAGTGATACCTTGGGTTATATACGCTTCAGGTTACATACTCCGCTAACTCAGAAATAGTGCTTCAGGTTAAGAACTTTGCTTCAGGATGAGAACAGAAATCATGCTCCTGCGGCGCAGTGGCAGCAGGAGGCCCCATTAGCTAAAGTGGTGCTTCAGGTTAAGAACAGTTTCAGGTTAAGAACGGACCTCCGAAACGAATTAAGTACTTAACCCGAGGTACCACTGTATAAACGAAACTAAAATTGTTAGTAGGATTGGAGTAACACTTCTAGTATAATGGTGAATTTTGGACATAATGGAGATGTAAAAGATTTGGATTATCATAAAAGATGCAGGAGGAAATGATTAACAATAGGACCTACAAAGGTGAGGAGGAAAGTCCAGGAGATTCTTTGGCATCTTGGTTTTTATGTTGTATGTTGGATATATTGGTTGTAACACTTTAATCTGAAAAACCAAATAAATAAATTTACAAATGAAAATGAAAAGGATCAACTGTCTTCCTGGGAACGTCAAATCTGGAGTTCAGAGACATTCTGAAACCTAAGCCTCTGCCGACTCAGAAAGCGGGAGAAGATAAACAGAATGGCATTGTGTAGTTAACACGCAAAAGGTTTTCATGTGACTGTCATCTTCCAAGGTCAACAAAGGTCAAGAGCTAGAGCAACAAGGTTCTTGTGGAGAGATGGACCCATTGAGTCTGTCCCATGATTGAAAATGAGAATTCTGGATCTGAATGGTCACATTTTGAAAACCTAGTAACTTGACTGAGGACGTAGTGCATAACACATGCAGGTCCTGCTCTCTGCCCTCTCATTAAGATTCTGTGGATTTTGTTATTTAATAGGCAAATGTTTAGATTTCAATATAATTTGATGAAGCTTTCTTAATTTCTAAGAATAGTGATGATTCTTGGGACAGGGTATATGACGTCAGAGACAATTCTTAAGATCATATATTGTTTGCATCAGATTCTTCATCCAATCAAGTCCCTATAACAATTTCTCATTAGAAAAAAAGGAAATTAATTTTTTAAAAATTAAAAGTCCCTATAATAATTTTACTGTATCTCTTTTCTTTCAGAGTCTAACTTCCTCATACACAAAAACAATTTATGCTGGTGATGAGACTCAATCTTGTCATTCAAAAAGATTCAGTATTAAATCATTCAGTGTGAAATCGTTAAAAAGCATAATGAAGTCAGATGCAACAGGGCCTTTGACAAAAGCAGAACCAAAATCTTCCGCTGGGACATTGGATAGTGACTCACAAGAACAGGTTGAAAGAAAAACAGATTTGATGCCCATGCAAGAGCTAAGCACACCAGAAACATCATTTAAAAGTGAAAGTGGGTTGATAAAACATCCAGAATACATTTCCTACAAAAAAGAAGATGTGTTGGTTTTTCGAAACACATATGAGGCTGATGATGAAGAGAAATTTGTAAGTGAAATTGATTTGAGGCCAAAAAAGGAACTAACCATGTCAGATGCCGAAACTTTTGAATCTACAAAACAGTCAGAACACATTCCCCATAGAAGAGAAGATGTAGTGGCTTTCGTCAATGAATATGATGGCAAAGAAGAAGAAACCTGATACCACAAAAGAGTTGAAGCCGAAGCTGATATGGGTGCTGCCCATATCAGATGCAGAAATGTCAGGAGAGCGCAAAGTGGCTTTTGCAGATGACCATTATGATGACGAACATGTGCACTTTGGTAGTGTAACTCACTTGAGGCCAGTGCAGGTGCTAACCAGATCAGATGCAGAAACTCCAGAATCTACAAAACCAGCCGAACGTAGTGTGGCTTTCGCAGATGACCAACCTGAAGATAAAAGAGAGCATCTTGAGGGCAGAGCTGATATGAGGCCAGTGCAGGAGATACCAGTATCAGATACAGAAACTTTGGGATCATTCAAACAAGCAGAGCGCAGAGTGGCTTTTGCAGATGACTATGATGATGCTGAAGGTGTACATACTGGGAGCTTAGCTGACTTGAGGCCAAGGCAAGTGCTATCCATATCGGATGCAGAAACTTTGGGATCTTTCAGACCAACAGAGCGCAGAGTGTCTTTTGCAGATGACCAACCTGAGGGTAAAGGAGAGCATCCTGAGAGCAGAGCTGATGGGAGGCCAGTGCAGCTGCTAACCGATGCCAAGAGTTCAGGATCTACAAATCCAACAGAATACCCTCCCCTCCCAGTAATGGCTAATGATTAAGGATAATGTGAGAGGTAGTCGTTTATTCCTCCCTGTGGCTTTCATACGGAGCCCCCGGTCGTCTCACGGACTATTGACCCATACAGCACTAATCCGCTGCCACCAACCAGGTCCTCCCCAGTAAAATCACTTCAGCCTCAGTCAGGTTCTCAATTAATAGAGAAGAGTGTATTTTATTTCAGTCACAAACTTTTATGGCATTCCAAACATTGTTACTCTTTACTTTCTTAGTCTTATTTTCCTCTCTCTATCTCTTCTACCTCCCCTCACGCAAGAACCCACTGCCCTAACTGTCTCTCTATTACCAACTGCTTCTCCAGCTGCCTCTCCCAACCAGCCAACCCACTAAAACCAACCAACTACCCACTAACAACAACAACAACTAATTCAAACCTCGGCTAAGCCCTTTTATACACAGGTAGGCTCTGCCTCTGGCTTTCCTATTGGTCTATATTTTTAACCCTATCTTTTCCACCTGTTAAAACATTTTCTAAATGAATAGGCAAACGCCACACTCCCTTAAATATATAATCTGCATTTAACAACAAAGAGCCCTACTGTATCAGGCCACAAGCCTGTTGGGTCCAGGATCCTGTTCCCACAGTGGCCAATGAGATACCTATGGGAAATAGGCTGAATGAAACTGCATCCTCCCCCCTTGTGATTCCCAGTAACTGATATTCAGAGGCATACTGCCTCCCAACAGTGAAACTAGAACTCCTCCTTCTTTGGTGATCACTCGCAGCTGAGTAAGATTGTCTTCCATGAACACAGTCTTAACAGTGAGTCTGTAAGTGACTGTGGAGGCCATTTCTGGGTCCACATGTCCTTCCACAGCAGGGAATTATGTTTGCAATTATGCAGATTGAAGCCAATCGGAAGTTAAGCAGTGTTATAACAGAATTGACAACATTCCGAATGACAAGCTTGCCAGCCCAAGTTCTCTGCTAGAACAGATGGAGTGAGGGAGTGTGTTGAGCCTCGTACAGGAAGTTTTTTGGGGTCATAGGTTGAGACAGACATGTGTGCCATTCTATGTACCTTGCTCTCTCCAGAACAAAGAAATTCTGTCCCTGCCCTAATTTTTTGTGATTCTCCATTCCCATTACAGTACATCCTCCCCCCTGCTGAATTCCAGGCCTTTCCTATGGAGAATGGATTTCCCCCTGCTTCAGAATGTATATTTAAGAACCAAACAAATGAAGACCAAATGTTTTTACCAAAAGTTTTCCTTACCTAAACCAGAGCTTGCCAAAATGTGAGTTTAACGGAATCCATTGTCCTTTCAGGAAGAATCAACCATCGCAGATTATTCCGATTTGTATGCTGAGATTGCAATGCCATGTGACAAGGATGAAGTCAGAAACTTTACGAAAGCCTTTCTTCCCATTGCTGACTCCCTGATCTGTGTCCTGGGGATCGTGGGATATATGTTTGTAGTGATGACATTTGTTTTATGTAAGAGGTCTGATTCTATAACTGATGTCTGCCTCTGCAATATGGCTATTGTGGACATATTGTTTGTTCTCACTCTTCCTTTCTGGGCAGTAAACTACGCTCTGGACAACTGGATTTTGGGGGATTTCCTCTGCAAGCTCACCAAAGGTACCGTATTTTTCGCTCTATAGGACGCACCAGACTTATCACACCTAGTTTTGGGGGGAGGAAAACAAGAAAAAAAATATTCTGAATCCCAGAAGCCAGAACAGCAAGAGGAATCTGGCTTCTGGGATAGCCTCTTGCTGTTCTGGCTTCTGGGATAGCCGCTGAAGCCTCTCCCAGGCAGCGGGATGAAGGCTCCCCCTGCCCGGAAGAGGCTGTGCGTGGGTAAGCTGCCCTCTGTCCCTCCCCCACCTCCCACAAGAGCTGCTCACTCTTTAAAGGGAGCGCGGCTCTTGGGGGCTTATCTGGGAGGTGGGGGGAGGGACAGAGCCCCGTGCTCTGTCCCTTCCCCCATCTGCCGCAAAAGCCACGTGAAGCCTCCACAGGGCAGCGGGGAGTCTTCAACCCGCTGCCCTGAGGAGGCTTCGGGGGGCTATCCCAAAGCCAGAACAGCGAGAGGGAGCGCTGCGTAGTGCTCCCTCTCACTTTTCTGGCTTCTGGCATAGCCGCGCAGCCTGCACTCCATAAGACGCACACACATTTCCCCTTACTTTTTAGGAGGGGAAAAGTGCGTTTTACAGAGCGAAAAATACGGTACCTTGTTTGAATCTCTATGATTCAGGCCATCACATAAAACACAAATGGGAGGGCATCTGGACCTCTCCCACCCTCCTCAAAACGATCTCTCCTGCGTTATAGGAGGCATTACTCAAAGTCATTCTCCGATTGCACTGGACACTGGCAAAAATTAATCTCTCCCTTTTCCCTTTATGTTGGAAGGGCTATGGAAGGCTTAGTTCATTTAGTCATGTTTGGTGGGAATGCCCCTGTTAAGTTGTGGGTGAACATATCAGACGACACAGCGATTCTTCAAACAGCTCTTGTTTATTCACGGGCCAGAACAGAACTGAACTGAAGGGTTCAGTCAGCCTGCTTATATAGTGCTCCAGAACAACGTAACTGTAACAATTTTCTAAAACTATCCAATCACTGAATGTCACTTTCGATCCCTTATTTGCATAACTAGCTACAGTATCCCCCTGCTGGCCCAGGGTGAGAACTTCAGTACATTACAGCCCCCATGTTAAACTTTTGGAGTAGAGCCTTCTCCATTATATCTGCAATTACAGGCCAACCCCTTTCTCCAATTCTTAGCCTTACTATCTTTGGATATAGACTTGGGCTCCACCCTGCACCACAGAGGCTTCGTACTGACCGCAGCACGATTAGCAGTAGCTTAGCAACAGAAAAACCAGACTGAAATACCCCTCCACATATGGGGAAATAAGATCTGGGATACAGCAATGTCTGAGTGTTTCACCAGACACAGGAGGGCAAAAAAAGGCATAACAATTAGAGACACCGTCCTAGAAACATGGACCCCTTTAAGTATGTTAATGACCCAGCTCAAGACCTTGTTATACCAACCGCTCAATATTTCAGTGAAGGATTTACATTAAGTATTATGTTTGAATATTGAATGTGCAAGTGTATGTCTAGTGACAATGGATAAAACAAAGACAGTTAGTACTGCTGGCTGTACTGCTGGCTAAGTATTCTGTGGTATTAATATTTGTTTACAAACCAATAAAAAATGGCTTGTTATAAAGTGCTATTAGAATGGAATACTAAAGATGAGGAGGTGAAAAGTGTAATGATAAGATGGGCACAAGACCTGGGACATAATATTGATTTTGAAAGATGGGAAGTAATGTGGAATAAAACAACTAAATTCACAGCCTGCGTGGCTCTCCAGGAGAACTTAAAGAAAATGATGTACCGTTGGTACATCACCCCGAGTAAGCTTGCAAAAATGTACAGGTGCCAGGACAAATTATGCTGGAAATGCAGGGCAAAGGAAGGAAACTTCCTGCATATGTGGTGGACTTGCACTAAGATTAAGGCTTTCTGGGATATTATCTATAATGAATTAAAAAAGATACTAAAATACAATTTTGATAAAAAACCAGAGGCATTTTTATTGGGAATAATTAATGAAGAAATTCATTAAAAATATATAAATTTATTTATGTATGCCACAACGGCACAAAGGTGGAAACAGCAGGAACTCCCTACGTTGGAAGATTGGAGAACTAAGATGGTAGAATTTGTGGAGTTGGCGAAGCTGACGGGGAGAATTAGGAACTGACCCGAAAAAAAATACCAAAAGGACTGGAGCAAATTTATTTATTACCTGAAAGAAAATTGTACTTATATGAAAACGTTTGTAGCATTAATGTGATATGTTTTGTAATGAGGAATTATGATTGATTTATAAATAAGAATGTGATTTCTTCATGTTATTATATGATAAAGAAGTGACCATGAGAATGCGATAGGTATGTCAAATGCTATAGGGATGCCAGAAAGAAAGACGGAAGTCAAGGCTCAATGTGAGCAAACAATATAAGTTGTGAATATGTCTATGGAATTATGATGAAATACAGAAAAAATCAATAAAAATTATATTTAAAAAAATGGTTCTTTGTAACGAGGGTGCAAGAGGCCTGATAAAATAAGTAGTTAAATGGGTCACTTTGAGATACGCAAGAAGAGGAGTGGGTCTTTAGGAAGCCAGCATGGTTGATCTAGTAACTACAGTTTTGGGAGGTGTAGCCGGCTTGGCAGTGGCCACAATTGCTGTCCCAGCAGCACTGGGAGCAGCAGGTTTCACTGGAGCTGGAATTGCAGCTGGCTCTGGCTGCAAAAATGATGTCAGCAGCGGCCATCGCCAATGGTGAAGGAGCAGCAGCTGGGAGCGCTGTTGCCGCGCTTCAGTCAGTCAGTGCTGTTGGGCTGTCCGTTGCTACCAATGCTGCAGTGACAGCTGGTGGAGCAGTGCTGACTGCCGCCTTACGTTAAGAAGAAGACACACATGCACAGAGCCCACATCTACTTGGAAGAGTAGTAGTTGGAAAATTATGCTTTGCCGTCAATGGCATAACTCACTTGACTTACCTTAAGCAAAATGTGATTTTAATCAATGCTATGTTATTCATGGGACACGGGTGGCGCTGTGGGTTAAACCACAGAGCCTAGGACTTGCTGATCAGAAGGTCGGCGGTTCAAATCCCCGCGACGGGGTGAGCTCCCGTTGCTCGGTCCCTGCTCCTGCCAACCTAGCAGTTCAAAAGCACGTCAAAGTGCAAGTAGATAAATAGGTACCGTTCTGGCGGGAAGGTAAACGGCGTTTCCGTGTGATGCTCTGGTTCGCCAGAAGCGGCTTAGTCATGCTGGCCACATGACCCGGAAGCTGTACGCTGGCTCCCGTGGCCAATAAAGCGAGATGAGTGCCACAACCCCAGAGTCAGCCACGACTGGACCTAATGGTCAAGGGTCCCTTTACCTTTACCTATGTTATTCCCACTGGCCAAAATGTGCAAAAACAAATAAAGCTTAGAGAATTAAACAACAAAAATAACTAATAATAATAGTCACTTTGATGGAGATTATGTCCCAACTCATATGCACAGGGCTTGACTTTTCACAATTCAATCAATGTGATGGAAAAAATAATTGCAATAGTCAGGAGAGCAGCCCATTGTTCCAATCTAGAGCTAATCAGACTAGCTGAAGAGTGATGTTAACACCACCTGTCTCCACAAAAAGAAAACCACATCCTGGCTCGCCAGGAAATGCATTGCTTCAGTAAGAGAGAAGTACATTGTTCGTACTTAGATCTAATCAGACTAGCTAGAAAGTGAATACGACAACCTGTCTCCACAAAAGAACATCCCATCTTCCTGACCCCACAACTCCCACTCGGTCATCTCTTTCATCAACCCTTTGATCCCATCAATACTGAATTTTCCTTTGCGGCCTTTGTCCAGAAGGGTATAAAAACTGGACTCCTAGACCCATTTCCTGTTCTGATTACCCAGATCTGCACTACAGTGGTACCTCGGGTTACAGACGCTTCAGGTTACAGACTCCGCTAACCCAGAAATAGCACCTCGGGTTAAGAACTTTGCTTCAGGATGAGAACAGAAATCGTGCTCCGGTGGCGCGGCGGCAGTGGGAGGCCCCATTAGCTAAAGTGGTACCTCAGGTTAAGAACAGTTTCAGGTTAAGAACGGACCTCCAGAACAAATTAACCTGTTCTTAACCTGAGGTACCACTGTATATATTTAAAGCTTGTTCCATGCACATTGAAACCACATGACTTCCCTCAAAGAATCCTGGGAATTGGAGTTCCTACCTCGCAAAAATATCATTTCCAGCACCTTTAGCAAAGTAATGTGGCTTTTATGGCAGCCTGCCATGCAGAGATGTAACAGGTGGTTCCTGTACTGGAGATAAAATGACGTGAGTTTTTTACATTGTGTGGCCGGAATATACAGTATGGGAAGGTTCTGTTTAAGTTGCCATGGCTCCAGGTAACCCGGAAATAATGTGGAGTCAGAAAGGCAACTGTGAGGTGTGTGTTTCTTTCTGTGTACCACAGTGTCATAGCAACTGATGTCAAGCAAGGCAGAGAGCTAGATAAAGCTGGCGAATAAAGCAGACTAGAAATTAATATCTGGCGGCATACATAGAGCTTGCAGATACCTATTTCCGGTGCTCCTGATGAAAGATTAAGGAACCACAGGTGAGTGGAGCATGGGGAGAAGAAAGGAAGTCAGTTCTTATTCATGCTTTGTAATGACTTGAACTTTTTTCCCCCCCTCCCAAGCAACAGCCAATTAGCAGAACTATTAGGCTCTTTACAGATTGAAATCCAGAGGGACTTCTGCAAATGCAACTGAGTGTTACCCAGATTCCCTTTCTTATTGCAGCCGTTTGCTTTCTCTAAAAGCTTCTCCATGCAACCTGTGTATTCATCCTGATCTGCTTGCACAAAGCCTCCCTTCCCAGCTGTGGGATCCCCGCCCCCTCCTGCTTGCACACAAGTAGGGATGGGATTGGGGCTGCTCCGATGGGAAGGGAGGCATCGCGCTGCCCGAGCCTCGCTGCCGCTCTTGGCCCTCCTTCTCCGCCTTCCATGCCTGATACACCACACACCGCTCCCCCCCCACGAAGAACCAACAACTCAGGGGCTGCCCAGGCTCATGGAGAAAGGAGATAGAAGCCTAGGTAAGAAGCTGCAGCATCAGCGTCCCGAACATGTAGTATGTAATTAATTAATTAATTAATTAATTAATTAAGTGTCCCCGGATTCATTGAAAAAAAAATCTGGTAACCTTAGTTTAAACTCTTCCTGTTAGTCATTTGTCCATCCCACTGCTTTCAATGCATTTCCCAGTCACTTTCCAAACTACAGTAAATCTGATTGTGTGTGTGTTTTTAAGTGGATTTGTTATGCTAGATTGACAGAGTTCTTTAATCCACTTTAAGTACGTAAACTTAAAATTCCCGTTTGCACATGAATCCCGCAAAATAGTGGCAGGCTGGAAGCACCCCTAAAAATTGGGGTGGAGGGACAGCTCTGGAGTAGATTTACACTTGTACTGTTGGATCCCATAATAAATATCTACCTGTAAACTTTTTTTTTTTAACCTACTATACTCTCAAGTCAATTCATACCTCTTTTTTCTGAATACATGTTTTTTCAGTAGTTCCAAGATGGCATTAGCAAGTGGACACTGGATTACAAAAGAAGTGATTGGGGACGCTCCAAGTCCTAGGTATGGGATAATGGTAAAACTGGTATCATAATGAAACATAATTGTTGCAGATTGTTGCATATTTTTTTTGTCTAAAGAACATCAGTTATTATTTACATTTATTGTGTTGAATTGGCTTGTGATACCACTTAACATTAAATAGTAACAGGATAAGTTCCAGATGAGATATATACTGATGTTCTGAGTATATATTATGAATATGTGCATAGTTAAACCAAGGGGGCTATTAATGATCCATAGCAAAACTTTTGAGATACTAAACAGTGATGTCTAGATTTTCTCGGTCAGTTTTACCATTTTCTTCCTTTGTTTTTTATCACATCACATATTTGCCAAACATTGTTTTAAAAAGCACACCATGAAAGGCAGCAGCTGTCATGCATAATATGACCTGAAGAATCAGAAACCAGGAAGACCAAACTTTGAATAAGGAATGGGGGAAATATATAATTTACCTTAAAAATCACTGTAAACAATTAAAATTATTAGTAGGGTTGGAATGATACTTGCAGCATAACGTAGAACTATGGTTGTAATGGAGACTTAATAGATTTGGATTAATAGAGAAGTTGCAGGAGGAATCCACAAAGGGGTGGCGGGAAGTCCAGGGGAATCTACAGAATTCTGTTTTTATTTTGCTTGTTTGACAATTGTTCGTAAATTTCAAAATTTGAAAAACTAAATGTGTGTGTGTGTGTAGGGATTGCATCACAGAAGCAGTCATCATCCCTGTTCCAATAATGACATCAAAGTGGAAAACTACAGATAATCCCTCTACATATTTCACAGAACTGGTTTCTTTTTCTTTTTGCACCCTTTTCTTTTTTAAGTGAAGGGGTTGTTCTCTGACAGATTTTGTGGATAAGCTTCGTTTGTCCCAGGCTGCGTCGGCTTCAGGTCATGAGAAACTGCTAGCTTGCTCTCTCATATTAATACCCATATTATACTCTGAGTAAGGAGCTGTATAAATAGGCTCTCACAGTAAGGCTGGCCTCTCCTCTGAGCAAGGGGGGAAAGATTCACTGTTATTGCTGCATCCAAATTCATTTACCATTATTTCATGTTGCTCTGTAGACACGGACATGCATTGGCAATCGCAGGAAATATAGCATTTATATTTGGAGGCTGTTCCTTTAATGATACGTCTGTAAGTACCACAAGTTGATGTTTGCTGTCCTTTGTTAATTTCATTACCGTTTGACATTTTGCTGTTGTTGGGAGTATAATAAATGGCATGCCTCTTGTACTCTTGCTGTTTGCTTTAAATCTTCGCAATTTCCCACTGTACACAAGTACTTACTGAAGAATCACTGCATTCCAGTCATTGTCTACTAATGTGCATTGTGGAGACATGCCTGCAGATTCTCTCCGGGTAACTGTTTAGCTATTATTTCTACTGGTAGTCACTTGAGATAGCTTAAACCTGAATGTAATTTTAAAAGCGTTCCTTATCTAGATGACAATATTGATGCCCTGTAAATAAAGATATCAGCTTCAATCTCTCTTTCTCTTTCTCTCCTAGGATGATCAGCCAACATATTTCAATGACTTCTACATGTTGACAAGTGAGATACTATTAATCTTTTCTAGCAGGCAGCTTTTTCCGTGGGTTTATTCCTCCCTTTGGAGTGGCACATATTTCACTATAATAGACCAGTCATTTGTAATGCAAAAAAAGGCTTATCACTATAAAATTGTGGAAGTGTATTGCAAACAATGAGACTAGAATGGATTAAGGTTAGAGGGTTTTTTCCTCTCTTCCCAGGCTAGTTTGAACAGCTGTACAACAACAAAGTTATCTTTTCCCCTGTGGTCCAGTTTTTTGGTCAATAAGGCATAGGCAGAACTGTTAGGTGCAAATGTGATCACTCACTCGCAGGTTTTGTGATTTTCATAAACATACCTTTTTATTTTTTGAGCCACACACATATGTACTCTGCATATTCACAGTATTTCCTATAGAAATAGTCATTCCGCTGGCCTTACATCTCATCTCCAAGTTTAGCTTTAAGCAATTCAGTGTGGGTTTTTGCTTAAAAGACAGTTAAGAGACAATGTAAGAAATGCATTAGACCAGGCATAGGCAAACTCTGGCCCTCCAGATGTTTGGGGACTACAACTCCCATCATCCCTGACCACTGGTCCTGTTAGCTAGTAATGATGGGAATTGTAGTTCCAAAACATCTGGAGGGTCGGAGTTTGCCTATGCCTGCATTAGACAGCTTGAATATTTGAATCATAATGAAAAAGCAAGCTGCTATAATATTTTTTTGATGCAGAAAAGGCCTTGGACAACCTGAACTGGGATTTTTTTTAAAAAAAGTTTTGCAAGAAATGAACTTTGGAAATAATGTTATTAAATGGGTGAAATCAATTTATACATCACAGACAGTACAGATAGTGGTTAGTGGAGATTTGACTTGATGCTGTGATATACAGAAGAGGACATAGCAAGGATGCCCATTTTCCTGTTAATTTTCATCCTAGTCTTAGAAGTCTTGCTTAGAGGTATTAGACAATATGATAGAATTATGGGAATAAAGATTTTAAAAGAGACGTATAAACTTGAGAGCAATTGCTGACGTTTTGATGTTAACTTTAGAAAACTTGCTGCAGGGAGTAGTTCTAATGGATAAGATCCACGAAGTGGGGTAGCGTGGGGGGTGCAGGGGGGGCCGGCCACACCGGGCGCAACATCTGGGGGTTAGGGTTAGGGGGCGCAAATCCACAGGTTATGGGGCGCAAATCCACGGGTTAGGGGGCGCAAATTACTTGCCTTGCCCCGGGTGCTGACAACCCACGCTACGCCACTGGATCCACGTTTAGCTTTAAGCAATTCAAAGCACTGCCATCAGATGCAGTGCTGCTATCTGGGGTAAAGGTAAAGGGACCCCTGAGCATTAGGTCCGGTCGTGGCCGACTCTGGGGTTGCGGCGCTCATCTCGCTTTATTGGCCGAAGGAGCCAGCGTACAGCTTCTGGGTCATGAGGCCAGCATGACTAAGCCGCTTCTGGCAAACCAGAGCAGCGCACGGAGATGCCATTTACCTTCCCACCGGAGCGGTACCTATTTATCTACTTGCACTTTGACGTGCTTTCAAACTGCTAGGTTGGCAGAAGCAGGGACCGAGCAATGGGAGCTCACTCCGTCGCGGGGATTCGAACCACCGACCTTCTGATTGGCAAGTCCTAGGCTCTGTGGTTTAACACACAGCGCCACCCGTGTCCCGCTACCTGGGGTAACCTGTCCCATTTCACCACCTGAGGCAAAATGGGAATGGTCTCATCTTGTCATCTCTGCCACCGCCACCGCAATACCCCCGAAATAATGGCAGAAATAACTAAAATTGCCTGCACATTAAAATAGATGCTTGTAGAATCAGAGAATTGTAGAGGTTGGATTCGGAATCCTGCCCACAGCCATCCCTGGGCGAACTCGAACCACCAACCTTCTGGTTAACATTTGTATCTTTAACCAGTATGTTCTGAAACCGAAACGCTGTATGGATGTATAGATATATATTTGTGTATGTGTGTAAATGTACCGATCATCTCAAGTTCATTCATTTTTAGTTACTTCCACTGATTTGACATGGGAAAGGATACCACAGGATGGCCACATTCCTTGTGCAAGAGAAGGTCATTCACTTTGGTAAGCAAACAATTCAGCAAAATAAACACTGGTTATTTCTAGTACTTTTATGTCGATCGCTGAAATGACAAGAAGGTGGGCCTATTCTCTGACCTAAGCGAGCGTATGTGGAAGGAAATATATTGGAATTAAGAGCCTGCCGCCCATGTAAATGTGCATCTGATTGAGACGCAAATACTTACAGTGATTAATCACTCTGCACAGCCATAAGAAAACCCAACTACCACCAAGCATATATTATTATTAATTTGTGGGCATCTGAGAATTGACAAATCTGAGAGAAAACCGATGACCAAAATCCAGAGCTTTGTGTTTAGCAGTTATGAAGATGAAAATGCTCAATTAGTGTTAGCCGTGCACTTCACGTAACAGACAAAGCTGTCATATCCAGCTTGCACACAGAGTCAAGCAGTACAATAAATTCAGTAACATAAACATGGTGCTCATGTTTTTGTTTTAACTTTATAACAAAAGAAAGCCTATAGCTACGTTTTTGGTAGTGAGAGATGTATTTAGAGAGCACATTTACAGGCGTGATGCTCGTCTTCTCTGGTCGGATTTTTGCTGTTTATTCCTCACTTGGTTTCCTGATTTCCATTTTCTAGTAGCCCTAGAGGTGCTGTTTCTTTCACCTGTATCCTGTTTCAGATAAGCTTGGCAGTGATTGCTTTAATCCTCTCAGTCCCTTTGCTGTGCTCCCTTAGTGGATGCCTTTGGGGTATTATTAAATGCACTCCAGCTATGTCTTCACTGTGGCATTAATACAGATGTGGCTCGCTGTTTCCATGTTTGTGTTTGTGCTCTCACACAAGCAGTTTCAATGCCAGTGCCTCCAGAAACTATGCAGATGTTTTCCATCCACTGGTGGGCAGTGCTTGGTGGAATGTACCGTATTTTTCGCTCTATAACACGCACCCAACCATAACACGCACATAGTTTTTAGAGGAGGAAAACAAGACAAAAATATTCTAAACGAAACAGTGGATGTATGATTTTTGTGGTTCATGCTGTGGCCACAGGCATGTGATCTGACGGTGAGTTTGAGGTAGCCCAATGCAAAAATCCTGAGAATCCATGTGGATCCATGCTTTGTAACCACGTTTTTGCACCACTGCAGTCCCAGGCAACAGTGGGTGCGTGATTTTTTTGGTGCAAGCTGTAGCCATGGACATGCTGTGTGATCTGATGGTGAATTTGGGGTGACCCAGTGCAAAAATCCTGAGGATCCATGTGGATCCGTGCTTTGTAACCACGTTTTAAGTGGGGAGGAATGGAAAAGCACTCAAGGGACAAGGAACACGCGTGGGGTGGGTGGAGAAGGATGCTGTTAATAATGCAGAAGAGGGGTATAAGAGGAGAAGCAAGCAGGCTCTGCTTCTCTCCCTCCTCCCCGGCTCGCTGAAAAACTTTGCTGCTATTTAGCCAGCTGAGTGGGGAGGAGAGAGGGATAGAGAGCCTGCTTGCTTTAAAGGAGCCAACCGGACAGGAGCCGCTTACACTCGTGTAAGCGGCTCCTCTCCTCTCCCGCTTTGCTCCTTTAAAGCAAGCAGGCTCTCTGTCCCTCTCTCCTCCCCACTCAGCGGCTCTTCTCCCGCTTTGCTGTTTCAAAGCGAGCCACGGAGGAGGGAAGGAAGGGGAACCATGGATCCTCTGCTCACGACTGCAGCAGATCCCCCCCGCCATCCGTAGGCATTCGCTCCATAACACGCACAGACATTTCCCCTTACTTTCTAGGAGGAAAAAAGTGAGTGTTATGGTACAAAAAATACGGTATTCACATGGTTTATTGTTTGCTGCTCTCCTCAGTTAGTACCTTCCTTGGGGTCTGGAAGCCTGAAACGCCTCGAGGGCATTTGCAGGTATTTGTTTGCCTGTGCCTGCCTGCCTTTTTTTTATTTTATTGCAACACCGGCAAACTTATCCCAAAGCAAATTTTCATAAATGCCTTTTTAAAAAAACTCCTGAGTCATCGTTCTCTGATTTGGACAAAATTGCAGGTTAAGAAAATAAAAAGGTGTGTTGAAGGCTGTGTTGCACCCCGTCACAGCAAGGATTGCAGAGGCCCAGATAAACCACACCGTAGGAAGATGGGGACAAATTTCATGTTGGTTAATACTGCTATTAGGTATTTCCATTCCAGACAATCAAAGGCTTTGAGGATGTCCAGGGACATGATCGTCAGTGAGAGTTTGGTTGTTTTGCTGTGTTCAATCAGATCCAGCAGTTTCCTAATGGAGTCTGTTATGTTGCGACCAGGGACAGAGCCCTCAAGGTGTTTCAGGCTTACAGAACTCATGGAAGGTATGAAAAGTCGGGCCACCCTGCTCTAGCCATTCCCTTCTCTGTGGTCTTCCACTCTAGGAATCATCTTCAACGCTTTAACCCTTCCCCTTGCATTAAAGCATTGCTTTAATTTGTTTTCCTCCTACTCAAACTCTCCCAAACAAATGAGTGGGCAGCCTCAACCACAAACATGATTGTAACGAGGGAGGATGTGATAGCCATGAAAATGGTCCCCCCAAATTTCAGTCTGGAAAAAGGGGGAATCCTTGCCTTGGCCCTTTGTCTTCCAGAGGTCAAGAAGCAGAGCTGCTATTCTGTTTGCAGTTTGAAGAGCAATTGTTTGATGTTGCTAAATCACTCACATCTGAAAGCACCTTATTTTCCATTAAAATGGACAACAGGCCTAGTAAGCAAGAATAAGATCAGGCTGCATGTCTTTGCATTCACTATTAGCCCAGGGAAGTAAAACAAAGCTGAGCAATCTCCCAAACCCAGAAGAAGGGGCTCAGGAGCTATTTGAAGCAGCTAATATCTGCTCATTGAGCTCCCCTTACATTTAACTGTTCCCATATGTTAATCATTTGGATTCTCTGCATGGTTTTTTTAAAAAAAACTTTGCCTCTGATTTATGCTGTTTCTTTTGCTGCCTTTTGCACAGGCATGGCCCATATGGAAACCATATTGCCTGTAACAGGTTTCAAAATGCTGGAGGAAAGTTGGGGGAGGAAAGTTTAAGAGAAGAACTACATGGGTTTCAGTAGTGAACATTGTAGCACCTCAGTTCTGGAGCTTGGTCCATTTGAGAGTGGGGGGAAATGTCACCCGTGCAGCTCAGTTTTGCTACTTTTAGGACCCAGGACAGTGGCAGTGGCCAAGCAATGTCCCAGCACTAGGGCAAGGATCTTGTGATAGGAATTTTGAGGTCTTAGATATATGTTAAACGTTCGTAAGTGTACCAACCAAGCACGTACATAGATCAGTACAGGAAGACCAACCTGAAACCATTTTGATTCCCAAACTGAGCAAATGTTTTCTCTGCAAGGTCAAAGGAAAATGGAAATGCCTCCCCATTGCCTTTTCCTTCACAAATCCTATCTTAAGGGCACATTTAAGATATGAACAGGGTGTGAGCTGTGACCTGGCTCTGGAACTACATTCATACCTCGGGTTGAATGCGCTTCGGGTTGAGCGCGTTCGAGTTGCGCTCCGTGGCAACCTGTAAGTAACGGAGTGCGTTGCTTCCGGGTTTCACCGCCTGCGCATGCGAAGACGCTCAAAATGATGTCACACGCATGCGCAGAAGCAGCAAAAAGCGACGCGTGCGTGCGCAGACATGCCGTCGCTAGTTATGTTTGCTTCTAGATGCGAACGGGGCTCCAGAACGGATCCCGTTCATATCTAGACGTACCACTGTAAGTATTTAAGTGACCGTTAAACAGGTAACCTGGCAGACAGGAGGTAAACAAACCACTCAGATTTCTGCTTTAGACCGCCTTTTCTGTGATGTATCTGGGGGGGGTAGTCTTAGGTTACACCCCTTCTGTGATGTATGTATGATGTATGGAGGGGTGGTATTGAGCTCCAGGGCAGGGAATTTAAAATGTCTATATAAGGCCTTGCGCGCCATTGTTCTGGGTTCCTCCTCCCTCCTGCATGTGGTGAGCGAGGACCCTGTTGCAACAGTTAATAAAGATCAGGCTTACTAGCTGCTCTGCTTCTCAATATTCTCTGGTTGGCCTCTGTTATTTTCTCCTACCAATAAGGAACCTCTGTAGGACTCTATATGGGCTCTTGGATACCCCATAAGGGGAAAGGGCAGATTTTCGTTTACAACAATCTCAATGTCAGACAATGTCAGGCAAAAGATTCCTGCATTGCAGGGGGTTGGCCTAAATGACCTTTGTGGTCCCTTCCAACTCTACAATTCTATGACTTCCTCTCATGAGAGGCAACTACTCCACCATCTGAATCGGAGTCCTCCTAAAGCCAACGCTGGGACAACTTTCTCTAAATAACAATGAAACTTTTTTTCCTCCCTCAGATGTCTACTACGGATAGATGCCAACACAATTTATATTTTTAAAAAGTCTTTTATAGGGGGGCGGGTGGCCTGGAAAACATTTCACCAGTGCTTTTTTCTGGGGGTACACGGGGTATGCATACCCCTAAACATTTTGTGAATCTAAGTTTGGCCTCATTGAGGGGCAGTCTTCCAATACGAATAGGAAAATGAGAGTACCCCTAAATATTTTTTTAGAAGGGAAAAAACCACTGCATTTCACTTTTGGAATAGCGTGCAATTATTTTCCCTTGATTTTTTTAAAGCTTCTCTTTTGAAGTTTTTTTTTTGTAAAAAATGTTCACAAATAAAATGCATATCTCTGCCAACCTGAGCATGACACTAGCAAAAATGTGCAAAAGGTCTACAAACACTTGTGAGCCAACATCTGTCAAAGCTACTTGGGGCATTTCACACCTTCTCCCCCCACAAATATGTCAGCTAGCTTGAAAAAACAGTGGATTTTTCTTTAAAGAAATGTCTGGATTTGTATTTCTAACCAGATAGTTTATTTGAATATATATATCACTATGTCCAATATGCACAAAAGGGCTTAGAGGGAGCTCCTTTTGGATCACACATCTGCGTGTGTGTTTATGAGTGTGTGTGAGAGTTTTGTAAGTGTGTGTTTTGCTTGTTTACAAAGCTATTGTACTACCAACTTTACTGTACGCTTGTGAAACATGGACCACTTATAAACACCATCTCCAACTCCTCGAAAGATTCCATCAATGGTGTCTCCGAAAAAATTTACATTTCACTTGGGAAGACAGGTGAACTAATGTCAGTGTGCTGGAAGAAGTAAAGATCACCAGTGTCGAAGCAAGGATTCTTCAACATCAACTTCGTTCAAATGGTCATGTTGGGATGCCTGATTATCATCTTCCAAAGCAGCTACTCTATTCCCAACTTAAGAATGGTAAGCGTAATACCAGTCGACAACAAAAGAGTTTTAAAGACGCTCTCAAGGTAAACGTAAAAAAAAGTAATATAAGCACTGGCAACTGGGAATCACTGGCCTGCAACACTCCAATTGGATAATAGCCTGTACCAAAGACATCATGGACTTTGAAGAAGCAAAAACTCAGGACAAAAGGGAGAAACGTGCTAAGAGAAAAGCACATTTGGCAAATCCTCACCGTGATCAACTCCCACCCGGAAACCTATGTCCCCACTATGGAAGGACGTGTGGATCCAGAATTGGCTTCCACAGTCACTTGCAGACTCACTGTTAAGACCATTTTCATGGAAGACAATCTTACTCGGCTATGACTGATCGCCAAAGAAGAAGCATGTATGTGTGCCTTGCCCTGCCTGCTTTGGGCTTTGTGTCTATGCGCCTCTGGCATGGACCCTTGACAACATTCCCTTGAGAAAATCCCCAAATGGTTTTGTGCAGCGCCACACTGTTTAATGTGCAATTGAAATTCTTTCCCTATCCCACTGTAATAAATGAATCCTCTTCTATTTCAACCTAAATTCTCGCGGGTGTGAGTTCTTGGTCTCTGAATTGTTTAGGTGAATTCTCTGAACGGTACATGACCTACCGACCCCCCAAAAGCTTATTCTACCTCACAAGCATGTTTAAGGGTCTTAGAGACACGTGGAACCACCAATACTTTTTTCCTCATCCAGGTTAGTATTCACAGAGCATGCCAGTTTGTCCACCAGCAGCCCAGCCACTTCATTAGTTGAGTAGTGCTATATTCTGCCACTTACATCTTTCCTCGCTGGAATTGCTCACCTTTTGGTTTCCTTTAACTGTTTTCCACAGAGCAATCTGTTTACGAATGTATACACTGAGTCAGCCCATTGCCAAAAGTGAAATAAGGAGTTGTACAGCTACAGGTTATGAGCCGGTCAAAAGTAAAATCTGCCCAGAATGTAGATTATAGATACAACTGTACTGCCATAGGATAAAAGAGCTTCGTAACGTCCACTGTGACCATAAGTGTATATTTTCCATACAAAATTCTAGCCATGGGGGAGGTGGTTTATGGCCGACTGTAAAAATTTCTCAACTTTGCTTTACAGTGTAGTAAAAGGCAAGATATATTTATTTGGAGGTTGTTCAAGCACGAATGCTGAGCGTTGCCTTCCAGGAGTCTACACCTTTGATCTTGGTGAGTAAAAACATGGAATTAGACTGCCAGGGATTTATAGTTCATTTAGTTAATGGCAAGTCAAAGAGCCTCTTGCTCTTGTAGAATAAAAAACATTTATTAATTTATTATTGTTTGGGGGTGACCATGGCAGCATGGAACTACGAATTTTGATGATCCCACCCTTTCCCTCAAACTTGTCTTTCTGAGGTAACTTGGTCATGATGGTGGGATCGGGGAGGGACAAACCAGCTTTGCTGAAAAAGCTAATCATTTTAAAATTGCAAGCTTTGAAAGATATAAACAAAAACTCGACTGGGTGTCCCGGCTCCTTGTTCCTAACTTATTATTTCCCTCCAGTAAGTTTATTTATTATTTCTATTCATGGCAAACCGGAGCTCATTTTGCACAAATATATCTCATAGTGGTTGAACAAATGAAAGATGAATGCCATTCAATTAGGTCTATTGCCATGGAGCTCTGAAGCTGCCTTTCCCATGGCACCTAGAGAACGGAAAGGAATGTAGCTCATTTCAAGCTCCTTTTAAGATATATCTTCCCTTTGCTCAGTGAAGGTGATTTGGCTCTTGGGTTAGGTTCCCTGCTGAGAATGTTCCAAATCAAAGGCTCCCTCATTACTGAATGCCAGTTCATAATGTACCATATTTTAAATCCCACTTTAGACTGATTAGTTCCAGAAGGGGAAATACTGTAAGACGCTGGGTGTTTTAGCCTGGGGAGTTTAGCCTGGAGCAACAACCCAACCCCAATTTTGGCTGGAATTTTAAAAAGAAATTGCAATGAAAACAAACGCTGACTGCTTTCTGGAAAGCAAAAATGTACGTTTCCCCAGATCTGCTGCACAAGGTTACATGAATGGATGGTTTGGGGTGCAGTTTTGGCACTCCCGGTCAGCAGCAGCTCATGCAGTTTTTCACTGGAGAGTCTTACCAACTTCACTTCCACTGAGCGTCTCTGCATGGGGGAACGAAACTGGCACCTTTACAACACAGCAGGGTGGTGCAACATGCGGCCCTCAATGCCTTTTTGGGTGGCCCTCGGCAACATTTGAGGCCCTCCCTTCCCGCAGCCCTTGCAGCCCCCGTGTTGCCTTCCCAAATCTTGGTAAGCGAGGAACTAAGCTTTGGGAAGGAGGCATGAGGGTTCTGGCAGGGTCCTAGCGTCCTCCCCAAAGACTCGTTCAGTTTGGAAAGGAGGTAGGAGGTCTCTGGGACCCTGCCAGAGCTTCCTGCCTTTTTCCCAAAGCCTGGTATCTTGCTTAGCTGGCTTTGGGAAGGCAGCATGAGAACTGGGGGGCCATGACAAATTCCGGCCTCGCTCCCCACTCCTACAATGTGCTCTGCGTGGGGCTACCTTTGAAGGTAACCCGGAAACTACAACTAAAGAATGCGACAGCTAGACTGGTGACTGGGAGTGGCCGCCGAGACCACATAACACTGGTCCTGAAAGACTCCCAGTACGTTTCCGAGCACAATTCAAAGTGTTGGTGCTGACCTTTGAAGCCCTAAACGGCCTCGGTCCTGTATACCTGAAGGAGCGTCTCCACCCCCATCGTTCAGCCCAGACACTGAGGTCCAGCTCCGAGGGCCTTCTGGCAGTTCCCTCACTGCGAGAAGTGAGGTTACAGGGTACCAGGCAGAGGGCCTTCTTGGTAGTGGCACCCACTCTGTGGAACGCCCTGTTTAGGGAATTTTTCATGTTTGGTATTTTATCATGTTTTTAATATTCTGTTGGCAGCCACCCAGAGTGGCTGGGGAAACCCAGCCAGATGGGACAGGTATAAATATATTTATTATTATTATTATTATTATTATTATTATTATTATTTTACACGACAAGGACCGCACATTCCATGTCAAAGTACTCTTGTGGCCTGCTTAGTACAATAACTTGGAACGCCCTGCTACAGAGTGTTTCAAAGTAGCAGAGCATGCTGTGGGGTTCATTAACTCAGCGCTGTGAGAGCAAATAGCAGCTGAGTGGGGGGAAGCAGCCAGAGTGTTATGGCCCCACCGTAGTCAAGTATCTTCATGGTGCTATGCTAGGAGATGCCATCCCTCCTCCAGTGCATGATAAGGGTGCCAGGTCACCTTCAGTGTGGTGTAGTGAGCGGTGGACTCGTAATCTGGTGAACCGGGTTCACGTCTCCGCTCCTCCACATGCAGCTGCTGGGTGACCTTGGGCTAGTCACACTTCTCTGAAGTCTCTCAGCCTCACTCACCTCACAGAGTGTTTGTTGTGGGGGAGGAAGGGAAAGGAGAATGTTAGCCGCATTGAGACTCCTTAGGGTAGTGATAAAGTGGGATATCAAATCCAAACTCTTAATTTTCTTCTTCTCCGGTGGTGCTCCGTGGCAGATTCTGGTAGTCTCATTATCAGCCACCATTGCTCCTGATTTCTGGCCCATGCCCTGGAGATATTTCAGACTATAGGGACACGGGTGGCGCTGTGGTCTAAACCACTGAGCCTCTTGTGCTTGCAGATCAGAAGGTTGGCAGTTCGAATCCCCGCAATGGAGTGAGCTCCTGTTGCTCTGTCCCAGCTCCTGCCAACCTAACAGTTCGAAAGCACACCAGTGCAAGTAGATAAATAGGTACCGTTCCAGCGGGTATAATGGCATTTCCATGCACTCTGGTTTCCGTCATGGTGTTCCGTTGTGTCAGAAGCGGTCTAGTCATGCTGGCCACATGACCCGGAAAGCTGTTTGTGGACAGACGCTGGCTTCCTCGGCCTGAAAGTGAGATGAGCGCCTCAACCCCAGAGTCACCTTTTACTGGACTTAACCGTCCAGGGGTCCTTTACCTTTTTTACCTATTTCAGGCTATGCTACTCTCCACTACTCCACAGAACCAGGGCAAAGATACCTGTCTACCCATGAAAGGTGGCATCCTGTCTCATTCATGTAGTGATGAAGCATGAATTGGCATTCTGTCTGAAAAAGACCAGTTTTGTAAATGTAGCAGAAACCTGAGCAAACACACACCTTTTTGGGTGTCTTCCTTATCTTTTTTTTAAAAAAAAATTATTTATTTATACTTTTCAAATCAATACATTTCACTAATTTTATACATTTCACTAATTTTAGAATCATTTTGACATTTCAAAACTTGACTTCCTTCCCCCCTCTTTCTGCAGTTCCTTCAATTAATTTTTTTAATATCATCTGCATATCCAAATGAACTTAATTTACTCATTTATTCATCTTCTTTAAGTATATAGTATTATAAAACTGCAGGTTATTATAATAATCCTGCCAATGTACTTATCTGTTTATAATTTATCTGTAAATATTCATAAACCATTTCCATTCTTTTGTAAAAAAAAATTGTTAGCTTGATTTCTTATTCTTCTGGTAAAGATAAGGTAAAGGTAAAGGTAAAGGTACCCCTGCCCGTACGGGCCAGTCTTGACAGACTCCAGGGTTGTGCGCTCATCTCACTCTAGAGGCCGGGAGCCAGCGCTGTCCGCAGACACTTCCGGGTCACGTGGCTAGCGTGACGAAGCTGCTCTGGCGAACCGGCACCAGAGCAGCACACGGAAACGCCGTTTACCTTCCCGCTATAAAGCGGTCCCTATTTATCTACTTGCACTTAGGGGTGCTTTCGAACTGCTAGGTGGGCAGGAGCTGGGACCGAACGACGGGAGCTCACCCCGCCGCGGGGATTCGAACCGCCGACCATGCGATCGGCAAGTCCTAGGCGCTGAGGTTTTACCTACAGCGCCACCCGCATCCCTTATATTCTTCTGGTACGGTTTGCCAATTCTGCATATTCCATAAGTTTTTGTATCCATTCTTCCTTTGCTGGGACTTCTGCTTCTTTCCATTTTGGAGCGAGTAACATTCTTGCCACTGTAGTACCATACATGAATAATTTCTATGCATTTTAGGTAGTTCTGTCCCTATAATTCCCAAAAGAAAAGCTTCTGGTGTGCTTTTTTACAAAGGTTATTTTAAACATCCTTTTTATTTCATTATATATAATTTCCCAGTAAGCTTTAACCTAACTACAGGACCACCACATACTACAACACACACCTTTTTCATCTGATTACACTTCTGAGTATATATTCTATGGGACTAAAAGCCAATACAGTGGTACCTCGGGTTAAGAACTTAATTCATTCCGGAGGTCCATTCTTAACCTGAAACTGTTCTTAACCTGAAGCACCACTTTAGCTAATGGGGCCTCCCGATGCCGCCGCCACTCTGCTGTTGCGTGATTTCTGTTCTCATCCTGAAGCAACGTTCTTAACCCAAGGTACTATTTCTGGGTTAGTGGAGTCTGTAACTTGAAGCATCTGTAACCTGAAGCATATGTAACCCGAGGTACTACTCAATTTGTGAGCTATTTCGCTGAGATATGCATGAGAGGAGTAGTGGAATAGATGTCATAATTTCATGGCAAAACAGATAGTAAATTCTCAATGATTTAGCGCAATACAGAAGTAGTAAAAACTATTTTTAAAAAATACAAAGAGACAGTTTTTTTAAAAAAAGAAACATTTCAGATAAAATAGCCATTTAAAAACCGAAAGCCTTCCTGAAAAGGCAAGGTTTTCGCCAACTTTTGAAATTGCCCACACAGCTAGCCTCTTTTAGCCAGGTTTCAGTATTTTGTAGAACAAGCAGAATGAGAGAGTGAATTCGTTCCTCCCCCAGCCCACTCTACGATAAGAGACTAATTTACTGTTATTTCCTTATCTTAAGGTTCCTTAATGTGGCAGAAAGTTGCAGCCACTGGCATCGCACCTCAGACTCTCAATCACAGTTCAGCTGCAGTTGGAGAAAACATCTATGTATATGGGGGTACACTATGTGGAAAAGCTGTTGATGACCTGCACGTGTTCAACACGGGTGAGTAGAACTAAATCTCCTTTAAGAAATTTGGTTTCGTATGTGGTCAATCAATCCACAATCATGCAATAGTGCAGACTATAGCCGTAAGTGCAAATAGAGCTTACTTGATTCTAGGGTTCTTTCTTGCTCTTCAGCATAAAAGCCTAGGTCTGGTTAAAATAATATAAATATATATTTCTAAAAATCAGTTAAGATAATTTACATCAGAAAAATAGGGAGGGTCCTAAAAATTTAAATATCTCTGGTGTCAGAGGTCAGGGTGAAGAGGTGTATTGTCGGTATAATATATAGAAGCTCTCCTTGATTTCTCTTTGTTGTTATTTGCTACATCGTTTCCTCCATCTTTTATGATGATCCAAATCTTTTACCATTGTAAAATTCACCCTTAAACTACAAGTGATATTCCAATCCTACTAGCAATTTTAACTGTTTACAATGGTCTTTAAGATAAGCTATAAATTTTCCCCATTCCTTAGTAACATTTTGGTATTCCCAATTTTTGATTCTCCCAGTCATTTTAGCCTTTTCAGCATAGTCCATCAACTTGATCTGCCATTTTTCTCTGGTAGGAACTTTATCTTCTTTCCATCTCTGGGCCAATAACATCCGTGCAGCTGTGGTTGCATACATAGATAGTCTTGTCTGCTCCCTTGGGATTTCGGCACCTAGAGAAGGCACTCTTTTTGAGGGCACACACCTTTTTATGTCCGTAACTGTGGATTAAAAAGTACATAGACTCACCTTCACTCATATGGTTCCCTGTTTTGATAGGAAAAAAATAATATTAAACTGCAGAGATAGCCACTGCGTTTGGGTTCCAGTTTCCATTAGCCCCAGTCAGCAAGGCCAATGGTCAGGAACGATGCGAACTGGAGTCCAGAATACCTGAGGGCCACTATTTTTGCCTCCCACACACTGTTATATGGAATGCCATTCTTCCATTTTTGTTGCATTTTTTTGTCATAACGCCTTTGCTATTGTGACAGTTTATGTTATCTTTCAGTGTCCCAAAGCTGGACCCCAGTCAAAACCTCTGGTTCAGCCCCTGGTGCCAGGTTAGTTGCTGGTTTTTTAATATATTTTTAATTTTTAGCTTGTTAACACTAGAGTTGAACCGGAATAAGAAAAGCACAAGTAAAAGATAGTTTAGTCATGTTCTCCACCAGAGAAACTGCTGATGAAGGTGGAATAATATTTGAAGTGTAAGGACCATTTCTCAGACCCTCCACCGTTCGTGTGACCTCGCCATTCATATATACAGAAGAAGAGTAAAGGAAGGTCTTGCATTAATAGTACAAAGGGAATATTCCGTGCTATGTTGGAGGGGATGCCAGGAAATAGGAAATTATGTTCACATGTGGTGGGGGTGTAAATCTGTACAATTTTTTTGGGCAAAGGGTGTTTAAGGAGATAACAGAAATCACTGGATTAAAGTCCAGAGGTACAGTAGCATTTTTATAAATTTACGATGGGGTGGAAGGTTCACAGGCTACGAAGGACTTGCTCACAAATTTATTGGCAGCTGCACACATTATTATAGCAAGGAATTGGAAGGGGCAAGCAAAATATAAAATGGAAGAATGGTATAAATCTGAGGAAGCCTCTCTGGCCCCTGGTGCAGGGGGCCGAGGGGCGGGGCGAACCACCCAGTGGCACATGCGCAGGGCCCATACAGACTGGGCATGTGCGGCGCACATGCGGATGGCGCACGTGTGGCAGACCATACAGACGCTGCGCGCACCCTCGGCCGCTCTACAGCTGGGGGGAAGTAGCAGGCCATCTTGTCCCCCCCAGGGTAGCACCCGGGGTGGACCGCCCCCACCCCCGCTTCATACACCCCTGGTATAAAGAGGTGTGGGATATAGCTATTAATGATAAATTAACATGTGTCATTAAGGTTAGATGGGGAATACGAAGGAGAAATTATTTTGAGGAGATATGGATGGTGTTTGTAGAATTTGTACTGTTAAAACAGAAGGGGGTCAAACTATCTCAAGAGGTGTTGAAATTTTGGAAGGTTTGGATAGTTACAATGGAATGGTCTCTGTGGTGGGGTGCACATTTTTATTCTTACTTATTTATGATTATTACTTTGTCAAAATAAAAAAAAATTACTACAAATAAATTATTTCTGCCCTTGCATGAGGATAGAGGCCATAAACATGAGTAAGCAAGTCTGTGGGGACTTGTTTTCTGGGTTCTGGGGTGGTGTACAGAAGGATAAGACCCACTTATTGTCTGAACCAAAGGTTGTTTCAGGAAGCCATGAGTTTCTCCTGTGCGTAGGCAAAAGGCCCTATGAGCTGAAAAGATGCTGGCCAAACATTCTTGAATACAGTGGTCATTCTTCTTATCATAAAAAGTTGATCCCTATATATACAAAGAGGAGAGCTCTGTTAATGGTAGCACCAAATGGATTCTGAGAAAATGCCCTCCTTTGCCATTCCAAATAAACAAGGAAACAAGAGAATATAATTATCTCTGTGACCCATTGAAGCTTGAGTTGGAACAGCGCATAATTTTTGCTTAATTGGGAGGGAAATAATCAACCATACCTGTAATGAGATCTGAATGCTGCCTTTATGACCTAGTCAACACTCTGTGTCATGTCATGAATGGATGTGACTTTTATTGCCCGGCTAAATATTGCCGAGTCTTCCTTTGAAGGAGAGGAGAAATAGCTTAAAAGGAAAACGGGGACACTTAAGGGTCTTCAGCTAGTTGTACAGGGAGTTTGATACAATTGTGAAGGTTTGACTTTGGGCAAGGCTAATAGTGTATAATTTCCTTTGATTCCTGGCCATCTATGCATCTATACAGGGTCCTTTTGAGGATAAAATGGGAAGGGGAAGAAACCAAATATACCACTTTGAGGTCCTTGGAGGAAACTTGGGTTAAAAATGTAATAATAAGTAAATAATAAACTGTGAGACCTCCAGGTGTAGGGCGGTATATAAATTCAATAAATAAATAAAAATGAAATGAAATGGCACATTTTGCTCCTCAAGTGCTCGGCCGAGAATAATTGCTGATCACCTCTGATGTTTGCTTAACTATATTAAAGGAGTCTTGTTCCCAAAATGGTTTTTTTTCTTCACTGGATCCATTTTCTCTTCCACTAGTACCACCATAACTGGAAGAGCTAAGACTGGCTTATGACAGCGATGAAATTATTCTTTGCTCACTCAGAGCGCAGTGAGGAACGCTTTGTTCATTAATAACGCTCTGGAGAATGCCCAGAAAACTGAACGTGACAAATTGCCACCAACTTAAAATCATTAGGCAACACAATGCACTAGCACAAAACACAAGCATGACAAATTAGTGGCGATTTTTCCTCAGCCTCCACGAATTCTGATACCCATGCCAGGCAGGCAAAAGGAAGTAAGCCCCATTGGACTTCACAGGGCTCACTTCTGAGTAGATAAGACTAGCAGGGTTAGGGAACCTTTTTCAAACCCCGGCTTCTTCCACCCTGGGCAACACTGAGGGGGCCAAATTCCTGTGATGGGTGAGACCAGAAGGAAAAGTAGGAGGAACAAACAATGTAGATATTAACTTTGTGCAGTAGGTAAGCCTCTACACGCACAAACAACCACAGAAGTACTGTTTTTGGGGGACAGGGGGCGGGTGGGTATGGAGGACTCCCTGGTCCTGAATGGGGTAACTGTGCCCCTGAAGGACCAGGTGCACAGCCTGGGAGTCATTTTGGACTCACAGCTGCCCATGGAGGCGCAGGTCAATTCTGTGTCCAGGGCAGCTGTTTACCAGCTCCATCTGGTACGCAAGCTGAGACCCTACCTGCCCGCAGACTGTCTCGCCAGAGTGGTGCATGCTCTAGTTATCTCCCGCTTGGACTACTGCAATGCGCTCCACATGGGACTACCTTGGAGGGTGACCCGGAAACTACAACTAATCCAGAATGTGGCAGCTAGACTGGTGACTGGGAGTGGCTGCCGAGACCATATAACACCAGTCCTGAAAGACCTACATTGGCTCCCAGTACGTTTCAGGGCACAATTCAAAGTGTTGGTGCTGACCTTTAAAGCCCTAAATGGCCTTGGCCCAGTATACCTGAAGGAGCGTCTCCACCCCCATCGTTCAGCCCAGACACTGAGGTCCAGCTCCGAGGGCCTTCTGTTGGTTCCCTCCCTGTGAGAAGTGGAGTTACAGTGCCTTCTCAGTAGTAGTGCCTGCCCTATGGAATGCCCTCCCACTAGATGTCAAAGAAATAAACAATTATCTGACTTCTAGAAGACATCTGAAGGCAGCCCTGTTTAGGGAAACTTTTAATATTTGATGAATTATTGTATTTTAATATTTTGCTGGAAGCCACCCAGAGTGACTGGGGAAACCCAGCCATCACCATCATCTCTGTCCTGCAGCCAGACAAGCAAAAGGCATTACAGTGGTACCTCAGGTTACATACGCTTCAGGTTACATACGCTTCAGGTTACAGACTCCGCTAACCCAGAAATAGTACCTCGGGTTAAGAACTTTGCTTCAGGATGAGAACAGAAATTGTGTAGCAGTGGCGCTGTGGCAGCTAGAGGCCCCATTAGCTAAAGTGGTGCTTCAGGTTAAGAACAGTTTCAGGTTAAGTACGGACCTCCGGAATGAATTAAGTACTTAACCTGAGGTACCACAGTATCAGAGTTTGAGGGATGCATTCCAGCCAGCCAAAGGATGCAAGAAGGATGCAAAGCACTGGGGATGTGGTATAGAGTTTGGGGGCCAGAGAGAGCGACTTGGAGGGCCACATTTACCCTCCCCACCAGGCCTGAGATTCTCAGGCCCTGGTGTACAGCATTGAGCTGTAAGACTTTTGAACGAATATCCAGTTAAATTTGGGCATAGGTAGCCCACACCAGAGTTCAAGCTAACTGTCATAGTGTTACTTTGTCCATCAGCGAGTGACAAAGTCTCATCACTGTCACAATTCATGAAGTTGGGCTATCAATACAAATGCAAATGCGTCAGATTTCAGACACTATAACTCGTGCTAGATATTGATACGACTGCTACCAGAACGCTTCACAGCAGAAATCTTTGGGCTGCGTTTATAAATAAATGACAATTAAGTAGCTTTGGATGAAATTCTGCCTTGGCATAAGCTAGCGCAAACACATTATTATGCCTTGCCTTTGCCAAGATTGATTTTGTGTTTTTTTTCTGTTACTAAACTACTGTAATAAACATACTGTAATAAGTTTAAGGAATCGACAAATGTAGTTCCCAGCATAAAAATAATGAGTATTGTTCCAGTTGTATAATCACATTCCTTATGAGCTGGGCAACGAAACAGTTATTGTGATGGAACAAATTATTCAGTATATTTGTATTTACTACAAGGAAAGCAATAATTTGATCATGGGAGGAAGTGGTGCCTTTTGCTCAAACAAGATTCCTCCCCTCACACACATACATTTTTACCAATTCCCTGTTCCTACTTCAACTCACCCCACATCCCATCCCATCCCAACTGTTTTCATTTTCGTTACGTATTTTGTGGTTTTATATCTTGATTTTATTCCGTGAACCCCCATGAGACCCCCCGGGTATAGGGCGGTATATGAATTCAATAAATAATAATAATAGCCTTATTACACTTCAGCTCACTTGCCTTAGGAGACTTGGTGCTCCTTCAAAATGCAATTATTATTTATTTACAGTAAGGGAACTTGTATACACATTCAGGTCTTTGATATTTGAAAATGTGGCAACAATGCAATCCTGTACAGGTCTACTCCTATGTAAGTCCCACTAAGTTCCATGAGGGTTACTTCCAGGTTTGCCTATGCAGTACTACCTCTGGATACGAATGGGATCCGTTCCGGAGCCCCTTTCACATCCTGAAGTAAACATAACATGCAACTGCGCATGTGCGCAGGTCGTGTTTCGCCGCTTCTGCGCATGCACGTGATGTCATTTTGAGCATCTGCGCATGCGCGAGCGGCAAAACCCGGACGTAACGTGCTCCGTTACTTCTGGGTTGCCGCAGAGTGCAACCCAAAAATACTTAACCTGAAGCTACTTCGACCCGAGGTATGACTGTATAGGATTGCATACAAAATAGGCTTTCTGCAGAATATTAATGTCTCCTTACATGTGGCAACGCAACCAGGAAGCAATGTGTTACTGGCACCTCAAACAACTATATGACAGGTGTATCATATAATAAGTTTCATTGTCCCCATTGCTTTTCATAGCACTATTCAGGGATGGGGACTGGCACAGCAGGTGGGCAAAGTCATGGGTTGTTGGTGCTGCTTTTATTGGGAATTAGTGGGGCTCAGAGGCCAACTGCAGCAGAGCTGGCTAACCTGGGGCATTTCAGATTTTATTGGACAACAAATCCCTGAGCATTGACTGTGTTGTAATAATAATAATAATAATAATAATAATAATAATAATAATTTATTATTTATACCCCTGCCCATCTGGCTGGGTTTCCCCAGCCACTCTGGGCGGCTTCCAACAGAATATTAAAATACAGTGGACACTCGGATCGCGGACATGATCCGTGCGGGAGGCACGTTCGCAACCCACAGCAGCGCTTCTGCACATGCGCAAACCCCGATTTAGCGCTTCTACACATGTGCGACCGCCGAAACCCGGAAGTAACCCGTTCCGGTATTTCCGGGTTTCGGCGCATCCATAACCTGAAAAAACGCAACCTGAAGCGTCTGTAACCCAAGGTATGACTGTACAATAATCTATTAAACATTAAAAGCTTCCCTAAACGGGGCTGCCCTCAGATGTCTTCTAAAAGCCTGGTAGTTGTTGTTCTCTTTGACATCTGGTGGGACTTTGAATAATGATCTGCAAGTAGAAAGGAAAATTGGACTAAGAAATTCATCTTAATTTGGCACTGAAACGGGAAGGTCTAAACAGGAAGTCAGCCTTCCGTTTCTTGTAGATAGATTAAAGCAAAGATATGGTAAACCAGAGTTCAGAAAATCGCTTATAAAGGATTAACTTTCATCATTTAAAATTGTTGAACCCCCTTCGGAAGCAGGAGAAGAGGGGGGATTTTTTCCCGGACTGTTTAAACCTGCAGAAAGAGTGTAAAGCAAAGTAATTTTCCACCGTCTTGATCCTGGGAGCGGGTGTCAGGACTGACGTTCTTTGGGAAGCTCATTGACCAGAGACAAACGTCTTTGACAGATAGCTAAAAGAAGAGAAACATAGTGATTCCATTGTTCTCCTCTGCATTTTAAAGGAACAAATATTGACAAAATATCTGAAAAAGGAAACTTTGTTGTTAGATCTGCCTCTAAAAGAAAAGAACAAATAGAAGTTCTTCCCCTAGAGGGAGCCTGTGAAACTGTTATTAAATCTGAATCGGGGAGCTCTACAGCTGCAACAGATTACGATCGTGGGAATAGACTTCTGACCTTGCAGAACAATGTATTCAGAAGCTCTGATGAGTGCTTTCTGCAAAACAAGTGCCCTACTGGAACAGCTACATGAGAAGACGGACTTGATGACAGCTGCGATCGGAAATTTCGGACAGGTAGTGGGTAACTATATAGAGCCCACCCAGGAATCAAATCAGGAGTGTGCTCTGACAGATCAGATGAGGGAAGAGGATGTTGTTGAACCTCGGGCGCCAGAGATGGAGGGAGCTGCGGCCCAGCAGAAACATGAGTACTTGGAGCTGACAAATGAACTTGGAAAAAGCCAGATTTGGAAAGTTTGGTTTGGTTTGGAAATGGGGGGTTGGATAGACCCCCCTATGCAGAGATGTTTGGACTTTTCAAGTCTGGCAATGGGCCGTGAGATGTTTGGGGTTGTGGGGGCTCTTAATTCTGGAGGGACTTTGAAACATGTTTTTAAATACCACATGGAGTTTAGTGTAGAGCATGGAAAAGGGATTGATTTGTTGAGAAGGGTCAAAAACACTGTCAAGTTGGAGTTCCCACGAGTGAAAGGAGCAGGAGACAAAGTAAAGTACAGGTATAAATATGAAGAAGAGCCGCGGAAGGGACATGGAAGAGACTTAAGGGCCTCGGACATAAGATTACCAGGTTAATGCGCTAGATTGATGAGATAGAAAGGACTGACAAAACCCGGGACCAGGAGGAAGAGACGCTGGATGAAGATTGGAAGAAAAGAAAAAAATTATTAGGATTGCCCTATAAAAGTGATGAATGTTAGAAAAATGTTGGAATGAAATTATTTGACTTTAGTAAAAATGTTAAAAGTATTATGTAAGAACATCTTATGGCTATGAGAAATTGGTATAAATAAGATCTAAGTTTTAAGTTTTAGGGTCTTTTATAGTAAGATAAGGTTAAAATAGGTTAAGGTAATGTAATGACAGAATATTATGAAAAATGGAAAGGATTTGCTGTGACTATTAACAATTAGGATACAAAAAAAGGGAGGAGTGAGGAGGTCAAAGAAAGAAGGTAATGACAGATAAGGATTTGAGAATATTGGATTTGTTTTTAAATTTTTGTGGCTTATTTTTGCCTTTTGATTGTGTTGTGTTATGTGCTTTGTTTTTATTTTTTGATTTTGATTTTTATCAATTTGTATTGTTTGATTGTGGATTGTTTCTCTTTTGTTTTTTCTCTTTCTTTTTCTTCTCTGTTTTTTCTGTAATTCTAAAACTCTTAATAAATATCATTAAAAAAACAACAACAGATGTCTTCTAAAAGCCTGGTAGTTGTTGTTCTCTTTGACATCTGGTGGGAGGGCGTTCCACAGGGCAGGTGCCACTACCGAGAAGGCCCTCTGCCTAGTTCCCTGTAACTTGGCTTCTCGCAGGGAGGGAACCGCCAGAAGGTCCTCGGCCCTGGACCTCAGTGTCCGGGCAGAACGATGGGGGTGGAGACGCTCCTTCAGGTATACTGGGCTGAGGCCATGTCGGCTGAGCTTCAGAGGTGGTGCTGCTGCGACAGGAGAGAGAAGGTTCAGCCACGACACACAAACAGGGAATGAGGCTAGAAAGTTGCAGCGAGGGAGAGGAGCAAGAGGCAGAAGGTATTTGGGAGGAAAGGAAGGAGCATATACAGTGGTACCTTGGTTCTCAAACACCTTGGTACCCAAACAACCTGGAACCCAAACACTGCAAACCCGGAAGTAAATGTTCTGGTTTGCGAACTTTTTTGGAACCTGAACGTGCTCCGTTTTGAGTGTTACACACTGAGGTCTGTCTGTTTTTGCTATTTATTTTGCGATTTTGTGGCTGTTTGTGTTTTGTTTTTGTGACTGTGTAGAACTCAGTTCAGCTGCTGATGGATTGATTGTGTGACTGCTGTACATTGTTTATTGCTTTCATTTTATGGATCACTGGTCTCGTTAGATAGTAAAATTCATCTTAAATTGCTGTTTCAGGGGTTGTTTTTAAAAGTCTGGAACGGATCAATCCATTTTGCGTTACTTTCTATGGGAAAACGTGCCATGGTTTTGGAACACTTTGGTTTTGGAACGGACTTCCGGAATGGATTAAGCTTGAGAACCAAGGTGCCATTGTATTTGGGAGGAAAGGATTGAGCATATAGTGAGTAGACTGAGAAGGGGGGCAGTTCAGGAACAGGAATGCAGGGAACCCATCACCGGAAAAGAGGACAGAAGAAGGCACCGATTTGCACAAAATCCTGCTTCGGTTTTGATGCATAGATGCAGATTTAGAAATCATTCTGACTTAGTGAATAGGGAGGATGACCAGTAAGAAACAGAAAAGGAGACGTGGCTGAGGGTAAGCCAGTGTGACGCATGGCTACTGTTATGTACTGAAGTTCTCACCCTGGGCCAGCAGGGGGATACTGCAGATAGTTTTCACTCAGGTCCACATATGCAAATAAGGGATTGAAAGTGACCTTCAGTGATTGGATAGTTACAGAAAATGGTTACTGTTGCGTTCTAGTGGAGCTCTATATAAGCAGGCTGGCTGAACCCTTCAGTTCAGTTCTGTTCTGGCCTGTGAATAAACAAGAGCTGTTTGAAGAATCGCTGTGTCATCTGATATGTTCACCCACAACTTAACAGCTACCTTAGTAAGGAAACAAGGGCCTACTGACAGTCCACATAAACTCCTGGTCTTCTCACACAACTCCTTAGCAGGTACTTGATATAGTTGCTGTGCACTTGAAACCCCTTAGAGTTAATTCAGAGGGTCTGGATGGTAGAGAGCAGAAGGGATCAGCAAATGGTAGGAAAGAGAGCACTTGACCTCTGCAGACCTGCCGCCAGAGGAGATGACAGTGGTGCGTTTTGATAGCAGTTATTTCATGAAAAGCACACTTGCTGCTGTATAGACGCATCTCTCAGGGCTTCCTAGAGTGCAGGTCTAGAGGAGTGGCTAAGTGACTAAGCGGCATGCTTCAGGAAGAACGACAGGAGAGCACTGTTGCTCTCGTATTCTGCTGCTCGGCTTCCCAGAGGCATCTAGCTTAGGGTTACCAGACATCCCTGGTTCCACAAATATGTCACCAGACAAATTTTGTCCCCGGAATGTCCCCAGATTTGCAAATCTGTCCCCGGGAAACGTGGCAGCGGCAGCCTCAGCAGCCCGGAGCCAGCCTGGTAGCGCAGTTGGCTCTGGCTGGCTTCAGGAGCTGCTTGCTGCTTGCTGCCAGAAGTCCCCATATGATGTGTTTTGCACAAGACACATCATATGGGGACTTCCTGGGGGCAAACTGGCGGGCGCCACAGCAGCGAGCAGCAAGCAGCTCCTGAAGCCAGCCAGAGCCAACTGCGCTACCAGGCTGGCTCCGGGCTGCTGACTGCCGCTGTTGCTGCCACTGCCAAAGGGGAACCGGGGACGTCCGGCGGTACAGATCTCCTACCCCCTGCCCCCTTTGTTTTGACTGATCGGCGGAGGCTCGGGAGTTGTTAGTGAGCGGCCGTTGCCCAATTTTTAAAAAACTCTGCGCATTTATGTTTCACAGGTTGCAAAAGAAGGGCTTTGCACCTTTATACAATATGCATGTGTGCTTGAGCCCAGGATCTTTTGCCTCACCATCCCAACTACTGACTCCCTGTTGCTACTCAGCTTCAAAAAAAAAAAAAAAAGGGGGTCCCCAGATTCATTAAAAAAAATCTGGTAACCATAATGTAGCTGGCCATTGCATTCTCTCTGTCTCTGTCTATGTCTCTTTCTGCTGTCCCAGGGTTTAGCTTTTTTCCGGCTTCTAGCTCACATAACTCAACTCTCAACGCTTACCTTGTCTCTTTTGAACTGACAGGTAGTTGGGGAAGGGAAGCCTACCCATTTGACATCTGGCACAGAGCCACTCCCTTTGTTCCCTTAATGACCCATTTTTAGTGGGCTATTACCAGGCTGGTCTGGCTCTTCCAGCAATTCAATCCATTCTGGATCCATGAATTAGAAGGGAGTAGGGCTCAAGCATACAGCTTACCACCACCCCCACAAAAAAAAACCCTCATGACTGTATGTATCACTTCTTCTTTCAAAGGGGAAGAACATTCACATTGCTTGAGTTTATGTTTATTTCCTAATGTTTACCACATTGCTTATTTGGGTTCCTTCAGACATCCTCCTTATTGTTCAATGATATTATTTGTGCTCTTGACTGCCTCAGGGCTGGATTTAGGTATGATGAGGCCCTAAGCTACTGAAGGTAATGGGGCCCTTTATATGTCCAGCTGTCCTTTGTCAACAACAAATTGTCGCTGTTTTTGTGTGTGTGTTGAATATATGCTATATGGTAATTTATGGACCTAATAGGTATCTAAAGCCATTTGCACATGTTGCCATGCAACCAGTCCATGCAGAATGTAGGCACTCTATATAAAGGTAAAGGTACCCCTGACCATTAGGTCCAGTCGCAGACGACTCTGGGGTTGTGATGCTCATCTCGCTCTATAGGCCGAAGGAGCCGGCGTTTTTCCGCAGACAGTGTTTCCGGGTCATGTGGCCAGCATGACTAAGCTGCTTCTGGAGAACCAGAGCAGTGCACAGAAACGCCATTTACCTTCCCGCCAGAACGGTACCTATTTATCTACTTGTGCTTGATGTGCTTTCGAACTGCTAGGTTGGCAGGAGCAGGGACCGAACAACTGGATCTCACCCCGTCGCAGGGATTCAAACCGCCAACCTTCTGATCAGCAAGCCCTAGGCTCAGTGGTTTAGACCACAGCGACACCTGTGTCCCGTACCCTACATATAGAAATGAGCAAACCAGTGATATTTGAGGGAGCAGGCTAGCAGGCGGGGCCCATTACTTACATCATAGGAGCCTACACAACACAAAACACTGTTGCTGTATGTACGTTTTATTTTTATTTTTTTTTTATCTTATATTTTGGAAATGTACATCCAGGTTTTTTTCCTTTAAATATTTTTGGGTGCCCCCAAGAGAGTGGGGCCCTAAGCTATAGCTTGACTAGCTTATACGTAAATCTGGCACTGCATGATCCCGGTTTCAATACCGTTTGCACCTGCAAAGGTTTTCAAGTCTCATATACTGCTTCAGTTCCAGTCAGTGCAACCCTTGTCACGTCATGCTGAAATCCTATAACTTTTCATACAACGAATGTTCCAGTTTGCTTTCTGTCATGCTACAGCAGGTGGCAATGATGTGGCAGCGTTAGGGAAGCATCACGGAACAACTAATAGTGATCCAGTGTACATCTACCACTAATGCACTGTAATGGCAGTGATATAAGTAAAAATAACCTGCTCCTTTTCCCTTATGGCGTACCCAAGAGCCCTTTTGTAGGTTCTCTGTCAGTAGGAGAAAATAACAGAGGCCAACCAGAGAATATTGAGAAGCAAAGCAGCTAGTAAGCCTGATCTTTATTAACTGTTGCAACAGGGTGCTCCCCTCACACGCAGGAGAGAGGAGGAGGACCCAGAACAATGGTGCGCAAGGCCTTATATAGACATTTTAAATTGTCCGCCCTGAAGTCCAAGACCACCACCCCCAGAAACATCATACATACATCACAGAAAAGGCCGTCTACAACAGAAATCTGAGTGCGTTGTTTATCTCCTGTCTGGCAAGTTACCTGATTGCATTATCCGGGTTTTGGCCACTCTTTTATTAGTATAACTACAGTCATACCTCGGGTTACAGGCGCTTCAGGTTGCCTTTTTTCGGGTTACAGACGCGCCAAAACCCGGAAGTACCAGAACGGGTTACTTACGAGTTTTGGTGGTTGCGCATGCGCAGAAGTGCCGAACCGCAGCTGGGGGTTGCGAACACTGCAGGTTGCAAACGTGCATCCCGCACGGATCACGTTCGCAACCTGAGCATCCACTGTGCTTAATTCCTGAATTTAGGTCACACGTCACAGGCTCACACCCTGTTCATATCTTGAATGTGCCCTTAAGACAGGATTTGTGAGGAAAGAGACAATGGGGAGGTTTCCCACTTTGACCTTGCAGAGAAATATTTGAGGACAATTTGTTCAAGACCTTTTCTGTGGGGTTTCAGACATGTGGTTTATATATACAGTTATGAACATTTAATTTTTTTATATATGACCTTAAATTCTTATAACAGCAGCAATGGCATCTTGCAGAATACACCTGCCCCCCCTCCCAAGAGAACAGTCGGGAGGGGGCAACCTTATATACTTTTGATTTCCATGGCATTTCTAATTCTGTCTGAGTGAGCTGCAAGGCACACTGTTAAATACAAATGATGTTTTAACTTTTCAGATCAGGCCATGCTTTTGCAACGATCGGAGAAATCATCTATATGTTTGGAGGATGTTCCGACAAAGATGAATATTGCACTGATCTGTTTGCACTGGACACAGGTGTCTTTCGTTATTACAGATCATTTCCCTCACTGTATGAATAACTGGGGTGTTTTTTTTGGGGGGGGGAGGTACAAATAGATGAAAGCCAATGCAACAACACTGTACCACTTTTGTTTGTACCTCAGTACAAACCTCTGAGAAAATCAGAGCCAGACTTCAGATGGATCTTTACTCATGATAATCAGCTTTGAACACACTATAAACCAGGGGGGAAAACACAATTTATAGAGATATAAGTAAAAACATGCATTCTGTATCATTATTCAGTAAGAAGTTTGCCTGCTCCCAGTTTCCACTTTTCTGCAAAGGCACTTGGATAGCTGATAAGCACTGGGGCATTTGACACTTAATTGTATCAAAATTGTATTATACAATTAATGCAATTAAACTGTATTAAAAATTTAGTGAATCCAGGCCAAATTAATTACACTTCTGTAAAAAGTTACTTACAGCTAGCCTGTCCTATTGATTATAATGGGAACTAAGTATTATTAACTTGGTTTCGATCCCTTAAGAACTCAAGAGTTCTTAAAGAGTTCCCTTATGTATAACTACACCATTTCCTGTTGGCTCACTGGCCATCTCCCAAAAAAAGCCATGTTGGGTCCTCGGCTTCCACAGAGCTCGGTTCTTCATGATGTCAAATGCTGTGAAATTCTTCATTGCAGTTTTATACCACCCTGACCCTCACCGACTGATGTTGTCAGGACACTGGCTTTTTCAATGCTTTGCTTTCAAAGATGGTACCGTGTTGCCAGGAAACATCCCAAAAACTAGTTCTTTCTCAGATTGCCTAAAAATAGCTCTGAAATATTCTCCCTTAATAATGTCAGCCGTTACTAGGCTGACGGTTGCTTCACAAGCCTGCAGTCTCTAATCAAATGCTCCAAAATTTGTGGGCGTAAAATTAGATAATGCAACTTAAGAGTACAATGAGAGATGCAGTGAGACTGAGGGTACGTTCTGTCACATGTGGTGGACCTGTAAAAGGGTAAAAGAGTATTGGGAAATAATTATAATGAATTGAAAAAGATGTTTTTCCCAAAAAGCCAGAGTCCTTATTGATGGGGATAATTCAGACGGAAAGTCCCAGGTGTCAAAAAAGGTTATTTATGTATGCCACTACTGCGGCTCATGTTTGGTTAGTCCAAAAATGGAAAATGAGTGAGGTCCCAACTAAAGAAGAATAGCAACTTAAGTTGACAGAATATGCACAGCTTGCAGATTTAACATATAGAACAAGAAGAACCTATGTTTAAAGAAGACTGGAAAATGTTTATTGAATATATGGGGGGAAATTGTGTATATTTGAAAACGAGGGTAGCATTAAGACAGATTCAACAGCGTAAATATGTTTTGATGGATGTAATAATAGAATACTGAATGGTTCAGTTTATATAAAATATGCAGGGATTTATGTTATGCAGAATGAATCGTGGAAAGAGTAGAAGGGAGGGCATTGATATATTAAGGTTGTTTAAATGAATATTCTAAAATGTAAAACATAAAATGTAATAAAAATTATACCAAAAAAAGTGCTGTTAGGAATGCTTAGAATTCCCTACACTATTTAGTTATTTGGCTGCCCAATAAGTTCCAGTCTGGGACGATGGGAGGTTAGCTCTGTTTTTATAAGAATAAATGGATGGAAATATCGAAGGCCATGAACTGCATTCCCTAATGCAAAAAAAACCACAACCCGAGGATGCAATGCAGGTTCTATTTGCTTGTTTTCTTCTCTCCTCTTCCCAAGTATTGTTAACGTGGCAGAAGTGTGACGTCAAGGGAGAAAAGCCCATCGGAAGGACGCAACACACATTTACAGCTCACCATGATAAGGTAAAAGCCAGTCAGTTTCAATCTTCTGTTTCAAATGATGTTGCCTATTGAGGTCCAAAGCCACCCCCTAAATAAATCACAATTCACACAAAATTTTTGTTTAAGGGTTTTGGCATAATTTTGGCCACAACTTTATTAAAATGCCCAAGGACAGAACTGACTTCCGGATTCCAGCGAAAACCAGTAAGGGGTTTGCCATGTTTTAGTCCGTATCCCCGGCAAGGGGCTAGGGCCGTGCATGCCCCTGGGAGCATGCGGGGAGGGGTGACGTTATAGTGCCCAGCCCCATTCACTCCCCTCTGAATAATAATTTTCTTATTTATACCCCGCCCATCTGGTTGGGTTTCCCCAGCCACACTGGGTAGCTTACAGCACATAAAAAATTGTAAAATGTACATAGTTGTCATACACAGGTGACTGCAATTATTTATCTGTGTGTATATATATATATATATATATATATATATATATATATACACACACAGTGGTACCTCAGGTTACAAACACCTCGGGTTACAAGCACTTTGGGTTACAGACTCCGCTAACCCGGAAGTAGTACCTCAGGTTAAGAACTTTACCTCAGGATGAGAACAGAAATTGCGCTGCGGCGGCAGCGCAAGGCCCCATTAGCTAAAGTGGTACCTCAGGTTAAGAACTGTTTCAGGTTGAGAACAGACCTCTGGAACAAATGAAGTTCGTAACCAGAGGTACCACTGTAAATATAAATACAGGGCTCATCCACACTTCCGCATGTGCTGTGCCTAGAAAGCACAGTCCTGGCAGTTTCCTGCTTGACCCACGCTTTCTAAGCATGGGTCCGAGGAGTTTTCCCCCTTGCCCCATTCCTTTCCAAGGGAAAACCTGCTCTTTCGTGGTATATCAGAACAAATGGCAATCTAGGGTAAACCCAAATTCCTGTTAGTTCTGATTGAGCACCAAAGAGCAGTTGTTGTTGTTTTCTTCCATCCCCATCCTTCCTCATTGCGCTTCGAATTTCAGCGGTGCTTAGTTATGCGGAATATCGCCATGTCTATGCAGAAAAGCCTCCCTATTGGTTTGCCAGGCCACACCTGTCATTGGGAGTCCTCTGAAATGCAAGGCGAGGCGAGTTGGCCGCAGTCCAATCAATCCCAGAGTGTTTTAGCAGATTGTTAATTAGCAGAAGCCGGCCATTTCCAAGGCAACCAGCAGTATTGGTCCGCATGTGTCCTCAGATGTTTCGTTGAGGTGTGTAGGGTGAGACAAAGGATTACAGCAGACGTCCAGACATCAACAATGAGAAGGGATCAAGGGATCCCCTGAGTCTACTTTGTAGGATGGAAGTTGTTCAAAGCCATCTGCGTTTTCTAATGGTAACTCAGATTAGCAGATAGCTGCTTCTCTGCCCCCAGCAAAAGTGGGCAAATATATGTGTTTGGGAATTATAGGGACAGAACTACCTAAATTGTATAGAAATTTATTTATGTATGCTACTACAGCAGCGAGAATGTTACTTACCCAAAAGTGGAAAGAAGCAGAAGTCCCAGCAAAGGAGGAATAGATCCAAAAATTATGGAATATGCAGAAATGGCGAAACTTGCCAGAAGAATAAGAAATCAAGATAACAAACTTTTTATAAAAGAATGGAAATGGTTTATGGAATATTTACAGATAAATTGCAAACCAATAAAAGCATTGGCAGAATTATCGTAATAACCTGCAGTTTCATAAAAGTATATATTTAAAGTAGATAATTAAATGAGCAAATTAAATGAATTTGGATATGCAGAAGATATTTTATAAAAAATATATATTAAGAAACTGCAGAAAGAGGGGGAAGGAAGTCAAACATGTTAAATTGATTGTGAAACTAATGAAATGTATAAACTTAAAAAGTATAAATAAAAACTTTTTTTAAAAAGTGGACAAATAACGTTACCAATAAAGTTCAGCATAGGTATTAATGTCAAGCCTCTGCAAGACATTTGGCAGGAACAGTTTACTGTTACAAAAAATTTGACTTTCTGACTATTCATCGAAAGAAGGCCTTTAATAAGACATGGAAAAAACCCCAACTCCATTTTTGTGTGGATGTTGCCGTAGAGAAGGACAAAGCAAAGATAAAGCTGAGTTATTTATTACTTTTGCTACAGTTTCTTTTGTTCTTCCTTTCAGGACATTTATTTGTTTGGAGGAACTTCCAAGTCTGAAGATGGGAGTCAAATACCAAGGAATGATATTATGAAATTAAGTTTAGGTGAGATGGGGGAGCAGTGGAAGAACGGGTGGATTAGATAACGTTGTCCACCGATGCCTGTTTGAAAGTTACTGATTTTTGAGGTGCATTTTTGCTATGCTATTTGAATACTGCCTTTATCTCTACACTTCAAAACACACCGAGTTCTTTCCATTTCAGCTGATCCATTTGTCTGTTGGTTATCCCTTATAATGTTTTTTTCTTTGAATCTGCGCTTCTTTGTTCCCACTTCTGGGGGGGGGGGAATGTAGCAACCAAAAATAGTTCCTCCAGCAAAATTTGCTGTGCATTTATAACTTCAGGGTAGTTGCTGATTATTGTTCTTAATTTATCATGTCGCAGGGAAGAGGGGGGAACAATTCAAGAGTCTTGTGGCACCTTAAAGACTAACATACCGTATTTTTCGCTCTATAGGACGCACCAGACGATAGGACGCACCTAGTTTGGGGAGGAGGAAACAAAACAAAACAAAAATCTGAATCCCAGAAGCCAGAACAGCATGAAGAATCTGACTTCTGGGATAGCCTCTTGCTGTTCTGGCTTCTGGGATAGCCGCTGGGATAGCTGGTCTAGCTTTGCACGAAGCCTCCACAGGGCACGGGGAGCCTTCATCCCCGTGCCCTGTGGAGGCTTCGTGGGGCTATCCAAAAGCCAGAAAGCACTCCCTCTGTGCTTTGGAGGCTTCGCGTTGCTTTCGCTGAAGCCAAGGAGCCTGCAGTCTCTCCATAGGACGCGCAAACATTTCCCCTTAATTTTTGGAGGGGAAAAAGTGCGTCCTATAGAGTGAAAAATACGGTATTTGTTGTGACAGAAGCCTTTCTGGACAGAAAGTGCTTAGCAAGTGCTTACATGTTACTGCGGGAAATTGTGTGTGGGAGAGGGAGAGAGAGAGAGAGAGAGAGACCTGGTTCACATAATCAGAGCCAGTCTTAGTATTATGCAGAATGAGGCAGCCACCTGTGACAGCTATGTCTAGAAGTTATTTAATCCACTATTGTTGCATTATTATTTTTACTGCCAGAGAGCGTTTATGGGAGTTACTGCCTTTGGCACCGGAATAACTTGGGAAAACAAAGATTGACACAAGAACAAGAGAGAAAACAGTTGTTTCTCTCAAAAAGTGCCAAATTCATTTATTGGTACCAGATGCTTTTCGGAAACAATTTTTCCCTTCTTCAGGGGCTGATCTAAGAACTATGATGCATATGCTTTACAGGTTGTGTCATTAACCTGCCACTTCAAAAATGACTGTAGAACAAAGAATGCAAATTCTCAAACATATCTTTTTGAAGATAATTGTTTCATCCACGTTTGAACTCCGAACATCCGTTTCACACATCGGAATGAAAAGAATTTTTGCCGTCGAAACCACATACTCCAGCAAAAAGGCTCCGAGGAGTCTAAACCACAAGAACCTCTCTAGTTTAAAAGGAAAAAAAGACTTCTTCACTTAGGAACTCCTTGTGTCAACACTAGAACGTATTCCCAAACCTTCATTATGTTGTAAACAAGATCTGCCCTTTTCCCTTATGGAATATTCAAGAGCCCGTATAGAGTCCTTATGTGGGTTCCCTATTGGTAGGAGAAAATAACAGAGGCCAACCAGAGAATATTGAGAAGCAAAGCAGCCAGTAAGCCTGATCTTTATTGATCTGTTGTAACAGGGTGCTCCCCTCACACACAAAAAAAGGAGGAGGACCCAGAACAAAGGTGTGCCTGCCCTTATATAGACATTTTAAATTCCCTGCCCTGGAGCTCAAGACCACCCCTCCATACATCACACATACATCACAGAAGGGGTGTAACCCAAAACCACCCCCCACAAACATCATACCTACATCACAGAAAAGGTGGTCTACAACAGAAATTTGAATGCTGTTGTTTTTCCTGTCTGCCAGGTTATCTGATAATGCCTTATCTGACTGCCTTTCCTGGTAGTCTTTTCTTGGTAGTCTGTCACCCTTTGAAATGGTGATTACTAAATTCCTGTAACAAGGAAGGTTTTTTCACCTCCTCCCTCCTTGCAGAGAAACATTTGGTCAGCTTGGGAGTCAAAATGGTTTCAGGACTGTTTTCCTGTGCTGCTTCAGACATGTGGTTTATATATATATTTATGTATGTGTTTGCTTGGTACATTTATGAACATTTAATATATATCTAAGACCTTAAAATTCTTATTACACTTGTATTTGTATTTGCATGAACAAGACACAAGGGTAAACAGAAGGGGAGCAAATTACTGGCTGGTCAGCCTGGACAGCTCAGTTGTTTGCCAAGGTTGCAGGTTTGATTCCAGTATGGGGCAGCTGCATAGTCCTGGATAGCAGGGGGTTGGTCTAAATCAGGCACACCCAACTCTCTAGAGACTGCAATCTATTCCCAGTAAGGTAGAGATAAAGGGACCCCTGACCATTAGGTCCAGTCGTGGCCGACTCTGGGGTTGCAGCGCTCATCTTGCTTAATTGGCCGAGGGAGCCGGCATACAGCTTCCAGGTCATGTGACCAGCATGACTAAGCTGCTTCTGGTGAACCAGAAACAACGTTTACCTTCCCGCCGGAGCAGTACCTATATATTTACTTGCACTTTGATGTGCTTTCGAACTGCTAGGTTGGCAGGAGCAGGGACCGAGCAACGGGAGCTCACCCCGTTACGGGGATTCGAACCGCCAACCTTCTGATTGGCAAGTTCTAGGCTCTGTGGTTTAACCCACAGTGCCACCCGCATCCCTTACAGTATAATAAAACTGGCAGTGATCTACCCATTGTCATTGCCCATACTTGTCGAGCTTTTTTTAGGAATGATTGACCAGAGTTGTTGAGCTGCTTGCCCAACAGTCCGCTGACCTCCCCCCACTCTGTCGCAGATACAGGGAATAAAACCCTTCACAACAGTGCCAGCGGCAGCAATGGGACGTAGTACCGGGGGCGGGGCATGTCATAATCGCTCAAGAGCAACTGGGCGATCACTGCTTTAACTACCGCAATCAGCCAGGAGCACCATGGCGATCTACCTCTCGATCGCGATCGACCAGTTGGACATTGTTGGACTAGATGATCCTCAGGGTCTCTTCCAACTCTACAGTTCTGTGATTCTAGGTCTCACATACTCCTTCCTGGTGGATGGACTTGGCTAGATGGCTTCCAAAGCTGGTGGAAACCATGCTTCCTACTTTGAGCACCTTGGAGGAAAGATAGAAATGAAATAAAGCGGGTTCTCCTTCATGGAGAGCATGTGTTGCGGTGGGGAAAACCATGACATTCCCAGTTGCTGGGCGGGTTAGTATGGATGGCCATGAATTTGATTAGGCACCTCCAATTGTTGCTGGGGAGAATTTAATGTTGCAAAATTGTTTGATTGATGGAGGTGCTATTTATTCCCTGTGTGCAGCATTGAGCTGCTTCTTTTCACTGCGCACATCGGATCACCTGCCCACCTTCCCTATATTTAGGGTTTGTTGGTGCTGACCTTGCTATACCTGTCATGAGGTCATCTGCTTTGGGGCAGGGGCCTGGTAGGAATTTTTACCATTTGGCTGATTGGCCAGTGCCATTTGGTTTCTTGCCTAAAAGGTAAAGGGACCCCTGACCATTAGGTTCAGTCGTGACCGACTCTGGGGTTGCGGCGCTCATCTCGCTTTATTGGCCAAGGGAGCCGGCGTACAGCTTCTGGGTCATGTGGCCAGCATGACTAAGCCGCTTCTGGCGAACTAGAGCAGCACATGGAAACGCCGTTTACCTTCCCACCGGAGCGGTACCTATTTATCAGCTTGCACTTTGACGTGCTTTCGAACTGCTAGGTTGGCAGGAGCAGGGACCGAGCAACGGGAGCTCACCCCGTCGTGGGGATTTGAGCTGCCAACCTTCTGATCGGCAAGTCCTAGGCTCTGTGGTTTAACCCACAGCGCCACCCGGTTTTTTGCCTACTGCGTAGCAAACTGTCACAACTTGTAAAGTTGCGGTTAGGCATTGGTTAATTTTGATTGGTGGAGGGGATGTGGTTGGCTGTGGCTGCCCCTCCAATGCTGCCGCAGCAAGGGTATTCTGGTAAAGGAATCCAGTGGCTTGCTATGCTCTTGTCCAAACCCCTGTGAAGGGGCTAGGGCCACGCAAGAGCCCCTGGGAGCATTTGGGGAGAGGTGAGAGCCTGGCGCCCAGCTCCATTCTCTCCCCAAAAATGTTTACCCTTACTGACTTCCGCAGGCTTGCAGTTGTCAGTTCTGTTCCTACCTCTATGTGGGAACAGAGCGTCGGTAACCAATGCCTAAGCAACCACTCACATACTGCAATTCAATAAAGTTGTGGCCAAAATTATGCCAAAGACCAAAACAAAAATGTTGTGTGAACTGTGTCTTTATTCGGGGGTTTCCTGGGGGGCCTTGACATGCAACTAGCTAAATAAATGTGAAAGACAATATAAAGTCTTGGAAGGGAATGCTGGTCTGGCTTTCTCTCCTAAGAATCCATCACAATTAGGAGGTCCCACCTCCCAATAAAGGTTTTTTTAAAAAACAAAAAACAAAAACAGAATACCTTGTGATCCAGCTGTAAAGTCATAAGTGATTAAGCAGTCTCTATTTCTCATATCTGGGCACTGTACATACCATATATTTAAAGCACACGACTTTCGCCAGATAAACTTGGGAACTGTATTTTGTTAAGGGCGCTGGGAATTACAGCTCTGTGAAGGATAAGCTACAGTTTCCAGCATTTTTGGGGTGACTTTGTGTGCTTTCGGTGTGTATTGTGTATCTCCGGGCAAGCCAAGTTTTAGACATTTTCAACAAAATAAAAGATTGCCCAGGATTTTAACTGGTTTTATATCTATTGTTGGTGGGGCTTTTTGTTTGTTTCTTTGTTTGTTTACTGTTGCTATGATAATTGCTTTTGTTTCTGATGTTTTTGATCTGTTTTATATTTGTTTTATGGTTCTCTTTTCTAGGCTATCGTGAAAATCTAGATTAATAATAATAATAATAAATTTAAGTGTAGCGTGTGTATGCAGCCCTATTCTAAATGATCAATGACTTAGATCAAGGGGTCAAAATAATGTACTATGTGCTTCTTGTTCACAGCACTCATAAAGCATTTTGAGAGAACTGACAAATGCAAGATAGTTTATATAGGTGCCAGGTTTATTGCAGTACAGTTGGCTTCTATTCCTGAATCTAGCCTATTTAGATTGAAGTTGTGGCTGGCTTTAGTAATTTTGAATTCAGTAACTGCACTCTGTAAAAAAAAGAGGCAATAATCTCTCTCCTAGGATCTTTCTTTTTCCACTACCCAAGTACAAATGGAGGATTAACTCATTTCTGTTACAGATCCCTTGTAGCTTTTCTTACTCCTTTTCTCTCTCTAGCATGTCTTACAACAATTATACAAAGCTCAGGCATTCAGAGGTTTCTCAGTACTGTATTTATAGCACTGAGAGCACCTTCGGCATAATCCGCGGGAAAGAATCATTGTTTAGATTATTGTCAGCGAGTTTGCTTTCATTATTATTATTTTCTTTTATGCCGTTCAGCACGGATGAAATGGAAGATGCCACTCTACGTAGGAATCCCCCCTGCTTGCAGACGGAACCATGTGGCGTTTATTCTTCATAGCCATGTAAGTGAAAATCATTTTGAAGCCAGGAGCCTGCTATTCTTCCAATTTTACTGCATTTCAGCTGCTCTCAGTGGACGGATTCATAGAGCTTTTCCATGTTTCGAAAGAATGCAGAATACAAGAGAGCATTTAATAATATGCTGAGCTTTGCAATGGAAACAGGTAACGGGGACTGCTAGATCACTCTCAGAAAGTGAGAAGGGGTGTATCATATGGGTTTAGTGATTAAGGCTGCAACCCAAATCCCACCTACCTGGGAGTAAGCCCCATTGAATTCAATACTCCTGTCATCTTTTCTCTTTTCAGAGAATCAGCTGTGGGGGATGGGAGCGATCAAGATCAAGGGTGGGATGAGGGAAGTTGACTTGTGCCCAGGGCTAGATTTAGGTTTGATGAGGCCCTAAGCTACTGAAGGTAATGGGGCCCTTTATATGTCCAGCTCTCCTTTGTCAACAACAAATTGTCGCTGTTTTTTGTGTTGAATATATGTTATATGGTAATTTATGGACCTAATAGGTAGCTAAAGCCATTTGTACATGCAGAATGTAGGCACCCTATATATAGAAATGAGCAAACCAGTGATATTTTAGGGTTTGGGCTAGCAAGTGGGGCCCATTACTTACATCATAGGAGAGTACACAACACAAAACACTGTTGCTATATGTAGGTTTTATTTTATATGTTTTTTACCTTATATTTTGGAAATGTACATCCAGGTGTTTTTTTCTTTAATTTTTTTGGGGGCCCCCAAGAGAGTGGGGCCCTAAGCTATAGCTTGTTTAGCTTATATGTAAATCCGGCACTGCATGTGCCCTGGGTGGCAGATTAAAAGGTAAAGGACCCCTGACAGTTAAGTCCAGTCGCAGACGACTCTAGGGTTGCAGCACTCATCTCGCTTTACAGGCCAAGGGAGCTGGCGTTTGTCCACAGACAGTTTTTCCAGGTCTTGTGGCCAGCATGACTGAGCCGCTTCTGGTGAAACCAGAGCAGTGCATGGAAACGCCATTTACCTTCCCACCAGAGTGGTACCTATTTATCTACTTGCATTTTTGGCGTGCTTTTGAACGGCTAGATTGGCAGGAGCAGGGACCGAGCAACGGGAGCTCACCCCGTCGCGGGGATTCAAACCACTGACCTTCTGATCGGCAAGCCCAAGGGGCTCAGTGGTTTAGACCACAGCACCACCCGCGTCCCTCTGGGTGGCAAGTTAGGAGGGTGCAAACGGGTGCAACGTGGAAGAGAGAATAGAAAAGAAATTAATGGGACAGAGTTCCTAATTCGCCCTAACCTTCCCCTGTATTGCAGTCCTGATCTGACTTCCACCCCCATTTTGTTCAAAACAAAATGATACTAGGAATTCCAATAAGGTCATCCATAGATAGCAATTATTGAATGTTAGCTATATTCTTATATGTGTTCTGATCATTTGGGAGTATTTAGCTAGGTACTTTCACTGTTTGCCGTTTCCTGTCATCCTATCTGCTTTGGGAGAGTCAAAGGCAAGGTCTGTTGGTTACTGGGATGGCAGAGGGATTTACTAATATCGAGAACTGAATATTGGGAGTGTGAGGGATGCCTGGATCCTGGCCTGAGCACTGCAGTCAAAGCCAGATCCATTAAAAAGGCAAAAGTGACTGGTCAGTGCTTGTAACCCCAAATTTATGAAGGGTATTAGATTGAGGAAGACAGTCTTATCCTATCATATTTCTGAAAGGTTCAAGAGTTGCTGCTGCTGTTTTTGTTCTTCAGAAAGCAATAAGCAGGCACAGCCCTTCCCCATTAGACAATGTCAGGATTTGGGGTGAGGGAGTAGATAACTTACAGGGCCCAAGCAAGGATAGCAAAATTTATAAGCTCCATGCATTTTCCAGTGGTTGTTAGTCATACCTAATGGGCCTGGTTTGGGAGGAAAGACTTTTAATTTGCAATATGTCAAGCCTCTTCTGCTCTTGGATGAAGCACACTATGCAAGTATAGGGCAAATGACAGCAAAATTTGAACACTGTCCGCTCTAATTTCAAAGTGCAGATTTCAGAGTGGGAGTTTGCTTACAGTTTATTATCTGAGACCAGTGGAGATCCCTGGTCTTTGTGGGATAAACCCTCCACGATGGCAATTTCCAAAGAGACAATTGTGAAATTAAGAAATTGTGTTTGTGTTTGTTTGTGTGTGTGCTCCAGACCAAAAGCTTCCATAAATGTGATTTGTGTTACCATTGTTTGAATTCATATTCAGCTAATACGTTAATGCGCATTCTTACTTTTCTGTATTCACAGCTCTATATCCTTGGCGGCACAAATGAAAAAGAATTAAATGATCTCATGGGAATGAAACTGATAAATCCTTCTGACAGACAGCCTAGTAAGTTTCGTTAAGTTTTTGATGACGCGCCATTAAATTTGAACCCGTTCCCATCACTCAGTTCCGCACCACTCTCACCATTGTGAAGAGGCAACTAGAAAGTTCTAGGTTTCCAAAATCATTTATTCTTCACAGAACCAACTAATCATTGAACACACTTCTCTAACATTAGTTTTGCGTGCTGGATATTCACGTAAAGTGTTGCTGTCCAGCTTTTTATTAAAAAAATTATATCAGACTCAAAGTGCATAACTTCCTCGCTCACCTGATTTCATTGCTGAATATGCTCAGTATCAGTATCACAGAATGAGTTAAGCCTCATAAAACTGATTTCACCAAAGGTAAATTTCTATACGCTATAAATCTTAGCTCACCATATTTGGTGGAATAATGTGATTTGATTGCAGCTGCTGTGGAAGGCTGTAGCTCAGTGGTAAAGCACGGCTTTGCATGCAGGAGGAACTAGATTCAGTCCCTGACATCGCCATGTTGCATTAGGAGAGGCTGCTGTGCGAAGCCATGGAAACCCGCCACATTCCTGCATTGCAGGGCGTTGGACTCGATGACCTTTGAGGTCCCTTCCAGCTCAACAATTGTATGAATCGATTATCTATAGCCAGAGTAGACTGTAGCCATATTAGACTTTACCGATTGGTGGGCTCTGCGTTGCTCCCGGACAGGAGGAAGGAAGTCAAATGACACCGAGGGTTGGTTCCGAGAAAGAGTTCTTTATTTCTGCTCTCCGGAACAGCAGAAAGGCACCTGCGTGGTGTGTCCACAGCAAGTCCAAAGAAATGAGAAATTTCATGCAGTATATATATCCTCCAGGCACCCTCTCCCCCTTCCCCAGGAATCCAACCACATCAGCCTATACACGCAGGTTGACATCACATATGTTCCTGCTCTGGTATTCTTAACCATAAAAGGGTATTCCTTCCTGTACTTCTGACCATAAAAGGCTATTCCTGTTCCTACTCTTATCTTGGAGCAAGAGGTCACCAATTCCAAGAACACACTCTGGCGCTGTTCTCAGACTAGGTCTGTGTGTCAGAGTGTGTCCAGGACGTAAGATAAGACCTAGACGTGTCATCCCTGTTCTACTGGAACAGTCAAGGCCATCCTTCCCATCATGAACGGATAAAGGAGAGGGCTCTGAGCACTTGTTTATTCAGCCGGGTTTTTGTTTATACATTGAGCTCAAGTTAATGGATTTTAGCTAAGGGAAAATAGGGATTTTGGTGCCTGTTTCAAACTGCCTGCACAGTCAGTTTTGGGTTTGGGAAACCCATTCCTTCAGACAGTGCAGAGCTAAATGGACTGACTCCGTAAAAGGCAGCTTCTCAAGTTCTTGTGTAATTAGGGTTACATTACAATCTGGATTGCCTTTTAGATATGGAATCCACCTTCCTGCAAATTTGTGCCGAAAAAGACTGAACTATGGCAATAACTGAGCAAATGTTTGAGGGAGACCTTCTGGGGCACCCTCTTCTACTCTTCTACAGTGGTACCTCGGGTTACATACGCTTCAGGTTACAGACTCCGCTAACCCAGAAATAGTACCTCGGGTTAAGAACTTTGCTTCAGCATGAGAACCGAAATCTCGTGGCAGCAGCGGGAGGCCCCATTAGCTAAAGTGGTACCTCAGGTTAAGATCAGTTTCAGGTTAAGAACGGGCCTCCGGAACGAATTAAGTTCTTGACCCGAGGTACCACTGTACTATGGTTTTGCTGGGCTGATTATTATTTCCTTTTGGTGCCATTTCAATGCTATTGCCTGTTTTCATGGTTTTGTGTCAATTTGCAAGGACATCCCTGTATGGCAAAACTTCCCTTTCTCTCCCCCCACATGCCCCCCATCTGGTCTGGAGAGTGGGGGGACCCTATACAGCAGCTCCTCAGGCTGATTTCTGAAAAGCACTTGTTTGTTACATTTATATTCCACCTCTCCCCCCCCCCCCCCGATCTCAAGGCGTTGGACATGGTTCTCCTCTTCCCCATTTCATCCTCCCGACAGCCCTTTGAGGCAGGTTAGGCTAAGAGATGGTGACTGGCACAAGGTCGCCCAGTGAGCTTCATGGCTGAGTGGGGATTCAAACCCTGGTCTCCCAGGTCCTAGTCCAATGCTCTAACCCAGGGGTCAGCAAACCTTTTCAGCAGGGGGCCGGTCCACTGTCCCTCAGACCTTGTGGGGGGCCAGACTATATTTTTTTAAAATAAATTAACAAATTCCTATGCCCCACAAATAACCCAGAGATGCATTTTAAATAAAAGCACACCTTCTACTCATGTAAAAACACGCTGATTCCCAGATCTTCCATGGGCCGGATTTAGAAGGCGATTGGGCCGGATCCAGCCCCCAGGCCTTAGTTTGCCTACCCATGCTCTAACCATTACACCACACTTCTCTCTTGTGGCTTTATGCAGAATGGTGGAAATGGGGCTTTAAGTGTTTGCTCCCTTCCTGAAGTGGTTTTAATTGCTGTGATTAAACGTTATTTAATGGTTGTTTGTGTTTTCTAGCTGTGGTTTGAGTGCTTCATTGTGTTTTGTTATTATTAGGTTTATTACCCACTAGGGCAGGTTAGAGCAATATGAAATACAATGTTAAAACCATGTAAATCAATTACTGTTCTTGTCAAACTGTCTCTTTTCATTGTAACATTATCGGGCAATAGCCAACTAAGTTATACTCAGAGTAGATCCACTGAAATCAATAGACTTTAGTTTCTTTGCCCATTTTAATGTTATTTTAGGTTCTAATTTGGGAGAGACTACAATCAAGTTTCTCTGTTAGAAGAATGGGCTTGGATATCACTCATTGTTTTAATTTATTCATTAGCCACATTGAGCTCATTAAAGAAAGACAATATATATAAATGCTTTAAATCAATTGATAATCCAAAAATATAAAAGGGTTTTAAACACAGGAGGAGAAGGAGAACAAATTATAGTTCATTGGACAACGTGCCATTTCTCCTTGACTGATAAATGATCACAGAATTATCACAGAAAGGGGATTGATAAGATTATTGCTGACTTATAATGATTGAAAAGCACTTTGAACATTAAAACTGCTGTAGAAATGATTGATATTTGAAATCTTCCAAGTAGTTAACTACATTTTATGCATCAAAGGCTTGAGAGGTCCATATAAGCTACCAATTTTATTTTGCTTTGAGCATTGGAACATTATTTAAAAACAAGAAACAAATCCTCCTAGATCTCTCTCTGTAAATTAAAACAGTGAACACCATAATGTTAGCATTGCGGATATAATGGAATTACTATACATTGACTTGACCCTTGCCATTGTGCAGAAGCAATGATAATTTGTGGCTATATTGAAAGCCATTGAACACTCATATGTTCCTGAAGAATTAATGTCACTATTCCACCCTATAAAACAGAGTAAGAAATTAGTGCCTGGATTACTGCATATCTGCACAGAGCTACTAAAGCAGACTTTATACTAAATGTGCTGTTTCAGCCAAAGCTGTAGGGGCATATGTAGTTCTCTGTGCAGGGATGCGGGTGGCGCTGTGGTCTAAACCACTGAGCCTCTTGGGCTTGCTGATCAGAAGGTCAGCGGTTCAAATCCCTGCAACGGGGTGAGCTCTTATCACTTTGTCCCAGTTCCTGCCACCCTAGCAATTCAAAAGCACGCCAGTGCAGGTAGATAAATAGGACCGCAGTGGCAGGAAGGTAAATGTCGTTTCTGTGCTCTCTGGTTTCTATCACGGTGTTCCAGTTTGCCTCCTCCAAGTGGAAGAAACCTGGGCAGTGCTGAATGTCACATCCATTGCCAGATGTGTCCTGCTGGAAATAAAAAAAAGGGTTTCCCCCTTGGCCTGCCTTTATATCCACTCAGTTGCCAAGGGCTTTTGTGACATCACAAGAAACTCACAGCCAATTGCAACAGCTGGGGAGGCATCATCTTTATTGCTTTGAACCTCACAATGGTGGGTGGACCTGTCAGTGACTGTGTGCTTGTTTATTTGGGACACGGGTGGCGCTGTGGTCTAAACCACTGAGCCTCTTGGGCTTGCCCATCAGAAGGTCAGCAGTTCGAATCCGCACAACGGGGTGAGCTCCCGTTGCTCTGTCCCAGCTCCTGCCACCCTAGCAGTTCGAAAGCACACCAGTACAAGTAGATAAATAGGTACCGCTATGGCAGGAAGGTAAACAGCATTTCCGTGCTCTCTGGTTTCCGTCACAGTGTCCCATTGTGCCAGAAGCAGATTAGTCCTGCTGGCCGCATGACCCGGAAAGCTGTCTGCGGACAAACGCCGGCTCCCTCGCCCTGAAAGTGAGATGAGTGCAGCAACCCCATAGTCGCCTTTGACTGGACTTAACTGTCCAGGAGTCCTTTACCTTTTACCTTTGCACCTCCCATTCCGCCACTTTGGGTAAAATGGGAAGTGCCGCATGGCCACCACCATCTAGGCTGCTCACCCCACCCCACCCCACCAACATCCGCATTGGTTTTGGGCTCTGCAAAATCTCACATGATTTCAGCATGATCTTGCCCCAAATCAGCACAAATGCTGCCAGTAGGGCAGGCAAGGAGCTGGCTGGGGCACCGCCTGAGGCAGAGTGGACCTGCCTCATTCTGCCTAATACATGGGCCGGCTCCATCTCTGTTACGTTTAGCAGAACATCACAACATTCTGCATTTCTCCTCCCACACTCCGCATCTTTGGCAGCCGCGTGGGATGGAGAGTTAAATGTGAAATTTCCGATATCATGAAATGTATTACGTTCTGTTCAGTTGTTACAAAGAGGGGGGTAGAATTTAAAACACACAGCTGTTGTTTTTGACAGTTGGATGTTGAGCAACGTATCTGTTATTAGTGCTTAGACGCCACTCTCTCAGACTAAATTTTGTCAGCAAACAAATAGATAAAAAATGACTATACTTTTAGACTTATTTATGTATTGCATTATGTACAGCCTTTCTCCTGAGGCACCCAAGGGGGCTATAATATTGTAAAAATAAATATTGAAAGATATAAAGTGTTACGCTGCTGATGTGAACATACCCTCAGTCTTGGAGGAAGAAAGCCATAGCATTTTTGCTAGGCTCATTTATCACCTGCAGAAGCTACCAAGCAAGCCCTGTATATGCATAATTGTAATTGCATTGCCTTGGACAAAACAGACTTCACAGTTTTTTCTTAATGATCAAATGGTAAGCTGTTGATTTCTTTTTAACTGAAACCTAGTGCCGAGCCAATGGATGTTTCTGTCTCTTTTCAGTTATGAAGGAGATTCTTTCAGAACTGGGAATCCAGGGAGTAAGCAGCAGGTATTGTGTCTGTCATTCTTCTTTTCCTCTTATACGTTCTCAGAGGGAAAGGGGCTGGAAACACCAATTATTCTTGTAATAATGGTAGTTTGTATGTAAGGAAATAGTAAGGAAAACCTCTCCCATATATCTGTGTGTGTGTGTGTGTGTGTGTGTGTGTGTGTACACACACACACATATACATACATATATATATACATACACACAGTGTGTGTGTGTGTGTATATATATATATATATAGTTTTTCAAATTAAAGTTTTATAATTACATATCCAACATACAACATAAAAACAAGATTCCAAGGAATCTCCTGGATTTCCCTCCTCCCCTTTGTAGGTCCTATTGTTAGCCATTTCCTCCTGCATCTTTTTTGATAATCCAAATCTTTTACCTCTCCACCGTGTCCAAAATTCACCAATTATTCCAAACCTACTAACAATTTTAACTGTTTACAATGGTTTTTAAGATAAATTATAAATTTTCCCCATTCCTTACTAACATCTTGGTCTTCCTGATTTCTGATCCTTCCGGTCATTTTTGCCCTTTCGTCATAATCCATCAACTTAATCTGCCATTCTTCTCTCCCATATATATCAACACAATGAGTTTGGGATTGTTCCCTCAGCTTTTAGGCTGCAACCTATATCCACTTCCCTGTGACTGAGCCCCATTGAACTCAGTGGGACTCAGTGGGAGCAGACATGTATAGAGTTGACTTGTTAGGCCACATGCTTATACAGCAGAAGTTAGGACTCCAACCACTAATGGCCCCAGCCAACAAGGCCACTGGTCAGGGATAATCAGAGTTGCAGCTCAGTCTGTATAACGTTTACTGCATGTGTAACTTGTTAAGATAGAGTTGTACATTTATCCACTCCATGTTTTCAGTATCTCCAGGTTTTGTCTTGCACATGGCACCTTAGTATGTTAGTAAATTTGGTTTTATACTTATAAGCCAGTTTGTGGTGTTGTTGTTTTGTTGTATTATTATTACTGTCACCACATTTGATACTTTGTGTGTATACTTACTAGTCACCATATATGCCATTTTTCAGTTTTAAAAAGCATTACAGTGGTACCTCGGGTTACATACGCTTCAGGTTACATATGCTTCAGGTTACAGACTCCGCTAACCCAGAAATAATACCTCAGGTTAAGAACTTCGCTTCAGGATGAGAACAGAAATCGCTCGGCGTGGGCACGGCGGCAGCAGGAGGCCCCATTAGCTAAAGTGGTGCTTCAGGTTAAGAACAGTTTCAGGTTAAGAACGAACCTCTGGAACAAATTAAGTACGTAACCAGAGGTACCACTGTATGGGACAGCGCACTGCATACAGTGGTGCCTCGCAAGACGAAATTAATCCGTTCCGCAAGAGTCTTCGTCTAGCGGTTTTTTCGTCTTGCGAAGCAAGCCCATTGACGGATTAGCGCTATTAGCGCTATCAGCTGTTTAGCGGCTATTAAAGGCTTAAAGGCTTAGGGGATTAGCTGCTAAAAGGCTATTAAAGGCTATTAAAGGCTTAGCAGATTAGATAAAGGGGGGGAAAAGCGAAAAAAAAAACTCAAGACTCGCAAGACATTTTCGTCTTGCGAAGCAAGCCCATAGGGGAATTCGTCCTGCGAAGCAACTTCAAAACGGAAAACCCTTTCGTCTAGCGGTTTTTCCGTCTTGCGAGGCATTCGTCTTGCGGGGCACCACTGTAAATCTAAAACGAGCTAACAAAAAGCGGAATAAAGGAAAATCCAACCATGAGAAAAACATGGTAAAAAAAGAAGCAAATCATCATACAGTAATGTTAAAAAGAAATATGGACTATGGAAACTTGATGATACAGAAAGGCAAACCATAAGCTATAAACACATCACTGCCTTAATGCAGTCTTATTCTTCATAAATTCTATTAAAACCTATGGCACATAAATTCAAGAAAATGAGCTTGAAATTGGCATGCCAGAATCCAGCGCTCAGATGTTGCTTTTTGCACGTGCAACAATAGAATTGTTACCACGGGCGAAGAAAATGTTTTCTTCTTTCTCAGTGGTTCCATACGAACATGGTCAGGTTATCTGCACAGTTTCCAAATGACGTGAGATATCTGGTTGCTCACATACAACACCCCCCTGTGCCTATAAATATCTAGCTGACTTCCTTTTTACATAATGGGATGTTGATGAAATAAATTGCTTGAAGACATCAAAGGAAGGGATGGGTCTCTGACTTTTTTCAAAGAGGCTTGCTGTGGATGGGGAGAGAAGAGGGAGTGATTAAGGATTCAAGGACAAGACCGACAAAAACCTCAATTCAGGTCCTGCCACTCTCAAAATGTTCGTCATTTCAGCTATTCCTAGTATATATTGTCACACACACACACACACACCAGTCTCCAACGTGGGATCCCAGGGAGTTGGAGGCACTTACCCAGGGTCTGTGTTTCCTTTTGGGAAAGATGAGGCACAGCGGAGAATGTGGTGTCTTTATGATATATGGTTTATTTACAAATCTATATAGCCTGAGCCTTGGATGGCGGTATCAACAGCAGTCACACTCCAAGAGGTTCTGCCCTCCCCCCCATAAGCTCAGCATTGGATTCATACAGCCCCCAGCCATAGCCATCTGAGTCTCTCTCTACTAGACCATGGATAGGCAAACTAAGACCCGGGGACTGGATCCGGCCCAATCGCCTTCTAAATCCGGCCCGCGGACGGTCCAGGAATCAGCATGTTTTTACACGAGTAGAATGTGTCCTTTTATTTAAAATGCATCTCTGGGTTATTTGTGGGGCATAGGAATTTGTTGATTTTTTTCCCCTTCAAAATATAGTCTGGCCCCCCACAAGGTCTGAGGGACAGTGGACCGGCCCCCTGCTGAAAAAGTTTGCTGACCCCTGGTCTAGACCACTACTTCCTTCTCTGTTGCTTAACTCCTAACACTGACCTGTTCTAAACACATGGCTTCCCTTTATCTGTACCCCACCTATTTGCAAGCTCACACACTGAATTCCTTTCATGCTTTGTGTTCTAATGGCTCATTACCCTGCAGGCTGCCACTTCATGCAGTAGCACAGCCTGAGAAGGGTTGGCATATTTTGAAGCGCCAAAAAGGGGATGCTAGGACGACTCTCATTTTAAATACCCCTGCTATATGCAGGCTATAGAAGTTGAAATACCGTATTTTTCACCCCATAGGGCGCACCTAGTTTGGGGGGGGGGATAAAGAAAAAAATATATTTCTCCCCCCAGGTGCGGGGCTGGGGCGGGGGAAGCCCGAGCTTCCCCCGACCCCAGAACAGGCTGCTATCCGCTCAGCATGCCCCAGGCTTTGGGATGCAGGCAGCTCTCCGCAAGCCTAGGGAGCCCGGCGGGAACTCCCGCGGGCTCGCAAGGCTTGCAGATAGCTTCCTGAAGCCTGGAGAGTGAGAGGGGTCGGTGCGCACCAACCCCTCTCGCTCTCCAGGCTTCAGCAAAAGCCTGCATTCGCCCCATAGGACGCACACACATTTCCCCTTCATTTTTGGAGGGGAAAAAGTGTGTCCTATAGGGCGAAAAATGCGGTATATTGCCAAAGGGGGCAGGAGAGGAGAAGAGCAAAGCAAGTCTTCAACCACAAGTTCTGTCTATGTCTCATCCAAAAAGTACAGCCAGAAACGTTTTGGCAATTTTTTAAAAAAATCCACCCAGCAGAATTTTTATCCCTGAAGAAGAGGACATGTCCTGGAAAAAGAGGACACATGGCAACTAAACCTGGCTTAGTTCTTAACACATTTTAATTTCCTAGGATTTGGAAGTGTCTCTTTTTTCTTATTCTTTTTTAGTGGTGAAAAGAAAAGAAAAAGAGAGAAGTGAATGAAAATGAGAAGAAAAGAAAAGAAAAATGCTTAATTACATCTCTATACATTAGTATACACATGTATATAATTTTATTATCCTAGTAAAAATTTCTTTATCAATAACCTATATTCTTTATAAAGTCATTCCAATTATCTTTATATTTATCCAAAGAAAGTCTGCGTTTGTAAGCGGTCTGTTCACATGTTGCTACTATTGTCATGTTGTCAAGTCATTCATTAAGGGGAATCATATCTCTGGTCTTCCAGTTCATCAGTATCCATCTCTTAGCCACCATTAGGGCATGTAAAATCCAGTTTTGCTGTCCCGTTATCACTTTCCATAAAATAGGTATATAGTTCAAAAGAATATTCACCTCTGAAAATCTTAATTTTTTTCATAGCATCTTATCTATATAGTATGTGTCTAATACATATATTCATAAACAGGTCTAACAACCAGTTTTTAACACTCCAACCTTAATTAAATTCTAACACTAGCTTAATCTGGAATTTAGGGTGTCTTGTATCCACAGATTCATAACAATATAGATGAGAGACACGTTCAGGAACAGTTTTAAATCCCTTAAGCAATTAGCTTTCCAAAACCTTATCTCCAATTACGTGCATATTTTATGTGCAAAGCGGGTGAAATACCCTCTCTGCCTCTCCCTGTCTCATTATGATCGTGTGAAATTAGTATAATCCTAAAATCAATCTTTAAAAAACCCCTCGTGTTTGAATGTGCAGGTTTACTCCCACCAAAATCCCCAAAGTGAAATACGAATTGACAGAATCTCCTTTGCTAACTGGATCTGTTTCTCCGCCGCCTCCTGTTCTGGTAAGTGCCTTATTTCCATTTTGCCTGATCAAGAAATATTTACAATTTGTCAGTGCTGGACATAGGAACATGTGAGAGGCTTCTTTGCCTTGCAGCTGAGCGCCTGTGGATTCGCAGGATATGTTTAACACTGTGACATTACACCTTAGGTGTGCTTCAAGTATCTGATGGGATCCTTGTGTGTATCTGCCAACTCACCCACCTCCCAGCAAAGAACGAGATCTTCTGCAAGAGCCGTCTTTCCCATACGGCTTAGTGGTGCATTGCGCCAGGGCGCCGGCCTTTCAGGGGTGCCCCAACAAGTGGGGGAGCTGCGCGGCTTTGCCGGCAGCCTCCCCTTTCCCTGCACACCCGCCAGCTGTGCCCTGTCAACCATATGGCGGGCGCGGGCGCAGCTTCCCTCCCAAGCCTCTGCAGGGATCACTCTCCTGCAGCGGCATGGGGGAGAGTTGCACACACACACACACACACACACACACACCCATGGCTGGCAGTGCGCAGCTTCACACACACACCCCACTATCCATGCTAATTTTGGGGCACTGAATGGATATTTGCACCCCAGGGTGCAAAAGGTGCTACTCTAAGTGTGCCTTGAGTGAGGTCTGACCCAAGAACAAGCACACAAACCAAGTTTTGGAAAAGGAAAAGTTCATTTATTGAAACTGAAGAATAAAAGGAGTGTCTCCACCCACATCATTCAGCCCGGACACTGAGGTCCAGCTCCGAGGGCCTTCTGGCAGTTCCCTCACTGTGAGAAGTGAAGCTACAGGGAACCAGGCAGAGGGCCTTCTCAGTGGTGGCACCCGCCCTGTGGAATGCCCTCCCATCAGATGTCAAGGAGATAAACAACTATCTGACTTTTATAAGACATCTGAAGACAGCCCTGTTTAGGGAAGCTTTTAATGCTTGATCTTTTACAGTGGTACCTCGGTTTAAGAACAGCCCTGTTTACGAACGATTCGATTTACGAACTCCACAAAACTGGAAGTAGTGTCCCGCTTTGCGAACTTTACCTCAGTCTTAGAATGGAATCTGAACAGTGGAAGGGCACTGGCGGCAGGAGGCCTCATTAGGGAAAGCGCGCCTTGGTTTAAGAACGATTTTGGTATAAGAACAGACTTCTGGAATGGATTAAGTTCGCAAACCGAGATACTACTGTACTATGTTTTTATAGCCGCCCAGAGTGGCTGGGGCAGCCCAGCCAGATGGGCAGGGTATAAATAATAAAATTAATATTGTTGTTATCAAAAGCATATAAAGAACAGTGCAGTTTTAGGACTAATTTAAGTGTGGCAACATGGGCATCTACAGTGGTACCTCGGGTTACATACGCTTCAGGTTACAGACTCCGCTAACCCAGAAATAGTACCTCAGTTAAGAACTTTGCTTCAGGATGAGATCAGAAACCGTGCTCTGGTGGCACGGCAGCAGCAGGAGGCCCCATTAGCTAAAGTGGTGCTTCAGATAAAGAACAGTTTCAGGTTAAGAACGGACCTCCGGAACGAATTAAGTACGTAACCAGAGGTACCACTGTAATTGCAATTGTAGATGCATTTGATTATAGTCCTGACACATTGATAACTCTTAAGCAAAACAATTTAAGATATTCCATGCTAGGAGAAGGAAAATGGCGAGGGTTGGAACTATGGCGGACATTCATACAAATTTGTAGAAATCGGCCGGGATTGCCAAGTTAGACCTTTTTTCTGGCTCCAACTGAGCCACTACTTGTCAGCAGAAGGATAAAAATGTCGGGGGGAAGCCTCTTAATCAGAATCAGGAGTGGGGTGCCTTAGGCCTGCAAGGTCTCTCGCTCTTGCTCTCCGCTCTGAACCCGAGGCATCAAAACCCTTCTGCAAAGCTTCATGGCCTAAAATGAAATGAAAGCTGTCTTTGCGAGGGCAGAGCGAAAGTGACACGGCGGAGCTAAAAGCGGCCAATAAACATTTTTAAAAAAACAAACACGCAACTGCCTAAATGTGCTTTTCCCTCCCGTAGTTGTATTATATGAGGGAGGGCTGTTAGAGAGATCCAAATCAAAGGTGACCCATAGTGAGAGCGTTCCCTTACTCTCCTCAGAAAATGGTAAGGGGGCATATCGTATGTTTCTGACTCATCTTCCCTGCCACTGTCGCCACCCCAGGCAGTTGTGCGGCATGGCTTCAGCTTTTCTGAACACCTTTTTGATACACAACCCTTGAGCCTTGCCATATAAAATTTATAATTGGGAGAAAATCACTCCTAGCCAGGGGGAGCGATTTGCCCACAGGGCTAGATAAGAATTCTTCCAAGACCGGTATACCCCCCAACATTTCTTCAATGAAAATAGGGGCGTATTATAATTATAATTATAATTATAATTATTATTATTATTATTATTCCCTGCCCATCTGACTGTGTTGCCCCAGCCACTCTGGGTGGCCTACAACACATATAAAAACAACATTAAAAATTTAAAAAACTTCCCTACACCTGGCTGCCTTCAGATGTCTTCTACATAGTTACTTATCTCCTGGGCTCCAGGGTTGCGTGTCGAGGTCCCCAGGTCCACCCCAATAACTCACACATCACACAGAAGTTTTTGTTTAAGATTTCTGGCATAATTTTGGCCACAACTTTATTAAAATACAAATTTGTGAGTGGTTGCGTAGGCATTGGTTGCGACTATCTGCCCCCACCATGGGGGACAGACTGACATTCCGCACGATGCGAAAGTCAGAATGGGGGAATACACTTGGGGGTTACGCAGAGCAGGGAACCTGCCATCAGTCCTCCCCAAATGCAACCAGGAGCTCATTGCTATGGCCCGAGCCCCCTTGACAGAGTGGACAAGCAATAGTTAGCCCGTGATTCCATTAACGGAATCCCTTGCAGCAGCAGCGTTAGAGGGGCAGGCACAGCCAATCCATGCCCCTCAACCAACCAAACCATAAACCAATGCCTAACCGCGAACCTTACAAGTTGTGACGATTTGCTACGCAGTAGGCAAAAACCAAATGGCCCCAGCCAATCAGCCAGATGGACAAAATTCCTACCAGGCCCCGCTCCAAAGCAGACGACCCCATGACAGGCATAGCAAGGTCAAAGCGAACAACCCTATTCTAGGGAGGGAGGGACGGGCAATCCGATGCACGGGCGAAAAGAGGAAGCCCTAGCCTCGTGCAAGGAGTTTTACTATTTCTGGCTGTCAATAAATGGCAACATTAACTTCTTCCCAACAACAAGGGAAGCCCCAATCGCATCAGTGGCCAACGATCAATTAGCCCGCCCCCCCAACTTTGGAGTGTCCTGGCGGCCCCCACTGCAATACGTGCTCTCCATGAAGGAGAACACGCTTTGCTTAACTCCATACCCTCCAATATTTCTCCAATGAAAATGGGGACGTCCTGAGAAAAAGCGGAATATCCCGGGATCAAAACAGAAACTGGGACTGTCCCTGGAAAATAGGGGCACCTGGAAGGTATGGACCTGTTTCAAGGATGCATCCGGTGGTTTGCCACTGTTGTTGCCTGGCTGTTCCCCTGCATTTAAAGCCAAGGTATCTCTGTCATGTCATGGGGTATTCTGTGGAGACAATTAGGTCAGAGCAGGAGAAAATGCAAAAGGGGGATATATATATATATTGCTAGGTATGCCATGACTTATGCCAGGCCCCAGTCCACTGAGATGAACCAGGTTCTGGTGCCATAGGTCATCCTCGCAGGGGCATCGGTGAAAAATAAAACAAAGGTAAAGTGTGCTGAACGTCTTGAGCATTCTTCCTTTAGTGCCGTAAGCCTTACGTTAATTTAAAAAGAATGACTTCCTGCCAGATGGATTTGACATATGTGTCTAGGATTTCTGCTTGGTTGGTTTTTGGAAGTTTTTTTTCCATCAGAAAGAAAGAAAGAAAGAAAGAAAGAAAGAAAGAAAGAAGCAATGTTTTTCCTAGGGAGTAGTAAGGAAAGACTACTATTTCATACCCTCCAACACTTCTCCAATTAAAACCGGGACGTCCAATTCCACAATGATAATTTTACTATTTATACCCCACACATCTGACTGGGCTGCCCCAGCCACTCTGGGCGGCTTCCAACATATATAAAAACATAATAAAACATTGAACATTTTTTTAAGAAAACCAAGCACTGCCTTATACAGGGCTGTCTTCAGATGGCTCAGGGGTCAGATAACTCCATACCTGCCAACGTTTATCTGATGAAAATAGAGATGTCCGCGGGTGGCGCTGTGGGTTAAACCACAGAGCCTAGTGCTTGCCGATCAGAAGGTCGGCGGTTCGAATCTCCGTGACGGGGTGAACTCCCGTTGCTCGGTCCCTGCTCCTGCCAACCTAGCAGTTCGAAAGCACGTCAAAGTGCAAGTAGATAAATAGGTACCACTCCGGTGGGAAGGTAAACGGTGTTTCTGTGCGCTGCTCTGGTTTGCCAGAAGCGGCTTAGTCATGCTGGCCACATGACCCGGAAGCTGTACACCGGCTCCCTCGGCCAATAAAGAAAGATGAGCGCCATGACTGGACCTAATGGTCAGGGGTCCCTTTACCTTTAAGGAAAAGTAAGACATTCCAGGTTCAAATCAGAAACCGGGATGGCTTCTGTAAATCTGGGACTGTCCCTGGTGGGTCTGCTATTTCCCCTACTGAGACAGGTAATATTTCACAAGCTCGTGGTTACTGCATCACTTCCTGACCCCCTTGGCAACCTGTGCTATTGGGCACCAAGAGATATCCTGCCTCAAGAAGTAGATTTTGGGCTCCCATGAAAAATGATTATATTTTTACCCCACCTGATTTGGATTTGTGCCTCCGGACCAAAATAGCCCAGGCTGTCTCTGACCCACAGAGCCCCATCATGGTAATTTGTTGGCGATGTGGCTGATTCCTGGCATTGGGCAGCAACAGCAAGGAGAGACATAGCTTTCTTTCCCACACCCGCAGCCCAGCTTCCCGCCCTTTGGATTAAATGCTAAATTTGGAAGTGTGGAAACTGCCCCTTGAAAAAGAAGCAAAGGTGGCAGTTTTATTAAGGGAGGAAAAACCCTCTAGAACCCCAGTACTAATCAAGATGTTAGAAAAACACAGCAGGCTTTCAAGTTCTCTAGAACTTCACCAGGCAAGATGTCACACGGGGTAGTGTGCAAGGGGGAAACAAGACATTTTTCAAAAGCTAGGTTAGTGCTGTAGCCAAGAGATCGACTTGTAGACTTAATTCGATTTTCAAAATTGAAAAATTGAATTATCTTTTGCTCCTGTGAGCTCTCCACGTTAACATGGGGTGCATGATACAGGTGAAAGCCCATATCTAACTCAGGGTGGATCTACACACAGGAAGAAAATTCTATAAATAAGTCAGAATTTAAATCATTATGAGAAAAGGGGGGGAAATGCTATGTAAAATGGCAAAAAAAAAATTCTTTACTCTTCAGCACCATCTGGTGTTGCATGTTTATAACACATTCAGAGTGCTGCTATTTGACTAGCTGAGTCCGAAATGTTATATTGTTGTAAACTGTCCTGCAGTCAGTTTTGATTAAGGGTGGTGTTTGCAAATTTTAAACAAATGGATCCAAGGGCATAGTTGATTTCTTGCACACATATTGGGGTGCTGAGATATTCCTTGAGATGCTTTGCCGCTGCTAAATTCTGCAGGCTGCTGTTGTGTAAGTACTGATTCCCATGCACAGGTGCAACTGAAGCAGTTTTGCCTACATCCCTGCCCCAGAGGACCAAACAGCAGGCTTAAAATTTAACAAATATAAATAAATGAACCCTTTTTCTATCGCAGCTGTGTTTGCCATTCTTGTTGTGTAAGGGAGCCCTTAGAAACCCTTCAGGTCTCCTTTTTGTACTTCTTCCAGCACTGCAAGAGAAAGTCTTTGCCTCTCTACGATCTACATACCGTATTTTTCGCTCTATAACACGCACCCAACCATAACACACACGTAGTTTTTAGAGGAGGAAAATCCGTAGGCATGCCACCCATAGGCATTCCCTCCATAACACGCACAGACATTTCCCCTTACTTTTTAGGAGGAAAAAAGTGAGTGTTATGGTGCAAAAAATACGGTATATTGTCTCCTGCAGATGTGATTTGAAAAGCATTGCTCAGATGCTATTTCACATAAACTATTTGCTGGAGGGACCCATTTAAACGATCCTTGAATCATTTGCTTATATACATTTCCCGGCTTGCCCCATTATCACCATTGCTTAGCAGATTAATTACTCTGTACTTAATTTGCTTAGCAATTAAACCACCAATTAAATATTTGTCTACATAACATACTCCTTGGCAAATGAATTAATTAGTAGTGAACATTGAGAAATGACTTGTTAAGCAGGAGGGCATTGTGTTTAAAAGAATAGGTTTGGTTACATTGTGCTACGACTTATTAAGAATAGCTTTATTAATTAAATAAATGCCGAGGATTTGCACTAATCCCTTTAGGTGCTGGAACATAAGATAGAATAATCAAATACAAAATCAGAGGGAGATCTCCTAATACGTTGTTGTAGAGGGGGTTCGACAGTAGGGTGAATGAGAGAACAAGATTATGGACCACTTTAATTCTGGATCAATATTGTAACAACAATATTCATCTCTCCCTTTTCACTGCCACCAAGGAGGAAATAAGTGTGCCGAAAGGGGGACTGCGCTATGAGGGGGAGAAATGTGACTCTTAACACTGAAAGCCTGCTGTCTCTCATAGTAGAGAAGTTAATTTTTAGAAAAGAGGCAGCGGGGTGTGTGTGTGTTAATCCTTATTTATAGTAGCTCATATTAACTAATACTTAATGGCTTTCCACTCAGACACCTCAGCTGCAGGATTTACATTCAGTGCGTAACCAAGCAATGGACATGATTACAAAGGCCTTTACTTTGCTGGACTCCGAGTTTCAGAAGCTCAGCACGTAGGTATTGTTTGGCATCAATGGAAATGTTGTTTCTTCTTCTTCTGGATCCTTCATTCTCTTTCTTATTTTTTTATTGGTTTTTGTCTTTAACAATTATCATCACAAATCCCCAGACTTACCTCCACCCCTCAGTGGTTTCCCTCGTTATTCTTTTCCAACTGCATCGTCTATGGTTCTCCATATTTACTTAATACTCCAATCTCACCATAGTTCTCCTTACATTGCAAGTGTGTGTGTTTTTTTTTAATATATAATCCCACCATTGTTTTTAATTGTTTATAGTGTTCTTTTAAGTAACATATAAATTTTCCCCATTCTTTATTAAATTGATCATCTTGATTTCTGATCTTCCCAGTTATTTTCGCCATTTCGGCATAGTCCATCATTTTTACCAGCGATTCTTCTCTTGTGGGTACTTTGTCTTCCTTCCATCTTTGGGCAAATAACATCCATGCAGCTGTCGTAGCATACATGAACAGTCTTTTCAGCTCCTTTTCTGTATTTCTGGACCTAGAATTCCTAGTAAAATAGCTTCTGGTTTTTTCACAAAAGTAATTTTAAACATTTTTTTAACACATTATAAATCATTTCCCAATATGCTTTTGTCATCTTGCATGTCCACCACATGTGGTAGAATGTGCCTTCTTTCTCTTTACACTTAATGGAAATGTTGTTGCATCTAATGCACGGTTTCCCAGACTTGGGTCTTCAGCTGTTTTTGGACTACAGTTCCCATCATCCTGGCCACTGGTCCTGCTAGCTTGGGACGATAGGAGTTGTAGTCCAAAAACAACTGGAGACCCAGGTTTGGTCTCCAGTGAAGGACAACAGTCGATGTCTTTAGATGATTGAAATCAGCATATGTTTGACAATAAGTTATAGAAAGTTTATTGCTGTGAAAATGCCGGATGATGGTTCTCATTACTTTAAGGCGTGGGGAAACCTCACTGCAAATTTAATTTGGATTTCCCCAATGTGGTAAGGTGGGGGAGGGGAGAATCCAATATAAAATCACATGTTACCCAACCTTGTGGGGTGTCATTTTGCGGGGTACAATCTATCACCACACTACACCCTGTATACATTGGTGAGCTCCTCGTTGGTGGGACCGGGCGCAACACACACGTATTCCCCTGCCCCAGTTTTTAATCCACTGTTTCGTGGAAGTTTGGTATATCAGAAAGCTTGTATCTTAAATATTATACAAAGTGATTGGCCTTGGCATAGGTCAACAAAAACCTGAGGACATGCCCACAGTGGATCTCAGGTTTCCAGATCTCAGGGAGAGTGGGGAAGTACTAATTGAGGAGAGGGGACAAGACAGAGTGTGAATAGATTCCATCAATACATCCCACTAGTGTGGACAGGAAACACTGACAAGAGTTCAGCTGAGAACTCAGGTGTTATAAGAAGAAAAAACCTGCTCCTTTCCCCTTATGGGGGTTCCAAGAGCCCGTATAGAGTCCTTAAGTGGGTTCCCTATCGGTAGGAGAAAATAACAGAGGCCAACCAGAGAATATTGAGAAGCAAAGTAGCTAGTAAACCTGATCTTTATTAACTGTTGCAACAGGGTCCTCACTCACCACATGCAGAAGGAAGGAGGAACCCAGAACAATGGTGCACAAGCCCTTATATAGACTTTTGAAACTGCCCACCCTGTAGCCCAAGACCAACCCCCGAAACATCATACATACATCACAGAGGGAGGTGGTCTCCAGCAGAAATACATCACAGGAAGTGGTCTCCAGCAGAAATCGTGTTTGCCAGGATACATGATAATGGTCACTGAGTGCTTTACCTGGGCAGCCTGGCCACTCTTTTGTGATGGTAAATAGTTTTAGTTCCTGAATCCAGGTCACATGCTCACCCTATTCATACACAAATACGCCCTTAAGACAGGTAAGCAAAAGACAATGTAGAGGCTTTCACCATTTGCTTCCTCCTTGCAGAGAAATATTTGAGGTCAATTTGGGAGAGTCAAAATGGTTCAGGATTGCTCTCTTGTACTATTTCAGACATGTGGTTTATATACTTATGTATGTGTTTGCTTTGTACATCATTTTATATTTGGGACCTTAGAATTTTTGCAACACAGGTTTTGTCCAAAACTGAGTTCACCTCAGGTTTGGACAAAAGCGCACATAATAAAATTTGCACTCTAGTATGTACACAGCTTGATGCTGGTGGCACTGTGGGTTAAACCACAGACGGTTCGAATCCCTGCAACTGGGTGAGCTCCCGTTGCTCAGTCCCTGCTCCTGCCAACCTAGCAGTTCAAAAGCACATCAAAGTGCAAGTAGATAAATAGGTACCGCTCTGGCAGGAAGGTAAACGGCGTTTCCGTGCGCTGCTCTGGTTCGCCAGAAGAGGCTTAGTCATGCTGGCCACATGACCTGGAAGCTGCACACCGGCTCCCTCGGCCAATAAAGCAAGATGAGCGCCGCAACCCCAGAGTCGGCCACGACTGGACCTAATGGTCAGGGGTCCCTTTACCTTTATGTACGCAGCTTGAGAGGCCTATCCTGGAAGGAGTACACATTCTGCTTTCCTCTGCATCTAGCGTGCTCCCACTGCTGGCTTGTGAAGCTGTATACTCAGACTTTAGCCACAATCCACATGTGTTCCTGTGGTTTCTTGAAAAATACTGCATTTTGATCTGTCCCCTGAAAAACCTCCAGATTAGATCCAATTTGAAAATTTAAATGGGGGTTGGGTTGTGCATTTGTTTGTTTGTTAAAATAAAAAATAAAATAAACTGGGGGAGAGAGAAAATGTAAGCACATGAAGACACCCATGCCCCCTTTGTGCCTCCCCGTGTGGACAAACCGTGGTTAACTTGGAAACGCATCAGGCTTTGCTGAAGTCTACAATGACATACAAATGGGATTTGATACACAGCAGGGGTGCTGGTGGAAATAGCTCCCTGGTTTCTAGCCCAAAGTCTCCTCTTAGCAAACAGACAGGCTTGCCAAAGGAAATGCAGAAAGCGCAGAGCCACTTTCCAGCTCTCCGAAACACCAAGCCGGCATGCCACCCGGGAAGGCGCAGTTGGAGGAGGGATAAAAATATCCGTGGAGGAAAACCAACGCAAGCTGAAAAGTTGTATGAAAAAAACCAGGAGAGAAAAAGTCAGCCCCCAGCCAAACTAAGTTCCACTTCTTTATAAGCTTCCCTAATATAAAACCCATCTCATTTCAACTCATAGGCTACATTCTGGTTACACCCCTGAATAACGTTACTCCTCATTAAAAATTAAAGTAAAGGTAAAGGGACCCCTGACCATTAGGTCCAGTCGTGACTGACTCTGGGGTTGCGGCGCTCATCTCGCTTTATTGGCTGAGGGAGCCGGTGTACAGCTTCCGGATCATGTGGCCAGCATGACTAAGCGGCTTCTGGCAAACCAGAGCAGCGCACAGAAATGCCGTTTACCTTCCTGCTGGAACTGTATCTATTTATCTACTTGCACTTGACGTGCTTTCGAACTGCTAGGTTGGCAGGAGCAGGGACTGAGCAACGGGAGCTCACCCCGTCACAGGGATTCGAACCGCCGACCTTCTGATTGGCAAGTCCTAGGCTCTGGTTTAACCCACAGCGCCACCCGCGTCCCCACATTAAAAATTAGTCCTCTCTTAATTAAGGACTTATACCAAGATTCTAGGTCTTCTTCGTTCCCCTTCCTTTAATTCTGTCCCTGAATCTTGTCAAAACTACGTCATACTTCCCACCCAAGACAGAAAAAAAGAACATTGCAAGCATTTGTCTCTCTCTGAAAGAGAGACTTTACTCCCTGACACACTTTTCTCAAACTAATTGCCCAGACCAAAAGCTTCTGTCTCTAAATGGGGGATGGGAGGAGTTGTCTGAGAGAAACACAATATTTCTTTTTAGCAAACAGGTGGTGCCAACCTCACTAAAATAATTCACAGATGAATGAAACTCAGCTTTCTACTCCCCCGTGCCCTGAAATTAAATCTTCTGGACCTATATTAGCGTAACATTTAACTATGATTTACTTAAAAGTGATCTATGGATTTCTACCTTTGAGTTTAACATAAAAGCACACATTTGAGTAATTACCAGTCAATAGGCCTTGACCTTGACGTGTCCAGTTCATATTTTTAGATCCCTGCCCTTTCATCCTATCTTCTGTAGCACCTACCCTGTGAAACGCCCTCCCACCAGATGTCAAAGAGAACAACGACTACCAGACTTTTAGAAGACATCTGAAGGCAGCCCTGTTTAGGGAAGCTTTTAATGTTTGATGCATTACGGTATTTTAATATTTTGTTGGAAACCAGATGGGTGGCGTATAAATAATATATTATTATTATTATTATTATTATTATTATTATTAGGGTGCTTTTCCATGAACTACTGCTTGCCAGTTTAACCAAACAGAAGCATAATTCTTAATCCTGAGCAGGAAACTTGTAAAATGGATATAATAATAATTATTATTATTTATTATTTGTACCCCGCCCATCTGGCTGGGTTTCCCCAGCCACTCTGGGCGGCTTCCAACAAAGATGAAAAATACACTAAAATGTCACATATTAAAAACTGAAGGGCTGCCTTCAGATGTCTTCTGAATGTCAGGTAGTTGTTTATCGCTTTGACATCTGATGGGAGGGCGTTCCACAGGGCGGGCACCACTACCGAGAAGGCCCTCTGCCTGGTTCCCTGTAACTTGGCCTCTCGCAGTGAGGGAACCGCCAGAAGGCCCTCAAAGCTGGACCTCATTGTCCGGGCAGAACGATGGGGGTGGAGACGCTTCTTCAGATATACTGGACCGAGGCCGTTTAGGGCTTTAAAGGTCAGCACCAACACTTTGAATTGTGCTCGGAAACGTACTGGGAGCCAATGTAGGTCTTTCAAGACCGGTGTTATATGGTCTTGGTGGCCGCTCCCAGTCACCAGTCTAGCTGCCGCCGTGGTTCTCAAAAATATTTAAAGCATTAAGATATTTCATCCCTAATTAAACAAAAAGTTCTGTGTTGTCCTGGCACAGGCCTGAATCAGTCACAGAGATTCTCTCTTTTCCCCCCTGTTTTTAATTAAAATGGGGGGGGGGGACCAGGATTCACTTGTCTAGGGTTTCTTCAAGCTCAATCAACCATCAAGACTCATCTTCAAAGGAAGATGTAGAGACTACCACTGTTTTTATCTCAACATCTGTATGGTAGGAAGAATGATCCCTGTCTTCAAGGAGGATCTTTCCTGCTCCTCCAGTCTTCATGATCATTGTGGCTTCTTGAATCCAAACATTTAAACCTTTTATTTTCTCCTGTGATCGTCTTTTCAGTGCAAAAGCTGAACTGGTCCAGGAAACACTGACTTTTCAACGTGAAAAAGAGCAGTTCAACAAACATTTTAAAAATCAACAGAAGGTAAGTTTCTGCTCCTCCATGAAATTCTGGGCCTAACATTCCTACATCTTCTTAGGTAGCTTTCACATGTGACAATTGTTTGGTACACTGATGAGTAAATGGTCAAAACAGGTTGAAGCAAGAGGAAATCCAGTGATGACCATAGTAAACTTTTAGGATGGCTGGTATTGCTTAATGGGGTACATTTGACATGGAGAACATGGTTAGCAACCATCAACACATGACCTGCTCTGGAGAGATGTTTGAGGGTTGAGTCCCGCTAATTGTGATTTGTGGGAGCGGGTGGCGTTGTGGTCTAAACCACGGAGTCTCTTGGGCTTGCCGATTGGAAGGTCGGCAGTTTGAATCTGTGCAACGGAGTGAGCTCCCATTGCTCTGTCCCAGCTCCTGCTGACCTAGCAGGTTCGAAAGCACACCAGTGCAAGTAGATAAATAGTTACCACTGTAGTGGGAAGGAAAACAGCGTTTCCAGGTACTCTGGCACTCATCATGGTGTCCCGTTGCGCCACAAACGGTTTAGTCATGCTGGCCACGACTCAGAAAGCTGTCTGTGGACAATCGCCAGCTCCCTCAGCCTGAAAGTGAGATGAGCGCCACAACCCCATAGTCACCTTTGACTGGACTTAACCATCCAGGGATCCCTTACCTTTTACCTTAATTGTGATTTAATGGTTTGATGCAGTGACGCTTCTGTTTGGTAGATCGTTTTGAAATATTGTCCGCTTGCTTGGTTTTTGTTGTTGTTACCTACGGGAAAATAATATTTAAAATGGTTGGAAGAATTCTAGGCCAAGAATGGGTTAATTTTTGGTTTGTGGGAACTTTTTAAACTACAACCCCAAGATCCACCAATCGGAGGCCGGTGCAAAAAGATTTCCATCGAGAATTAAAGAATTCTGAGCCCATAAATATATCCGAGTATCAGAACTAAATGGACCTCACAGCCCCCCTGCACAAAAACCCATTCACGGTTATCCCAAACTCCCTTCATTTCAGGCATATAATTTAGGGTTTAGTGGGGTGTGTGGGATTTTCTTGCTGCTATGGTTAAACATTTGGGAGTAAGGTCTCCTTTCTGATCTACTGCAAATCACACAAGAGTTCTAAGAATCTATCTTCCCACCACCTGTGAGCATTTTAAATTGGATCTCTGGAGCTATTCTGAATGTCTCATTGATCTCCGTCACTGAGATCTGGTTGTGGCCATTAGAACATTAGAACAACTTTCCCTCCCCAGCAGGGGCAGCCCTTTTCTTAACATAGCGCAAGAGTTGAATCCGATGGGTGGAGACCCCATTGGCAAGGCCCAGTGTTAATCTGTCACAGAGCAGTCCAACCTGTGGGTCATCTGTGGGCTACAAGCTAGGCATTCAAGAGAAAGCATCAAACATGAAGCATGAATATATATTTTTTGTGCCTTTTTTATGGTATTGATATTTTGTTGAAAAGTTTTCAGTTACAGTGGTACCTCGGGTTACATACGCTTCAGGTTACAGACTCCGCTAACCCAGAAATAGTGCCTCAGGTTAAGAACTTTGCTTCAGGATGAGAACAGAACTCACTCGGCGGTGACGCGGCAGCAGTGGGAGGCCCCATTAGCTAAAGTGGTACCTCAGGTTAAGAACAGTTTCAGGTTAAGAACGGACCTCCGGAATGAATTAAGTATTTAACCCCAAGGTACCACTGTATAAAGAAATACAGTCAAACCTTGGTTGTCAAACGTAATCCATTCCGAAAGACAGTTTGGCTTCCGAAACATTCGACAACCGAGGCACGGCTTCCGATGGGTTGCAAGAGCTTCTTGCACTCATACGGAAGCCATGTTGGACATTCGGGTTCCGAAAACCGGAGCATTTACTTCTGGGTTTTCGGCATTCTGGAGCCGAAACGTTCAAAAACGGAGCCATTCGAGAACTGATGTTTGACTGCAAAGTGATACAAAGAAAAAAGAGGAAGAGAAAAATAAAAAGGCACAAAAATGTGTAGAGAGAGAAAAAACCAATATATGAATATATATTAAAAACCCTACTCTTTTATAGATTTGATATTATTATCCCAATACGTATATAAATATTAACAGCCTACTACATTTTGTATAAACTCATTCCAAATACTGTCATATTTATCCAAGCAAAATCTGTGTCTGTAAGCAGTCCGTTCATAAGTTGCGAGTGTTATCATATTGTCGATCCATTAATTAAAGGGGATCATATCTTTATTCTTCCATTTCGTCAATGTGAGTCTCTTGGCTACCACTGACACGCGGAGAATCCATCTTTGTTGTCCCCTTGTTATCTTCCAATGTCATGCATTGTTAATGAAAGCGCACACATCTGTTTGTGTATTAAGTTTGTTTCAAAATTAAATCTATTAAATCTATTGTGTATGTAATTATATGTATTAATTGTGCATCTAAAATGATATTAAATAGTACTGAATATATTGCAAACACTTTAAATTATTCCTTCCAGTAGCACCTTAGAAGAAGTGTGCATGCACACGAAAGCTCATACCAATAACAAACTTACCGTATTTTTTGCTCTATAAGACTCACTTTTTCCCTCCTAAAAAGTAAGGGGAAATGTGTGTGCGTCTTATGGAGCGAATGCAGGCTGCGCAGCTATCGCTGAAGCCAGAACAGCAAGAGGGATTGCTGCTTTCGCTGCACAGCGATTCCTCTTGCTGTTCTGGCTTCTGAGATTCAGAATATTTTTTTTCTTGTTTTCCTCCTCCAAAAACTAGGTGCGTCTTGTGGTCTGGTGCGTCTTATAGAGCGAAAAATACGGTGGTTGGTCTCTAAGGTGCTACTGGAAGGAATTTTTTTATTTTGTTTCGGCTGTGGCAGACCAACACGGCTACCTACTGTAACTTTAAATTATGACATGGGAATTTAATTCAGTGTGTGGGTTCTGTGTCAAAGTTCTCTTCATACTGAAAGTTGGACCACCCTGATTTATCATATACTTTTTGGTCCTGTTCTGCTACTTCTGCTTTCACTCCTGGCTGTGCAATGAAAATAGCTTGTGGAGCTGTGACAGCTCTTCCACTCCTTTCACTGTTATGTTGGATCTCGTCCTATAACTTTAAATGTGTGACTGAAAAACACTTAAAACCTTGATGAAAATGGATTTTATTTTATTTGCAAAAAAAAAAAAAAAAATAGGAGCTCCAAGAGATGCTGGAAAAGCACAAAGCTCAGAATGAAGCGTGGCTCCAAGCCAGAGCAGAAGAGAATGACAAAGAAAGAAAAGAGCTCTGCAAACTGAGGGTAAATATTACAAGTTAGGGCTTCTCCTAATGCCCTGTCCCTAAGGCTTGCTTTCCATGCTATTCGCGGAACATTTACTTAGAACTGCACACTGCTGTTGCGCGTCGAGGTCCCCAAGACACCCCCCAAAGAAAAACACAATTGACAATTTTTGTTTAAGGTTTTTGGCATAATTTTGGCCGCAACTTTATTCAAATTACAGCAATGTGAGTGGTTGCTTAGGCATTGGTAGCACTAACTGACCCCGCACGGGGACAGCTCTGACATTCACACCCCCCGCGAAGTCAGCAAGGGTAAGTCACCTGGGGAGAGAGACGGGACTGGGAATCATGCCTCACCTCTCCCCAGAATGCTCCCAGGGGCTTGCGTGGCCCTACCCCTTGCCAGGGGGTTCGGACAAAAGCATGGGGAGCCCCTGGGTTCCTTTAACGGAAAACCCTTGAAGCAGCAGCAGCAACATTTTGGAGGGGCAGGCACAGCCGAATCCATACCCCTCCACCAACCAATTCCCAGACCAATGCCTAACCGCAACCTTACAAGTTGTGATGATTTGCTACGCAGTAGGCAAAAAACCAAGTGGCACACACTAATCAGCCAAATGGACAAAATTCCTACCGGGCCCCTGCCCCAAAGCAGACAACCCCATGACAGGCATAGCAAGGTCAAGCAAACAGCCTAAAATTAGGGAAGCACACAGCGAAAAGAGGAAGTTCGTCGCTGTGTGCATTGTATTTAACAAATAGGGCTGTCAATCAATAAATGGCAACATATAAATCTCCCCAGTAACAGCCCGCCCCTGCTTAAAGGATGGCCAAACTCTTTTGCCCAGCAGCAGTGAGGTGTCTTGTCAGCCCCAACCGCAACCCGTGCTCTCCATGAGGGAGAACACGCTTTGCAAGAACTGTACTTCCAGCATTGAGGGGGTCGATCTTTAGTTCTGCCAGCCATAAAACTTGTTAGTTAATCTGTTTCATACCTTATATTTAAGGCAGTCTTGTAGCACTTTAACAAGCATGGCTTCCCTCAAATAACACTGGGAAACAAAATTTTTGTTGCATTGACACTTGCAACTGGAATTGGGAGTTCCTCAGAGTGCGGGATATGTCTAATTGCTGAAGGAATACTGGGATAGGCGACAGAATGTCGGTTTTTCTTGCTGCTACCCTTCGTATTGACCAGACAAAAATAGCATAACAAAAGGCATCAGGCTTGTTTACACATTTTTGTCAACTTGAAGAAGCCATGGTCCGATCTGAAAAATACAAATATTTAGGTTACAAAACTATAAAAATAAAGAAAATTAAGTTTGCAAAACAATAATTACCATGTGTTTAGGGTAGATCAACGTGTCAGTGTCCACTTATCCCCAGTGTAAATATGACATATCGGCAAAAATCGGAAATTGAAAGATAACTATAGCATGTACACGAAAATCGATTTCAGATTTGAAATCGGCATTGAAAGAACATATAAGAACAGTTGAAAAATTTCATGCAACAGAAAATGGAAAAAAAAAATGTTCCCCAGTGTAATCTTGGGAACTGTAGTTTGTCAAGGGTGATGGGAGTTGTCATGAGAAACCTTATGCGCCCACAGAGCTAAGATTCCCAGTGTGGTTTAACGGTCAATCCCTTTTCACAGGGAATTGCGGGAATGGTAACTCAGGGAGGAGAATAGGGTTCACCTAGCAACTCTCAGCATCCTTTAACGAACTAGGATTCTTTAGAAGAAGCCACAACTGGTACAGTGGTACCTTGGTTCTCAAACTTAATCTGTTCTGGAAGTCCATTCCAAAACCAAAGCGTTCCTAAACCAAGGCGCGCTTTCCCATAGAAAGTAATGCAAAACGGATTAATCCGTTCCAGACTTTTAAAAACAAGCCCTAAAGCAGCAATTTAACATGAATTTTACTATCTAACGAGACCATTGATCCATAAAATGAAAGCAATAATCAATGTAATGTACTATAAAAATAAATAAGACAGTATTGTAGATGATAAAAATTAAAATTATTATTTTTTCTTACCTGCACTGTTTGGATGGAACTAAAACTATGGAACTCACTCTCATCAGAGATGGTGATGGCCGCCAAACTAGTTGGCTTTAAAAGACGATGGGACAAATTCAGGGAGGACAGGACTATTGAAAGCTACTAGGTATTATGGCTCCACAGCTGGGAGAAATAATTTCATTTCATTTTCATTTCACTTTTAATTTACATACTGCCTTTCTATATTGCTATACACAGGTCGGTTTACAAGCTGAAGAAACAACAAAGATTGCACACCTCATAATCTGATCCAATACAAAAATGTCACAATAAAAACATAATTTTAAAATAAAGAACTTAATCCATTAGAATATGAGTAGATAATAAAATTAAATACCAGCAAATAATAATGAAACAGAAATTCACTCTTAACAATTACATTAAATAATTTCTAAACAATAATCAATAAAAATAACAGCAAGTCGCAATAACACAATACAAACTGAGAAGCAAAGACACACAACTTATAACATTATTATTTTTAAATATCCCTGAACTGCTCTTCTTTCTTCCCAGTTGCTTCTGCTGTTCCTAAACACCTGCTCACTAGTTTCCCATGGGCTTTTGGTTGCCCACTGTGAGAACAGGATTCTGGACTCGATGGGCCATTGGCCTGATTCAACAGGCTTTTCTTATGTTCTTATGCTGTCTGGGTGTTTTCTCATGGTAGTAAATTTCCAGTCTTGGCCACACTGCAATTTGGGGAGAGCAAGAAAAATTTTACGATGCAAGTTTCCCCTTATATGGAGTTAGCTCACTTGCCGTGTGCCTGGTGAAAGGACCAAAAGTTATGTTTCACAAAGACTGTATTCCAAGATTAAAAGATCAGCAGCAAGCTCTGCAAAAGTAGAAATAGTACAGTTTAACGGATGGGCCTTGTTTCCCTTTGCCTTTACACAAGGAAGTGACCCAAACAGAAATGCAGAGATGACTCACATATTGCTTGTTCTGACTCACAGCATTAAATTGTTTTCGGAGAGTGTAATTTGCTATAGCCTGCAGTTCCTTGGTGTGTGAGTGTATGCACAGACTTTTCTACTGTCAATGTTTCAGGGATACCATGTTGGTGGGGCCATAAACATAGTTTGTTCCCGTTCAGACCTATATTCATCACTGATTATAAAGAATTCCTGTGCTGAGGGTTCGGTTTTTAAAACAAAACCGTAGCTCTTGCTCTGTCTACTGTTTATATTATTTAAACAAAACAGTAAACGAAACAAGTGATTTATTTATTTTTTGATTTGTGCATGTAAAATATCATACCCTCCAACATTTCTCCAGTGAAAATAGGGACGTCCCATTCCACAATGATAAATTTACTATTTATATCCCGCATATCTTAATGGGTTGCCCCAGCCACTGTGGGCAGCTTCCAACATATATAAAAACATAATAAATCATTGGACATTTAAAAAAAATTCCCTATACTGGATTGCCTGCAGACACCATATCCTCCCAACATTTTTCCAATGAAAATAGGGACATCCTAAGGAAAAGTGGAGGGACGCGGGTGGCGCTGTGGGTAAAACCTCAGCGCCTAGGACTTGCCGATCGCATGGTCGGCGGTTCGAATCCCCGCGGCGGGGTGCGCTCCCGTCGTTAGGTCCCAGCGCCTGCCAACCTAGCAGTTCGAAAGCACCCCCGGGTGCAAGTAGATAAATAGGGACCGCTTACCAGCGGGAAGGTAAACGGCGTTCCGTGTGCTGCGCTGGCTCGCCAGATGCAGCTTGTCACGCTGGCCACGTGACCCGGAAGTGTCTCCGGACAGCGCTGGCTCCCGGCCTCTAGAGTGAGATGAGCGCACGAACGCTAGAGTCTGGCAAGACTGGCCTGTACGGGCAGGGGTACCTTTACCTTTAAGGAAAAGTGGGACATTCCGGGATCAAATCAGAAACTGGGATGGCTTCTCTAAATCAGGGATGTCCCTGGAAAATAGGGACACTTGGAGGTTCTGAAATATGCTTTTCAGATCATTTTTGCGGTTCACTTCAAACCAAGCACATAATTCTGCTCTTCAGAAAGATATGGGCCTGTTACCAAAGCAGCTTTACTTTTTATGTCATTTTAAATCTTTCTTAAAATCCATATGTATCTTGAAATGTTTAAGAGAACTCTTTGCTCACTTATTTGGAAATAAATTATCCTGAAGTCATTCAGATCGGGGTGCGCAGCTACCAATCTAAGCCGGAATCATTCCTTTTTCTTTGTTGAGAGCACATCCAAGTACGGTATGTTCCAGGCATCTTGAGAAACGGTAAAAACAACAGAACTGTGCTATAATTCTCCCTCCAGGACTGTGGTAACTGTGGCATAAATAACCGAAATTAGATCAATTTCAGCACTTTTTTTGCAACACTGAGCCATAGCCTAACAACAGTCCTCTCCACAGTCCTTTTTTATCTTTTCCAAGTACAGTTGGAGTTTTTGAGAAAGTACCATGGGAACCAGTCCCAAAATGACCGCTGTGGGGACATGACATAGAAGAAAAGGGCTACCAAAAGAGCAGAAGAAGAGATGGGGTCACAAAATGGTGTGGGCATGTGCCCAATCAGTGGGGAAAAGGCTGTCAGAACTGTGGGATGGAAAGCTAGCTGACTTGGCTCCAGCTGGAGCGTCTCCCTTCTCAGTCTTGCTGTTGCGGAGATCCATCAGTCATCCTCCTCCGACATGCATCCATGACTCATGCTGCTGTGTATGCAAGAGCACACATTACTCAGCAGAGTAAACACACAACAGACCAGGCTCGAGGCGTGGATACTATACTAAACTACGCATTTATTATACATAAATCAGGACAAAGAAATACATGGCCTCTCTCCTTGTTGTTCTTCTCAGAGAGAGAGAAAAACAAAAGCAATACAGAGCGGATGTTCCGCTCACGGGACTCCAGCAATCTGTGCTGGAATGTAAACAGACATGTAACATGTTATAATCCCACATACCTACAGCCAGGGTGGAATGGAATTCCCAACAAAGGCACCCACATCAGCCAGTGCTGCACTTGCTCTCAGAGAGAATCTCTTCAGACTGATGCTTTGCAGAGGACAATTTTTCCACGTGTCTGCCTTTTTGACATTTCCATGTAGAGTCCTCAAACGAAACTATAGCCTCAAGGTTGGAAGAACTTAAGAAGCCATGCATTCTAACCTTCGCCTCCCAAGAAGGATCCTCTCCACCCTTTAACGTTTCTGGGCACAATTCAAAGTGTTGGTGCTGACCTTTAAAGCCCTAAACGGCCTTGGTCCAGTAGACCTGAAGGAGCGTCTCCACCCCCATTGTCCAGCCCAGTCACTGATGTCCAGCACTGAGGGCCTTCTGGTGGTTCCCTCACTGCGAGAAGTGAGGTTACAGGGAACAAGGCACCTTCTTGGTAGTGGCGCCCGCCCTGTGGAACATCCTCCCACCAGATGTCAAGGAAATAAACAACTATCCGACTTTTAGAAGAAATCTGAAAGCAGGCGTGTTTAGGGAAGCTTTTAACGTATGATGAATTATTGTATTTTAATATTTTGCTGGAAGCTGCCCAGTGTGGCTAGGGAAACCCAGCCAGATGGATGGGGTATAAATAATAAATTATTATTATTATTATTATTATTATTATTATTATTATTATTATTAACTCGTGTAACCCAGGCTGCGGTACCCCGGCACTGCAAGCAAGGTGCACTTCTGCAAGATCGTCTGGATTCAGGGTGCCTCTCTGCACATCACATGTCTTTGTGATGTTGAATTGAATTGCGGTTGGTGCCTCTGATGGCAGACTCACAGCTCTGTCTATGCATCTATTCAGAGGCTCCGTTGAATTCAGCTGGGCATATTCTTGTGGGTATCGTATTGCAGCTTAAAACAACTGCTCCATTGAAAGCCCACTTGAACCTGAGCTGAAAACGTTAGTTTAGGTAAAGCATAAGCCAGTTGGCCTATCAAGGTCTCTATGAGTTTGGGTTTTTTATAATAATTTTTATTAGTTTTCAGTTACAAAAATCCAATAATAGCCTCATTATAACAATGCCAAATAATAATACAATTACTAATACCAATACTTCAGATGCCAAATTATACAATTTATTTGGCCTCCTGCGTGCTAGAATTGATAGTTTGATGATTTACTTTATTTCTGCATTCCAAAATCTTATTAATTTCAACTACACTCCCTTATACAACAACTGCAATACTAATGACTTCTATTCATATTGACACATTAAATGATTTATAAATCTACAGGTGAAGCATTCAAACTATATTCTTGTTCTTCCTGTGCGTGGCAATTATTCTGTCCGCGATGTTTCTTCCTGTCGTTGTAAAATATTATGTCAACCGTTTCCTGGTTGTTGCTGTTCTCCATCATGCTTGGGCGGAGCTAATATCCCAATGTTGTTTCAGAAGTTCTCCATTGCTCCATCCCGTGCCCCATTGTTTTGCAACCTTAGCAGCAGCTGCAAAAATCATACTGTCCGACTCCCAATAAATATCCTGTTTTCACCATTTTTCTCTCAGCCTGGGAAGGAGAGTGATATGTTGAGCTTCAAATACAGTTGTACCTTGGTACTCAGACGTTTTGGCTACCGAACTCCGCAACACCAGAAATGAGTGTTCCGGTTTGCGAACATTCTTCGGAACGTCCGACAAGGCTTCCATAGCTTCTGATTGGCTGCAGGAGCTTCCTGCAGCCAACCAGTAGCTGCGCTTTGGTTTCCGAACATTTTGGAAGTCGAACGGACTTCCAACCGATTCCGTTCAACTTCCAAGGTACAACTAGCAACTCAGTAATGAATAAACTCTCTATGAGTTGGACCATTGAGAAACCAACAGAGCCTCATTTGGTCCACTCTGGAGTTGGATTTTGCCGTCAAGTGTTTTAATTCTTTTTGGATTCTTTCAACTCCACTTAATCCTCCAAAGCATGAATTGGGAATCTGTGATTCCCCAGATGTCATGGGACTACAAGTCCTAGCATCCCTGAACATTGGCCCACTCCCCCCTCTGGCGTGTACTGCAATGTACCAATGCAACTTGAAGCACAAGAGGACGGTGGGATGACCTCGCTGTGTTCTAAGCAGCTAATGTCTTCATGGCCTGAGACAGAGGGTTGTATCCAACTGCGCTGTTCTGCTTGTACAGCAGGCTTCCTGTTGCCCAACATAACTTCTCCCTTCTCTTCCCTGATGCCAGCCATGCACCTCTCAAAATCTGCACCAAGAGACCTTGTAGAGCAGATTTGGATGATGGGGAGGGGAGAGTAACAGGAAGTCTTGCTGCATAAGCAAGTGTTACACAGTGTTAACTACAACCCAGAGACTTATCTTTTAAACAACAACCTGTTATATGTTTTTTGCAAGAAACATGGATAGGTTGTAAAACACATGCTCAAATTACAGCATTGCAGGGCAGGTCTAAAGGAAGATGTTCATTCCTGTGGCTCAAAAAAATAATCTAAAACCCGGTTTTCTTGTTTTGTCGCAGGAAGAGATTCTCAATGACCAGGAAAGATTGAGAGACGAACAGCAAAGCATTTATCAGCGCAATCAGCAGCTCCTTTCTATAATGCAGCAGTTCAAAGGAATGTGAACTGTTTGCTGAATAAAGCCTGGTCACATGCTCTAGATCATAGCAGCTACACAGCACCACTTGAACAACTGAGCTCTTATGTAACAAAGATCCCGTTACCATACAAACTGAAGTTTGATCTCGATAACTTTCCATCCGGCCCCAGGGTGATGGTTCAATTAAATCCCCACCCACTTTGGGAAATATTCTGAGTTTTTGATTCAGTATTTTATATGTATATATATATATATATATCTCAGGTGCTTGTATGTGCTGACATGGCATTTTAAAATGGACAAAAGGAATATAATGCTATACTCATAACTTAGGAAATTTGTTCTTGTTAAGAAAGATTAATGGATTTGCAAAGCTAGGAAACAGGGAGAGAGATTATGATCAGAAAGCCGCTTTGATTCCTTCTCCCTTTTTCAGACTTTGGAATGGGATACACTAGGAGACCATGAATTCTGCTACAATCCTTACCTGGTAGAAGTTACTATCTGAAATGACAATACTGAGGACTACTGAGAACATATGACTTTAGGAGGAAAGGACTGATGGAGGAAGAACAAAATGTAAATTCATTTTTTCCTCCTTGTCAAAAATCTGGACATGTTGGATCTGTGCACGTTAATTCTTAATTTTTCGTGAGTGTCACAGCTACAGTGTTCTGTGAGTTTCCAGTAAGAGGTAGGGGGGTGTGTGTGTGTGTGTGTGTGTGTGTTAATGCATTTTGATTTGGGAGGATTGGTAGAACAATCATGCTGGAATCAAAGATAGGTCACTACTGTGCCAGTGGAAGAGTCTGAAAAACATATTGTACCATTGATGTCATTATTTGAAAATCACTTTCCTGCAGGTAGTTTGAGGATCACAAAGCACCTTGTGCCATACAGTGAGAGAAAGAAAATGAGAGTTTTTATCTGAATAAAGTTTGTGTTCATAATATTTGTTTATTTAGTGCCTTGAACATCACATTAATCATCAACTTAAGCATGGCAACACAGAAATAAGTCCAGTAAAACTTTCCCTGGGAAGTTAAGCAGTCTTAATAGGCAAATAATTATGGTGCTGGAGGAGACTCTTGAGAGTCCCATGGACTGCAAGAAGATCAAACCTATCCATTCTTAAGGAAATCAGTTCTGAGTGCTCACTGGAAGGACAGATCCTGAAGCTGAGGCTCTAATACTTTGAGAAGAGAAGAGAAGACTCCCTGGAAAAGACCCTGATGTTGGGAAAGATTGAGGGCACAAAGAGAAGGGGACGATGGAGGACGAGATGGTTGGACAGTGTTCTTGAAGCTACCAACATGAGTTTGACCAACCTGCGGGAGGCAGTGGGAGACAGGAGTGCCTGGCGTGCTCTGGTCCATGGGGCCACGAAGAGTCGGACAACAACAAGCATTACAACTGGAGTCCGCAGTGCCTTGCATGTAGCTACTGTATGGTTTTCAGCCTTTCTGAGTCCACGGCTCCCTTAACCAACTGCATTCTTTCTGCGGCACCCCTGCAGGGCTCAGGAGTCCAGTTATGTCACCCCTTGCCTGCAGAGCTGGAAGCCTCACACCCTTTTTCAAACACCCTCCCTTGTGGAGTGTTCCCTCCTCTCTTCTCTCTTCTCCCCTCTCCTTGGGAGTCCTCTGCGCAGCCGCTGCTGCTGCCCCTGCCCCAAAGAGGAGGTGCCTCCTCACACTGTCCCACAGGGGTCTGGGAAGCACCCCCTGGCCAACCCCAGAGGCACCATACGCCTGGGGAGCTTGTAGCCAGGGCTGCTGCAACAAACTTCAAGAGGCAGAGACGTGAGAGGTCATCAGAGGAGGGAGGGGAAGGAAAGAGGGACAGAGGCCAGGCTTGTCCACGGCACCCCTGACCATCATTCAAGGCACCCCAGGGTGCCACAGCACACTGGTTGGAAACCACTGCCTTACGGACTTGTCTTCCTGCCTGCAAAGCCTCTGAGGACACCACTGCCCCACCATTCCTTGTCCCCTTTCCCATAAGGTGGCAAGGATAGTTATATCCACCCACCCTTTAAGCTCTGTGTGCTCTTCAAGGCTCAGATCAGTACCAAGCTGCCAATCAGAACCCTGGAAAGCATTGGAGGCTGAAAGAGAAAGTGGGAAGAACAATGCTCTTTCTCACCTGCTTTTTCAGTTCTGTGTTCTTCTCTAGGCTCATAGCAGCAGCTCAACAGAAAGCAGGGTGGCCACTGCTGTAGAAGGGTGGAAATTGTAGGAAGGAGGAAAATTGAGTGACCAGGGGGAAGTAGGGAGAGAAAGCAAAGTGTTGCAGGAATCAGGAGAGAATGGAACGCCAGCATGCATACAAGCTAGAGCCACCAAAGGGGATTCTCTTAAAATGACATTTTTTCTGGGTTTGCATTCCCCATGGCCATCAAATCACACATCACACCTGTCTCCATTAACTGAACCATAAATCCATGGCTACTGTAGTTTCCATCACTGCCATAGTACAAAAAATATGGCTCCAAGCCACAGATCCTTATGGATTCACATACTTTTTAGAATTAGAATTTAGATCTCAAAACTATAATCAGAAGTTACCTCTTTATCTACAGATATGTCCTGTGATTTGATGCCATTCATCCAACTCCCAAATACTGAGGTGGAACAGACTTATTCAGCCCAGAGCCAAGGTCTTCCATGGGGAGCTCCCTTCCCCAAAGTGATTCAAAGTGAATAGATACCTGAGCCAAAGTGATGGGGGCGGATCTCACACAGCCCTAGTTTTGGCTAGGCAGTCTACCAATGTAAGCTTTAATTTGATTGTGTTTTGGCAGGGCTGCATGCATAGTAACGCAAACTCAAGAGGACCCATTCCAGTTCGGATCCAGCTCTCACCCAGACACCATGGGAAAACAAAGAGCCCGTGTATGTGTGTGCGCACACATGTGCATGGGGAGGGACATGGGTGGCGCTGTGGTCTAAACTACAGAGCCCCTTGGGCTTGCCAATTGGAAGGTCGGCAGTTTGAATCCCTGCGACGGAGTGAGCTCCCGTTGCTCTGTCCCAGCTCCTGCCAACCTAGCAGTTCAGAAGCACGCCAGGTGGTTTGAGCCCCAGATTTGGCAAAAGATTCCTTCATTGTAAGGGGTTGGGCTAGATGATCCTCATGGTCCCTCCCAAACTTGATTCCCTGATTCTCTGATTCCATGAAACCAATATCCCCCCCTCCGATGGGTTCCATCTATTCATGAATATCTACCTTGCACACATCACATTCCTGCACATGCAAACACCATTCCGCCTCAACCACATTTGGAGCCTCCCATTTACTCACACAAACATATACCAGCCGACATCCAAAAACATGACATCCATTCACGTTCATGCCCTGGCTTTAGTCCCCAAATATTCAGTGGCTTCTGTTGACTGTCTTCCAAAGGTGAACCTTCATCAGCCGACATCCACAAACATCACTCTGCTTTAGCCTTGTAGCCTCCACCAACTTCTGAACCCAATAGCCACTGGCTTCCATTCACCAACATCTTCCAGCTTCTCTCAGGTCCATCATGAGACGTCTGCCAGCTTCCAACCACAGATACCAGCAGCCTTCAAGCAAGCAAACCTGCTTTATTATCGCTCCATAGCATCTCACTGCCAGAGGATTGCCTCCTTCCATTCACCAGTGTGCGTCCTGCAAGTGGCAGAAACCTGGGCAGTGCTGAATGTCACATACATTGCCAGGTGTGTCCTGCTGGAAATAGAAAAGGGCTTTCCCCTTGGCCTACCTTTCTATATCCACTCAGTTGCCAAGTGCTTTTGTGACATCACAAGAAACCCACAGCCAATGGCAACAGCTGGGGAGGCATCATCTTCATTGCTTTGAGCCTCACAATAGCAGGTGGACCTATCAGTGATTATGTGCTTGTTTATTCAGGAAGTGGGTGGCGCTGTGGTCTAAACCACTGAGCCTCTTGGGCTTGCCAATCAAAAGGTTGGTGGTTCAAATCCCCACAACGAGGTGAGCTCCTGCTGCTCTGTCCCAGCTCCTGCCAACCTAGCAGTGTGAAAGCACACCAGTGCAAGTAGATAAATAGGTACCACTGCAACAGCAAGGTAAATGGCATTTCTGTGCGCTCTGGTTTCTGTCACAGTGTTCCATTGCACCAGAAGCTGGTTAGTCCTGCTGGCCACATGACCTGGAAAGCTGTCTGCAGACAAACGCTGGCTTTCTCGCCCTGAAAGCAAAATGAGCACTGCAACCTCATAGTCGCCTTTGACTGGACTTAACCATCCAGGGGTCCTTTACCTTTTTTACCTTTTGCACAGGGAGGGAGTGGCCCAAAGGAGGAGAGAAAGGAACAACCAGAGAGGGTGGCGTATAAGGCACACTCTGAACTTTGAAATGTGTCCTTGCATTAAATTAAATTACTCCCTGCCATACCACAACCGAACTTCATGCTGGACAGCTTGTGGACTCCTTTCCCATGTGCAAATGGTCATGGATTATTTTTTCTACAGAGCCCACACTGATCTTGACATCTGCAGTTAGTTGGTGAACAGTTAAGCAGCGATCCTCCAAAATGGGATCCTACACTTGCCGGATGGTGTCTTCAGCAATGGCGGACTGTGGTCACCCAGGTATTGGAGCCATTCCACCGAAGTCCAACCACACTTGAACTGATGATGCCAGTGCTTGACTGCGTCATATGATGGGGCATCCTCCCCATAAGTCCTTTTCATCTCATTGAACATCTCCAGTGGTGTGCACCCTTTCAAGTACAGGAACCTGATGACTGCTCTTCATTCAACTGGTTCCATTATCAGACGTGACTCTACATTAGCACCAGTAGCAAAGAACCTGTTAGGAGTTCAGCCCCACAAATTACCACGTTACCTGTGGAGAGATGTATTATTATACATGTGCAATTTCATCCTACTACAATAACCGGAAGTGTGTCAGGGGAAATCTTTAATGAGCGACCCTCGTACATGGGCCTTTGACTCAGCTTAAGTTCTTATGTCACTCTATAGGTAGATGGCTTTAAAGTTATGTTCTGGGTGGTAGAGTAGACCATCCAGACTGAAACGCTTTATGGCCAGGCCTAAAGAGGCTTTGTACAGTAGGACATTTGTTATCTAGAATTTATTGAGAACCATTTGCTTTGAAGATATGTTGCTAACTTTGTAGAGCTACTCTAGATGGTTTTGAGGGTTGTTGCGCGTGCGCACACACACACACACACACAATCACATCATAATTGATAGTGGAAAAAAAGGAAAAGCTTAGCTTTCTTAGTGGATGTTGCCTTTGTCCTTGGAAGCATTTTAAATAATAGAGAGTTGTTCTACGGGGCATTTGACTCCAAGCAGATCATTCTTCAGGAATACAAGATCGATGACTTATTATCCCATCCCCCAACATCAACAAGAAGACGTTTCCAAGAATTTAGTATGTCATCTCATCGGTATTCTGTGGTGAGCCCTTAAAGCTATATATCTTAAAGCACTTTCCTCGGATCTGTAAGAATGCTAAAGTTCCAACTAGCATGAAAAATGGTTGCTATAGCGTTTAGCCCCCTCCCTCCTCCCCAATCGAAGAGGCTTCTAGTCAGCTTCAGTTAGCATCACGCTGTTCAAATCAAAGTCTGCCAACTACATAGATAGTTATTGATACATTTTTTGTTTCTTGCAGGTGCAGCTACACTCTAGCAAGGCTGCTATTCGGTCTAAAACTGAGCCTTCTCTCCCATGTTTATAAGCACACATGTTTCAGTACGAAACTGAAGTCATCATGTACTCTAGTGGTTTTCCAGCCTTCCAGTTCTTTTTCTGTGCTTGAAACAGCAACCAATGGATTATGAGCTGTCCCACTTCCCTTATTCAGTAGATTGGTTGGGCACAACTTCTTTGACCTCCATTGTTGAAAAACGTACAACATACATTTCCATAGGTTTTCAGTAGATCTCATGTACCTATAGAGGGACACAGGTGGTACTGCGGTCTAAGCCACTGAGCCTCTTGGGCTTGCAGAACAGAAGGTCGGCAGTTCGAATCCCCGCAACGGAGTGAGCTCCTGTTGCTCTGTGCCAGCTCCTGCCAACCTAGCAGTTCGAAAGCACACCAGTGCAAGTAGATAAATAGGTACTGTTGAGGCAGGAAGGTAAACAGTGTTTCTTTGTGCTCTGGTTTCCGTCACGGTGTCCCATTGTGTAAGAAGCTACTGTTAGGTCCATTATGAGATGCCCGCCAGCTTCCAACCACAGATACCAGCAGCCTTCAAGCAAGCAAACTTGCCTTATTATCACTCCCTAGCATCCCACTGCCAAAGGATTGCCTCCTTCCATTCATCACTTTGCCTCCTCCAAGTGGAAGAAACCTGGGCAATGCTGAATGTCACATCCATTGCCAGATGTGTCCTGTTGGAAATATAAAAGGGCTTTCCCCTTGGCCTACCTTTCTATCCACTCAGTTGCCAAGGGCTTGTGTGACATCACAAAAAACCCACAGCCAATGGCAACAGCTGGGGAGGCATCATCTTCATTGCTTTGAGCCTCACAATGGCGGGTGGACCTATCAGTGATTGTATGCTTGTTTATTTGGGACACGGGTGGAGCTGTAGTCTAAACCAGTGAGCCTCTTGGGCTTGCCAATCAGAAGGTAAGCAGTTCGAATCCCTATTATGAGGTGAGCTCCCATTGCTTTGTCCCACCTCCTGTCAACCTAGCAGTTCGAAAGCACACTAGTGCAAGTAGATAAATGGGTACCTCTGCGACGGGAAGGTAAACGCCATTTCTGTGCACTCTGGCTTCCGTCACAGTGCCCTGTTGCACCAGAAGCAGTTTAGTCCTGCTGGCCACATCGCCTGGAAAGCTGTCTGTGGACAAACGCTGGCTCCCACAGGCTGAAGGCGGGATGAATGCTGCAACCCCATAGTCTCCTTTGACTGGGCTTAACTTCCAGGAGTCCTTTACCTTTTTTATGCACCTATAATTCTACACAGGATCTGAGGACAATAATAATCAACCTTGATTATGGTTCATCCTATTTGTGATCTTATTCCATTAAAAGGGACCAATTTCACCCTACTGAACCCAGAGGGAAAAACTGATATAAATAAAATATTATAATTCACATTAGGCAGATATCTTTATTAGGTAAGCCGAAACATTACAAAATAGCACACAAGCTTTTGAGTTCTTTGGGACTCTTAATCAAATGAGATGGTAAACAAAACAAGTGTGGGAATTATAGACGGAAGGGAGGGAATCAGCTGCTGTTTGATCCATGGATACAGACTGCATTGAGTTACACACTTCAGAAGGAAAGTGTAAAGAGGTAGCCGATACTCATATGAGGCTCTCTTTCATGCTTTGCAGGTTTCAGGTTCCATGTAAGGCTGATGGGAAAAAGAAACATTCAATGCTTGAGTATTCTTCTGAAAATTCAAAATCCAGGTGTTTCCCACATCTGTCTCCTTCTCACAGGGGAAACACACAGGAAGAAAATGAATGTGGAAAAACTAAGTGGTTTTTAAAAAAAGGAATAAAGCTGGAGATTAATTTTAGGTAGCATGCTAGGTAAGAAAAGGCCATACAGACCTAGCAGTTTGTCAGCGATTGGCCTGAGGAGTGGGGGAATGTGTGGGCAGAGGAAGCAGATGGGGGGAAGGAGGAGGATGGGAAAGAGGAAATATCTTAGTTTACAGAAAGGTTGGCACACATAAACCACTTCGTTCAGGGCACTAAGCAGCCCCCAACATTTGTTTTTATTATTACAAATCTACTTATTTGAGGAGCAAAGAAAAAGAGGGTTATGGCAATAGAGGCCACCCTTTTAAATGTCAACAAACATTCTGCAATAAACCCCGAAGTGCTAAGGAGCTCTCACAGCAACATGGACTGCAGATATATAACAAATCAGCTTATTTTATTTTTCATGGTAAGGAAGCGTCCAGAGGAAAGGAACAAAAAATATAGGCTGGCATTATGAGCAGCACCAAGTCTGTCCAAGTCACACCATACTCCCATTTTGTTTAGCATCGTCTACGTAGATTAGCAGCAGTTCTCTAGGGACTCAGACAGAAACCTGGACACAGCAAGGATTAAACCGGGGACCTTTGCATGCAAAATGTGTTCTTTGAAACTAAGCAGTGGTCCTTCCCAAATGAATTTGATTAGATGATAAAAGGATCAAGGGGAAAATATTTTGTGCTTCCAAGAGTTGAATTGGAGGGCATGTTTGCCTTCTGCCTTAAATCTTCACGTTGTTTGTGCAGGGAGAGTAGAGAAGAGGGGGAAGGTAAAAACTCCATCGTGCTTTAGCTAGCTCCAGCTAACAATTGTCTTAGCTATGCAAGATAGCTCTGCGGGCAGGCAGTGGGTTTCCTGTCTGGCCTCCTACTTAGCTGAAGCAAAAGAAGCTCAGCTCGGCAGGCCGGTAGTGGTTTTCCTGTCTGCTTCAGTTGTGGTGAGCTAGCTTCCCACCTCAGCTGTGCAAAGATGCAAACACATAATGCAAAGCAAACAATATGCAACGGTGGGGGAGGAGGGCTTAGCTAACCTAAAAAGGTAATAAAGTGTATCTCTGCTTGTTGATTGGGGAGCAACTGAGGGCAAGCTTGCAGCTTCAGTATAAGAATGCTTGGAAGACAATAGGGGGCGGCCAGTCTTTGGAAGCTATTCCACTGGCTAACTCTGCGCAGATTTTGCAATAAACCTTTTTCTCTGTGGAACCCACCCTGGTGTATGTTTGACTCCTTCATGCTAACAGCAAGGGCACGAGGTGACTGGATCCGGACCCCTTAGGATCAGATATCCTAACATTTGTGCAGGGAAAAGGAGACTCATGGCGTACTTGTTTTAATGAGCAGTTGCCCCATTCCTCGAAGAGCCATATATCAGTCTCCTGTTTGTCAAAAAAACAACAGCAAAGTGAATCCTGCTGAAAATGTGGACTACCCATTCACCTGGGTATGTCAATTGCTATGTAAATCAATTTTCCATGAAAAATAAACACTTGAAACAGACTTGAAGAACTAATAAGGAGGTGGGGGGGAATGAAACATGATTAACTATAATTTTAAAATGTTGTTATAGGATTGGTGGGTTGGTCTGGATATCATATTTGGGTTCCGCCCAAGGCTCCTCAAACTAGTCACTTTATTAACAAACTTAGGTAAAGCCATTAAGCATCTCTTCACATGGCTAAAGTGTACAGGTGAGCAATTGCCACAGAAACTAAGTCAGCGATGCTACAGGAAGGCAGGTCTTTAGCTCCACCCCTGGATGAAACCAGAGTCCTTTCTGTTGGGGATAATTAAGACTGAAATTCCCAGGTGTAAAAAACAAAGTCATTTATGTATACTACTACTATGACCCGTGTTTTGTTAGCTCAAAAATGGAAAACGAGTAAGGCCCAACCAAGGAAGAATGGCAACTTTAGTTGATGGAATATGCACAACTTGCAGACTTAACATATACAATAAGAGAACAAGAAGAACATACGTTTAGAAAAGACTGGAAAACGTTTATTGAATATATGGGAAATAATGTTGTACAGCTGAAAACGCTAGAAGCCTTAAGATAAATTCAACAGTGTAAATAAGTTATGATGGATGTAATACAGTGGTACCTCGGGTTACATACGCTTCGGGTTACATACGCTTCAGGTTACAGACTCCGCTAACCTAGAAATAGTACCTCGGGTTAAGAACTTTGCTTCAGGATGAGAACAGAAATTGTGCTCTAGCAGTGTGGCAGCAACAGGAGGCCCCATTAGCTAAAGTGGTGCTTCAGGTTAAGAACAGTTTCAGGTTAAGAATGGACCTCCAGAACGAATTAAGTACTTAACCCGAGGTACCACTGTAATGGAAAACTGAATGGAATAGTTTTTGTAAAATATGCAGGGATTTGTGATATGTAAAATGAACTATGGAAAGAGAAGAAGGGAAATATTTCAAGGATGTAAAAATTATTTTAAAATTTTTATATATATAAAAGAGATGTAATCAGGGTGTGTAAGACAGCAGTAGACCAGGGGCTGGTGTCATGCAGAACTGAGAGCTGTGAAGACATTCTGAAGACTTTCTCTCTGTGCTGGTCCAAATCGATGACTTGAAGGGCTCCTCTAAAAACCAAACTGGGCAGCAAGCTCTGTTGGAGTATGAATGCTCTAAGCTACTGGTTCCCAATTGGTGGTCTTTGGACAAAACCCACCCAGGGGGTTTGCGGCACCATTCACATAACAATAACTACAATAGAGATACCTAAAATTTCAAAAGTAGGGGGTCCATGGCTTGGCTTTTGAAAAACAGAGGTTCCGCAGCTAATTGTTAAACACTGCTCTAAGCCCTTCCAGCTTATGCCTAACTTCTGTATATGTCTAAACAAAAACCATAAACAGTACAACTGTGGCTTGCATGAGAGATGTGTTCCAGGGATGGCGCATGCATGCAAAAGCATATATACTCGAACCACACCCTTGGAACATAAGACGACCCGGATGGTTGCCAGATTATGTGTACAGATCTGTAGGTGCAGAGCATCCCCCAACCCAAACTAGTTCGTTAAGAAAATCCCCAAACTCGGTTCCATGGGTAACTCTGGGTCATCTCTCTGAGGTAGCTTATCTTAAAGTTTAAGTGTCTATATGCTTATCACATTTATAAATTTTAAATTTATTGTTGTACATTGTTTTAAATGTTTGTTTCCCTTCTGAGATTGTACCCCCAAGTGTGTTTCATAAGCTGGTCTCAGGCCGTAATAAATTATCTAATCTAATCACACCTTTGGAACAGCCCCTTGCAAAAAGATAGAGAAACTGAAAGTGATAGATTTGCCATTCCTGAGACTGAGATATGTTGCCTGATAGAGATCTCAGAAAGGGTGATCCACTATGTGGGAGCCACAGTGCAAGAGGATCTGTCCCATATCCTAACAGATCTAATTTTTCTCACTCAGGGAGCCATCATGAGGCAACAGATCTAAAAGGATGAATGAGTTCCCTGAGTGAAAGTTTCAAGAAAACATTTTCATATAGCACCATCAGACTACTTACTGGAGAATAAGAGACAAAATTTCCACGAAATTGAAATCTTTTGTTCCTTGTTTCACCAGCCATTTCTGCTTTTTCTTTCTACTCCTTGGCTGCCAAGAAATTCCCCTTTTATGCTACTTGGGGGTGTCCAAAAGTAGAACTGTGGTTTTATAACTCAAGAGGCAAAACCACAGTCTAGTTCAGCAAACCTGACAATTACTGACTGACTGCTAAGCCACTAAGATGTCAAACAGCCTTTCCCAGCAACACAGAAAACTCCATTTCTTTTCATTCCAGACTTATAAAAAGTCTCTGCTCTGGTTTCTTTTATTAAAAAAATTACTTCCTTTTTTCTTGGTGTTCTTGACTGCGGCAGGAAAAGTGGTATAAGTAGATGATTTATCTTCAAACGTAGCCTTTTTAATGTACTGGAAACAAAACATGCATTAGTAACAAATATACTAAGAAAAGGGAGAATTATGTGGGAGATGGAGGCTGCCATGGCAATGGGGGCGGGGAGTAGCTTAATTTCTCAATAGCCGAATATCGTACTGTAGAAATGTGATGCAGCTGAATCACTTCTGAACATTCCCAGACACAATACCTTGACAACAATCTGAGAGAACTCAAGTCTGGTTTTTAAACTCCGTCATCTCATGCCAGAGTGTAATATATATGAGACTACCTCAGAGCTGCGGGTGGCGCTGTGTTCTAAACCACTGAGCCTCTTGGGCTTGCCAATCAGAAGGTCAGCAGTTCGAATCCCTGCCAGCTCCTGCCAACCTAGCAGTTTGAAAGCACACCAGTGCAAGTAGATAAAAAGGTACTGCTGTGGCGGGAAGGTAAACGGCGTTTCTGTGCGCTCTGGTTTCCATCACGGTGTTCCGTTGCACCCAGAAGCAGTTTAGTCCTGCTGGCCACATGACCCGGAAAGCTGTCTGTGGACAGACGCCGGCTCCCTCGGCCTGAAAGCAAGATGAGCGCCGCAACCCCATAGTTGCTTAACTTCCAGGGGTCCTTTACCTTTAGCTTTACCCTTCATCTGCTTGCTGCAGTCTGAGATGAGCTCTCCAGATAATGTTTTCACCAACATCTGCCAGCTTCTCTTAGGTCCATCATGAGATGTCTGTCAGCTTCCAGCCATGGATATCAGCAGCCTTCAAGCAAGCAAAGTTGCCTTATTATCGCTCCCTAGCATCCCACTGTCAGAGGACTGCCTCCTTCCAATCACCAGTTTGCCACCTCCTGGGCAGTGCTGAATGTCACATCCATTGCCAGGTGTGTCCTGCTAGAAGCAGAAAAGGGCTTTCCCCTTGGCCTGCCTTTATATCCCCTCAGTTGCCAAAGTCTTTTGTGACATCACAAGAAACCCACAGCCAGTGGCAACAGCTGGGGAGGCATCATCTTCATTGCTTTGCGCCTCACAATGGTGGGTGGACCTATCAGTGATTGTGTGCTTGTTTATTCAGGAAGTGGGTGGCGCTGTGGTCTAAACCACTGAGCCTCTTGAGCTTCCCGATCAGAAGATTAGCAGTTTGAATCCCCGCGATGGAGTGAGCTCCTGTTGCTCTGTCCCAGCTCCTACCATCTTAGTAGTTCGAAAACAACCCAAAACTTGCCAAAAATGGGATGTCCAATTTATTTGGGGCAGTTGAAGGGTTTGATATGCTAGTAGCAGATAGGACCAGGGGATACATTTCAGAAATTGAAGAGAGCACCAGGAATGGCCAAGTAGGGGTGTCACTTGTGGAGGGTCCCAAGGGCTGAATAGAAGGCCAGAGGAGCCCCATATTTTGCCTCAGGCCTGAGGCTCCCTTTGCAAAGATTTAATGTGAGAGATTTTACTTTCTTGGGCTCTGTGATCACTGCAGATGGTGACAGCAGCCATGAAATTAAAAAACGCCTGCTTCTTGGGAGAAAAGCAATGACAAACCTAGACAGCATCTTAAAAAGTAGAGACATCACCTTGCCAACAAAGGTCCGTATAGTGAAAGCTATGGTTTTCCCAGTAGTGATGTATGGAAGTGAAAGCTGGACCATAAAGAAGGCTGATCACCGAAGAATTGATGCTTTTGAATTATGGTGCTGGAGGAGACTCTTGAGAGTCCCATGGACTGCAAGAAGATCAAACCTATCCATTCTTAAGGAAATCAGCCCTGAGTGCTCACTGGAAGGACAGATCGTGAAGCTGAGGCTCCAATACTTTGGCCACTTCATGAGAAGAGAAGACTCCCTGGAAAAGACCCTGATGTTGGGAAAGATGGAGGGCAGAAGGAGAAGGGGACGACAGAGGATGAGATGGTTGGACAGTGTTCTCGAAGCTACCAGCATGAGTTTGACCAAACTGCGGGAGGCAGTGGAAGACAGGAGTGCCTGATGTGCTCTGGTCCATGGGGTCACGAAGAGTTGGACACGACTAAACAACAACAACAACATTATCTACACAGGATAGAATTCCATAACCTAAAACTTGAATTTAAGGATTTGACAAGGGAAGATGCTGTCTTCTCCCATTTTCCGGAAACTGCAATTGTGTGGCATTATGAGAGTGAGCTGCAGACCAATGTTTTTGGGTTTCTTTTTAACTATTACAGCTGTGATAACTTACTATTATTTTGCTTTATTCGAGGAGAGCTGAACTCACTTTCAGTTTCTGGGTTAGAAATGTTTATGCAAGTTGACCATAAAAATCTCAGCTGTTCCTCATCACACACAACTTCCTTCATTTTTCACTGTTATTTTTTCATTCCAATTTTCCCAAACCTACAAAGGAAAAAAGAAAGAAAGAACCGAGAATTTTCCTGTGGTGATACAAGTTGCAGACATCCGAGGTGTTGACTTTAAAGTGCTTCAGAACAAAATGCCAGTATTATGAATCATGGAAGAACTTCTCACCCTTTCAACAAGAAAACTCTTTCATGGAAGGAAAATGTATTTGGTTACATAACTCCAGCCCGCCTGCCCAACACACACCAAACTCAAGACTAATTCAAACCAAGTTTATTTGGGAGAGATGCAAACTGAAACTACAAAAATAAAAGTCCTGCTTCTGTCTATTGCATTGGGGGAGGGGGGAGTCCACATAATTGCTACCAGGTTTTTATTAAACAGGTGAAGTAAACTAAGTATAGAATTACTACTTCTGCTTAGGGACAGGGCTGCATATAAATACTAAGTGACCTTTAAAGCCCTATGCGGCCTACGACCCATGTACTTACAGGACCGCCTCTCCTGGTATGCCCCGCGGAGGACCTTAAGGTCCACAAATGACAACACCTTGGAGGTCCCAAGTCGCAAGGTGGTTAGAATGGTCTCAACTAGGGCCAGGGCCTTTTCAGTACTGGCCCCAACTTGGTGGAACGCTCTGTCACAAGAGACCAGGGCCCTGCGGGACTTGACATCTTTCCGCAGGGCCTGCAAGACAGAGCTATTCTGCCTGGCCTTTGGTTTGGACTCAGTCTGACCCTTATGTTTCCCTCCCCTTTTGGTTTTGATCTGTGGGCTACTATTAAAATGAGGCTGCATTTTAAATTGTATTTTAACCCGTATTTTAAATTGGTTTTTTTCTTTTCTTTTCTCCCTAACCCCCTTATGTTTTTATTGTAATTTTACTGGTGTTAGCCGCCCTGAGCCCGGCTCTGGCCAGGGAGGGTGGGGTATAAATAAACATTTATTATTATTATTATTATTATTATTATTATTATTATTGTGTTCCAGGAGCTTGACATATGTTAACTTTTGGGATTGCTGTTAAGGCCTTCTAAATTAAGTCAGTAGTATAGTGAAAGGAGACGGGTGTGAGAGAGGAAGGCGATAACTTGCTAAAGGCCATCCTGTGCATTTGTGGTTGGGACTCGAGCTACCTTAGTCAAAAAACAGTGTTTTGAATGCATTATAAACATGAAGCACCAGATGGCGCTGGAGAGCAAAAAATAAATTATTTGCGATTTTCCATAGTGGTTTTGTTGTTGTTGTTATAGTCATTTAATTTCTTATTCATAGCATGTGTGTGTGTTTTCCCTGTGTGTAGATCCACCCCGAGATGAGTCAGAGTTGTCTGCTTCCTAACCTCTAGTTTCAGCTGCTGCTAAAAGGTAAAGGGACCCCTGACCATTAGGTCCAGTCGTGGCCGACTCTGGGGTTGCGACGCTCATCTTGCTTTACTGGCCGAGGGAGCCGGTGTACAGATTCTGTGTCATGTGGCCAGCAGGACTAAGCCGCTTCTGGCGAACCAGAGCAGTGCACGGAAACACCATTTACCTTCCCGCCAGAGTGGTACCTATTTATCTACTTGCACTTTGACGTGCTTTTGAACTGCTAGGTTGGCAGGAGCAGGGACCGAGCAACGGGAGCTCACCCCGTCACAGGGATTCGAACTGCCGACCTTCTGATTGGCAAGTCCTAGGCTCTGTGGCTTAACCCACAGCGCCACCCACGTCCTACACCACATCATAAATAGAGCGAAGACCTGGAGCCAGTGGCAGACCACATGCTGAGCATGAAGAAGGCCTGAGATGCACTCCTTTGCAATAAGAAGATCAGGAAATGGGAAATACTCCTCTCTGCCCAAGACGCTGGAGGGCTGCCACTCGTCAGAGCAGACAACATTGTGGGCTAGATGGACAAATACGCTAACCAAGTATAAGTCAGTATAAGCCCCGTGTTCCACACTCTGCTGACACTTGTCTTTGAACAATCTCAATTCAATGATTAAAAAAACCTAGTTTGATCAGAGCTAAGGCCTTCTCGTGTTAGCTCAAGCTCCACAAAGCCAGGAAATTAGAAGTTAAGGTATTAACAGGCATGCCTCACCATCAGCAACAATGTTGTCAAAGGACACCAATTGTGCTTCTTTAGGTGTTGTGTGTATGCGCTGCAGAAAATCAAGTGGTTAAGCTCACGGTTAACATGCCATTTAGCAAAGTTGTCTTTACTAGACAGACACCAATGTACACCACTATGCATACACACAGATGTTACAAGTAGTCTTCTCTCTCTGAGCCCAGAGAGGGTTCTTCAAAGTCCTTTCTGGGTTAAAGTCCGCAGCTAAGTCCTTAGTTCCGTAGCTTTCAAGGTCCTGCAACTCTTCACAAAGTCTTCAGTCTTGTCCACAATTCCAGTTCTTCCTCTTCCTGCTCCACGCAGTCTCACAAAATTCTCCTACTGTCCCCCACACCGAATGTTATAACCTGTGCTCCTTATCTACACAGGGTTAGTGCTGCCAATTCTGCCCAGCAACACTGATAAGACAGTCACAAGATGACTGAAACTGCATGATGGGGAATGAGTTATCTCTGCTAACTTATTCAGAATTAACCCTTTTATTTTTATTTTTTCCTTTCCTGAACAATCCTAGAAAGAGGCTGGAGGTGAAACAGAGAGCCATTCTAGAAGGTATTGGACTTATTATGAATTCTGTTATAGAAAAAAAATCTTAAGTTCTCAATCACGTCTGTAAAAGACGTTTTGACTGAAACTAATTACACTATAAAACCACCAAGCTTTATCCTACATTGGATGCTTGTTAATTAAATTCCAGTTTTGTTTTCATCATGCCTCCTCTTAAATTTATTCCCATTTCAAGGAATAAGCGGTCCCAGGAACCCCACAACAATAAGAGTCCTTGTAGAGGAATTATAAGAAATGCTACCATACACATAGAATCTCTGAATTCAAAGTTGTTTCTGACAGGGAGCATCAGAAGTTTAAGTTTAAATCACTCAGACATTACTTCACTCCCATTTTTATTGAGGGAGTTTGCTACATGTTCCTCCCAGTGGGCCTCAGGAAGTCAAGAAGCTGCTGAGGGATGTAACATCTATCACATCCGCAAATGAGTTGCTACCTTGATGTTTGAGCTTCAGATTGTTTGCTAGGTTTCCAGGTAAACCCTAATATCCGTAATGAACAAACAGGTAAAAATATGCACCCCTTATAGCAGGGGTCAGCAAACTTTTTCAGCAGGGGGCCGGTCCACTGTCCCTCAGACCTTGTGGGAGGCTGGACTATATTTTGGAAAAAAATTATAATGGACAAATTCCTATGCCCTACAAATAACCCAGAGATGCATTTTAAATAAACGCACACATACTAAAAGTAAAGGGACCCCTGACCGTTAGGTCCAGTAGTGGACGACTCTGGGGTTGCGGCGCTCATCTTGCTTTACTGGCCGTGGGAGCCGGTGTTTGTCCGCAGACAGCTTCCGGGCCATGTGGCCAGCATGACTAAGCCGCTTCTGGTGAACCAGAACAGCACACGGAAACGCCGTTTACCTTCCCGCTGGAGTGGTACCT